ATCAATGCTTGAACCTCTTGCACTGCTATCCCTTCTACTTCTTAAAGGAGTAAAGTTCTTTTCTGGTCTCAAAGCACTGCAATTAATTGGTTAAATCTTAATACGAGAGACAGCTTATTTTTAATCTGAAAAAGTAATAGATGACTTATTATCAAATGCTGGCTATTTGACTTCAGATAATTAGTTGACTTTTCTTAAAATTCTTGATTCATCCATTTAAACAGGTAACAATTTAATTAATTGTTCTCCATTTTCTTTTTTAGCTGATTCAATTTTGTTTTATTCAGGAGGTTGCACAATTTATAAAACTTAAACTATTCTATCTTCCATTACTTATTCTTCTGAATTATTATTCAACATAGTAATAACAGCTTTTTATTCTTTTTCATTTAACTTTTAGGGTGAATCCACCTTCTTTTCAATAATGTTTTCATTTTATTTTTCAGTCAAGACATTATTTAAATCTACTTTGCTATTCAATTATTCAAATTCAGGAACAACCTCAATCTTCTATATATTTTCTTACTCCTGTTTTTTAAATAAATTCAACCTTGAAGGACTCGTCTTCTTAGGCTAGACCGAAATTTAATCAAAAATCTACATGATATTTTATATTTTATTATTATCTGGTTTTTTTTCAGTTTGTAAAATTTACATAAAGCTATCTTGTTATTGATCTATGAAATCACTGTTGTTTTAATAATCAATAACTGATTATTGTTCCATAACCTCAACTGTTTTTTTTTATTTTGAATTTTAAATTGTGTCTAACTTCAAAAATGATTTTATTTGTTTTTATTGGGTATCAGGAATAATGGTTTAAGATTCAAAAGGGATTATTGAAGAGCCAGATTCTTATTCATCTTTTTAAGTTTAGGATTCCAAGACTTAATCTAATGATTTTTCTGGTTTTAACTATAGCTTAGTGATTAAATTATTTAATTTTGATTAGACAGGAGGTAAATCCATATCAGGGATCACAATCTTTTATAACTAAATAGGAGTATCTTGAATCTAAACAGGTGAAACCACCTCCTTCTATATATATTAAGTCTTCAATTATTCTATTCGTTTTTAATTTGGTTTTATTTCTATTTTTGTATCAAAAATGTCATTAATTAAAAAGGCTTATCGTTTTAATTAGAATTTTCCTTTGTCATCATCATCTTGGCAAACACTCTATTCAAATGAGCTCTCTTCATCCAAAGTATATAAACTATTATTCTATGTTTTAAATCTTGGTTGATCATAGGTTTCTCTAATTGATTATAATTTTTAATTTATTGTGTTTGAGGATGGTGCAGTTAAATTTTTAATTTGACCAACAGGAATATCCTAATCTTTAGCAACCTAACCCTATTCGAGTATTGGTTGTATGCATTCTTCTGTATTTGGTTGTATTTGTAAATCAAATTATTTTTTATATTATTCAAGCAATTTAGATGGTTTGATTTGTAGTTCTTCTTATTCTAAGTTTGGTTATTTATCATCTTTATTTAAACCTGTTTATTGCTATTCTTGGATTGTTTGTTATTTCTCAAATTGTGGTAATTTTGTTATTTCAAGGGGAGCTATTATATCAGACTTGGATTTTGAGTTTTTTTTATAATTAAAAGTTGTATCTATAAAAAATTAATTGGTGTCTTATTTCTTTTCTGAATTATATTCTATCTCTCTGGATTCTTATTTGTTTGATCTATCAAAAAAAGCATCAAGTATATTAGTATTTGTAGATTGACGAAATCTTGATTCTGAAGATAGATCATCCTTTCTTTCATATCTATCTGTTAATTTGTTACTGGTATCAGATCTTTCAGTTTTGTCCCCTTTTGCTTATCTACTTTGTCTGATTTCTTGATTTCTTCTTTTTGAGGGAGGATCCCACTGATCAAAAAGTTATTATTTTAATGTAGAGACATTACTTCTACAAAATGTCCTTTCTAAAACCGAGATAGATTGATCATTTTAATTGATTTTTTAAATCATTCTTAATTAAGCACAACAGAATTAAGAATAAACATCTGAATAGATAAACCTTATTTCTTAAAATTCCTTTCTTTTGCAATTGATTGTAATTTCATTACCATAATTCATCTTCTTGAATAATGTTTAATTCACATAGAACTGATGGTTTGAAAAATCCTCTAAATTCCATTGCAATAAGGATTTTCCTTAAATTGCAAAAATAAACTTATTGTTAGCACTGATATCCTCAAGGTTATTGATTTTTAATTTAATCATTTTATTTGTATAACAATAGGCATCTCCATTTTCTGTTAAGGCAAGACCACCAAATTAAAATAATAAGGATTTCTTAAAATATCCATTAATTCCCAATCCATTTAATTATTGGATAGGAACTTAATTATCATTTTCAATATTAAAAATCTTTCCGCCAACTAGTAAGGTTATAAAGAATTTATGTACTTGTAATTAAAGTTAATTTTTCTTTGTAAGTGCTTATGTGTTTGCAATGACTATATATTGTTTTATTGGTTTTCCACCAAAACCCTCTTCCAGAATGATCTATTGCAGTTGTTGGAGTAATTGTCATATAATTTTTGCCCTGAACTAATTGTTTTGGTTATGAGTCAATTGAATAAAGATCTCCGCTATCTTTAAACGTTAGATTAATTTGTACCCATCAAGCAATATATTACTTTTCCGTCAGAACAAATTTGCTGGACTCCTTATAGCACATTGATAGCTTCTTATTCAGTAAATTGTGTGATCTAGTCATCACCAACTACAAGTCTTTTTAGGTTGTGGTTATTTATAAAATAAAGCTGAGCTCCCAACTTTATGGCCTAACTAAAATTGAATCTAAGTGATTAGATATTCTAGAGTTATCATTAAAAGTATACATCCAACTAATCAAAAATAACAGACATATTTTATATTCGTTAATATTATAAATTATCAATAATTAAACAATCTCTTATTATTCATAAATTAACTCAATATTACATCCACTCAAACTCGTCAGTTTTTATTATAATCTTCAATTCTCGTTATACCTTTTCATTAATCAAAACCTTAATGATCCATCATTTTTGTAATTTTAATTAGTCCTTCATAATATCTAAAAATCTCAATTATATCTATTGCAATTGGAATTTAATTTGAGAAATATTCATTTATTCCTTGTATTAGATTAAGTAAAATTCTAGAACACGGTTGATACATACTGATATTAAATTCATCAGATATCAGCAATAAAGATAAAAAAAAATTGTAAAATTTTCAACTTTGAATTGTAAATTTTACTTTAAGTCATATAAGAGATCAATTATTTAATATATCATTTGTATTTTTTTATTTTAAATCTCCTAAATGGTTTTTACTTTACTAATCCAAAATTCATAAGGTTACTTCTTACTTATCAAATTTTCGAGAGTAATGAATTAAATCAAACATTATTAAGAATTAAAGTATGTTGCATCCATCATAAAAACAAAATACTATAAGTTAATATATTTAAAACAAAATTAAATACATTTTCTAATTTATTAAAATGAATTCATTATTTGAACTTTTAGAATGTTATGATGAAAAAGAAAAGGAGATCTTTGAATTGTAAATATCGCATGCTATTCAAGCCTTAATTCAAATAAAAATAATATGATGGATTTTTTGAAATTGGTAATTGAGACACCTAGTGACTTACATCCAAAGTATGCCTTAATCCTTTAATTAGATATCCTTTCATTGTTAGCGAATTAATGTTTGGAAGCTATGAGCAGCTACTATAAATGATGTTTGAATGGGATGGAGAACCAATTTAATATTTGCTGACATTCTTCAATTATCCATAAAATGACACATCATGTGGTTACTTCGAAAAAATGATCAGACCTCTAATTTTATTGAAATCAAATGAAATAAAACCTTTTTTGGATATTTCTAAATGGATTTAATTTATTGATTAAGAATCGATTCAAAATGTATTCTAAACAATATTTGCATGCAATAATTTAGATGATAATTATAAGCAAGATCTGTTGGGGAGGCTTTTAAATTAAACCAATATCAGTGAGAATGTGTTTCGAATAATAATTAAATACACAGATTTATTGCAATAATACTTGAATCAACATTAAGAAATTGTTGGAATAATTTGTAATCAATCTCCCCCTACTTTACATCAATTATGCACTATTGAACTATTTATGGGATGGAACATATTAAATTTAGAATGGCTTTTTAATTAAATTACTTATTTGGATTAATTAGTCCATAGAAATTTTGATATTAGCGATTCAACAATGAATTTCCTCTATAAACCATAAGGACTCACAGAAATTGATCTAAAACTCATCCACATATTATCCTAAACTTTGACTAGACCAGAGACAATTAAATTTTAGAATGTGCTATTAAATTTGTTATTAAAATATGAATGGAACAATAATTTATAAAATATAGCTGTAAATATGTATGATTCCATGTCTCAAGAGGAAACACCTCATAAATAATATGTATTTTTTATATTTCAACAGTTAGTTTCAATCCATTATTATGGATTTTATCACAAATAATGTGAGTTTCGATAAATGCGAATTTGGATTAAAAAGAAAAGTGGAAAGAGGTTATAGATGGGTTTTTACTAGAATTGTCAAATACTTCTCATTAAACTTCGTATAGGCTTAAGATATTAATGCTTTAGAGGGAAGATTCTTATTGAACGAAGACCCTTCTAATAATAGAGAGAAGCAATCTCTATCTATTCTAGAGAAGGTGTCTGAAAGAAGGACATAATGGGCAAAGAGAATTCAAGAGGAAGAATTATAAAAATAAGAGGAGAAAGAACAAACTCAAATGGAAGTAGAGGAAGAAAATAATGATAATGATTAATTTTTCAAACCAAGAAATAGTTTTGGCATAAAACCAATTAATAATGAGGAAGAAGTGGAAGATGAAATTCCAATAAGAGGAAGGTCCAGTTGCCAATTCAAATAAGATGATTTAGATTGATTTCCTAATTTTTGTTTATTTTTAATATGATTGTCACTAAATATTTAATGAAGCTCAAACTCTAATAATCAAAGTTTAATTTGATGGGAATCGATTTAGGTACTGCTTTCACTGGATTCAGTGTATCCTACAATCTATAATAAGTTTTAGTTTATGATTTGCATTATAGTCCATGCTATTCACCACATGATTCGACATTATACAAAAGAATCATATAGATTATAAATAAGGAAAAGATTGGAGGAATTTTGATTGGGAAACCTTCATTTGAAAAGGGCTACATAGAGGAATTTACCAAAGGCTTAGAAAGCAATTTAGTGGCTGAAGGATTAAAAACATATATAACTCATGTTGGGGAGGATTATACAACTAAACAAGCGAAAAAAATATCTAAAACAAATAATAAATTTTTGCATGATGGCATGGCAGCCATGCTTATTTTATAATCATTTTTAAATGAATTATGAATATTAATTTCTATTTGATAATATATATTTTTAATATGCAAACCAATGTAATTACTCAGAACCTCTGAATACCAATATGATCTATAAATAAGAATATAGTAATCTATTTTATGGAAAAATTAAGAATTGACTGTTTTATTGAAGTCATAATCAACAGAAGACATTATTCAATTTTAGGAATAAAAAAATTTCTATTTAAACTTAATTTAGTGAAATAATACATTATAAAACAAGTAGAAGCTGAATTCAAAAGATAATACAATTTAATTCTTAAAATTAATAACAATTAAAATATTTTTCAGTAGAAGTCTGGCGCTCTTATTGAGCTTACAGATTTTAGTTTCACATATTCATCAATTTCGAGAGACATATCTTCAACTTAAAGATTGTAACCTTCTAGTGTATCTAAATTATATAATTAGAGACTCGCTGCTTTTGCTGCTCTATTTTATATTCTTTTAGGAAGAGATGGTAATTTTTAGTTAATCACCTTTGTGTTATTCATTGAATATGACTTTTATCTGGATTAAGTCATTTAAACATCTTCTCTACTTATTTACTTTGTTTTTTGGTTTGCCAAACTAATTAATTTTTCATACTTTTTCCGTTCTTTTTCCTTAAAGTTATCTGGAGATATTTTGGTGCAATTAATAGGAGAAAATTTTAGAGTGTGTTCGCTCTATTATTTACTTGATGGAGTTATTTTCTTCAAATTTCTATTTCCCCATTATTGGCCATATCTCATGGGAATTACAACAATATTTAATTTCTTCTGGTTATCCTTTTACGTTTCTTTCAGCATCAAGTCATAAATAATTTATTTTATGCTTTTTTGTTACGTTTTCATAGACCTTTGCTTATAATAATAAATTATATTAAGACTTATTAATTGATTAAATAAAATAACAAATGAATTAAAGAGAAGAGTAACATTAGCCAAGATGGTAATATATAAATTCATTTTGGATGAACATTTGCACTATAAAACTTATTCTAGATTGATGAGTGATTGTTTTGCTTTTTAGTATTCTTAGGAACATTGCAGACATATCATGTTCAAAACTAAATGAGATAGAGTATGATATTTCTAAGAAAATTTTCTCTATTGAAGTTTTAAACACATTTCCAGACTGACTTTTGTTTTACAAATTTATAAAATACATTTCTTATATATGGAACTATTTAATTTATTATTTTTATATTGTGATTTTCATATCTACATAAATTTTCTACTTTTATCTACAATCCTACCTATTTTCGTGGCAACACTTTAATTGATTGTGATTTTACTTTTGTATTTTATCTTTCTTCTCGAATTACTTTTAATTCTGATATGAAATAAAGAATAAATTATACTTAAAAAGTACTATAATGATATTATATTCAGGGTAATAGATATCGAAATCTTGCATTCTGTCTAAATCTACTTTATAAATATCCTCCATACAAATATTCTATGTGATATTTTCCATAAAATACTTCATTAACTAAAGTTAAGAATTCAGTGACAGTAGGTTAACTTGGATTTTAAATTTTATTTATAGGACTCGGATTATTTGATAGCATAGGTATGAGTTATAGAGAATTACCCTTATTCAGCATGCTTTAAATTTTCTAATCGAAAACGTTCTTTGATTGCAATTTCTATTATTGTATTTAAGGAGATGTTGGTGAAATCATTTCTGGATATGATAATTCTTTCTATCCACTTTATTTCATATTTTCATTACACAAATCATTTAATAGTAAATTACTTGATTCTCCATGAAATCTTTGTTCTTTTTTTTCAAAATTTTAGTCTAAGTTACTCGAAGATTCGGAGTTTAACTCTGAGGAAAATTCCCCTGAAACTTGATTTATTTGCTTGTCATATAATTTCCTAAAATGATTTCGAAACTAATCCTAATTTCGTTTCTTTCTTTTATTATCTATTAATCTTAATCAAATTATACATAACATTCTAGGTTATTCTGAACAATAGAGATATTAATCAAAAAAGTCAATATTCTTTTTTATTAAATGTACTTTTGGGCAATTGCTTATTAAATGAGTTTTATCTTGACAATATAGACAAATTGAGTCTATTATTTAATAGTTATTATTAAATAAAATTTAATCCTTAATAAAATTTGCAATTTCCTATCATTAATTATGATTATACCAAATCTTTAACATTGGATGAAATTATTTTTAGAAAATTCTCTCTACTTAATTTATAAAGGAGACAATAATCTAAACTTTTTATCAAATTCTTATTCTCTTGACCAGTAAAGAATGAGTATTAACCAAAGCATTGGCCACTAAAGATTTAATGATATTCTTGTATTGTGTCTGTAAGACCACAGGCAACTTTACCTTAATAAAGAAGATAAATAGTATATTAGTCACCATATTGATTACAAATTAGTTGATCATTCGAATGTAAAACAATCGGAGTTAGATTTTAAGCTATTTATTGTTTAGTTGATTTTGAAAATTTAGAAAATAAAGCAAACTAATTGACAAAGTTGATTAGCTTTTGTTCCTTAAATTCTTAGAATAATTACTCTTTTTCTAAGCTTTCTTCAAAATAATCCTCAATGTTTTATGAATTTAAATCCCTTTAAAAAATTTAGTCTAATTTTAAAGACATTTAGGACTTTAAAGTCGAGGAAATCTTTTATTTATATAAAAACCTTTATAGTCTTTTCAAATCTTTAGTTTTTTTGTATGCTTAAGAGATGTCGAGACAGTCTAAAATTATCAGCTTGAAAAATAGGATTTTGTAATACAAAAGTATTGCTATTGTACTTATATTAAAGGCTCCATATAATAATTTATCACCTTCAGGGGTAGAACTTGCATTTTCAAATTAAAGGATATAATTTACATATATCTCTATATAATTATCAACTATTTCTTCAAAGTCCATAACTTCTTACTTTAATTTAAATTCTTGTCTCAAATTGATACAAGTAAAATAATGACATGTAAGCAAGATTTATATTATTTAGAGATTTAAATCACTCAATTCATAATATAATTATTTATTGAAAGTAAAAATTATCTTTTTACAAATTATTGATTTAATAAGTATCAAACCAATTATCTTAATCAATTCATCATCCAAAACAATAAGTACAGAAAAAATAACTATAGATGATGTATTTATTAATAATGTTTATGAATTTACAAAGCATTTTAAAGTTTTGTTATTATAATTAGACTTTTCCTCTTAGTACCTTTAGAATATCTATTTATAAATCTAATCTAAAGTACAAAGAATAATCATTATAATATTCAAGTACTTCCAATAATCATTTGATTAGTATATTTATTAAATAGGGCTAACTATTAAGAGTAAGCAAAAAAAAAAAAATATAATTGAATCCCACATGTTATTTAAAATTGGGTAAAGTGAACTGTTATAAACTCTTTTACCAATGTTTAAAGGAGAAAATAATAAAGAATTAACATTTGAGTATTATTTTTTGTGTAAAGCGAGGTGTTATTTTAATTTATCAATAAATAAAAAAACCTTTTTTTATGTATTTTATTCCGTAATATTAACTTTTACATTTGTTTATTACGTTTGATTTCTAAATTTCCAAATAATTCCTTCCGGTTCCTTGTGTGCTTTTAAGTCAAAAATTTCAAAGGCAGGATTTTTATCTTCTTCTACTTAATAAGATGGCTGTCTGGGATGAGAAATTTTCATCCTTTTACCAACTCGAAAACAATCTTCTTAAGAATCCTTATTTATCCTAGACTTTAGAAAATGAAATACATTACACTCCCATCAGAAGGACTAAGAAGTAAAATTTCATTTTAAATCATTTATTTTTAAATAATAATAATAATTTGTATGAAGCTCTAAGGTTAATTTTAACTTTTTAACTTTATTAGGAACTGAATTGATATAAATTCTGTTTGAATGATAGAAATTACTTACAAATTTTTATTGAAATTGAAGTTAATATTTATAATATTAAGATATAATATACACTAATGCTATGATAAATTATTAAATGAAGGCTTCGTTATTATAAAATCAGAAAATAATATTAAGGGTTTAGGATAAGTAAATATTTGCATTATTAAAAATTATCATAATCTTAAGCTTAAATGAAACTGATATAAATATTATAGTTTAATTTTCTATAAAATTTTACAAAATTTTGAATCTAGCTAGTTTTACCATAACTCTATTTTTATACTTATTATCAACTGATATATTCAATTTTGAGATTTTAATTGTTATTTAAAATTCCAATATGTATATAAATATTAAATATTCAATTTTTGAAAAAGTAAATGTAAACCCAAAAAAATTATAATGCTACACTAGCATACAGCAAAACTCTAGTTTTATCCTGCTATCTATATGTTATTATTAATAGCCATAACATTATTCGAATAAATTCAATGAATATTCTGCATAACCTATAGAAATTTGTAAAGCATAGTAAATGTAATATCTCAACAAAAAATAAGCAGAGTATATCCAAGATAATTATTCGAAAGTATGGCAATTTTTAGATTAAGGTTGTTGTTTTATCAATAATGTACAAAACAAGGCCAATAAATAGGTTTAGTCTGAGTAAATGTATATCCAAAAACAAAGGATAAGAACTAATTAAAGTTAAAACAAGGGCACAAATATTATCATTCTTCATTATTGGCCATACTTTCTTTAATCTCATATATGATATTCCACTCATTATAGTTTAATTTTGATGGAGGTATAATATGAAGGAGCTTTTATAATTAATTATTTCCTTACATAAGTATTAAGAAATAGATAGATAAACTATGTTTCAATCCTACGTAACAAACAGAATCAAAATGATGATAATCTTAGTTAGCTAGCAATTTTTCAATCGACTCATAAATTTGAATTATCATTAAAATATTAATTGTATATATTTAATTGATATTTATACAAGCAATTAATCAATAATTTTATTCATCCTTCTAAATAATAAAGAAATATAGTGAAAATATTCATTAGAACTTAAAAGTAATTTACGAATCTATGTATATTAAAAATAATTATAAGATTCACTACATCTGAGTTGTCTGTTGCATTTCCTCCTTTGTTCTCCTCTTTCTCTTTTATTTAACTTAAATGGCTTCTTTTTTGGCAATATCTTTCCTTATTCTTATGACATTATCTTGCTTGTTGAGCAATACATTCCAATTGGTTAGAGGATCCTCTTCCTAAATAACCAAAGAATCGAAATATGTTTCATTGCATTTGACACCTAAATTTTAAGATAAACTCAATATATTCAAATTTTACTTTTAAAGAACGCTCTTAAACATATTCTTTTCTCTTATCATCTTTTGTTTTAATTTAGTGTAAGTGCTCTCTAATTTAATGATGTAGGTAATCAAATTGGTTTAATCACTCATTTTTTATTTTTATAATAAACTAAAAATTAAAAGACCAAAAATTTGCAAGGTATTTTTTCTATAATATATATTTTCAATTCTAAAACTTCAATTGAATTCCTATATCTTCTAAGACAATTAAGTAAGTGTAATAGCTTGCTCTTATGCCTAAAAATAAAAAATTCAAAATTCATTCCTTTGTCAAAATCAGGTTAAAATAAATATTCATAAATAAACTATTAAATTTCAATTTATAAGAAAATTGTAACAGAACTTTGTTTTCCTATTTAAAAACTATCATGCTTAGAGTTTTCAAAAGGTTTACGCACTCATTTTCACTTACATAACTATTCAAAAGAAGAAATTATACAATGTATAAACCTTCACTATAACATTAATAACTATTTAGATTTTATCTTTTGTATCAATAAGATCTGATAAAAATCAAGATCTATTTGAATATCCAGAAATATGTGATAATTTTGAATAGGCATTTAAACAAATGCCTCATTTTTCTAAGAATTTAGAAAGTAGAGATTGTGTAAGGATCAAAAAGATTTAATTTGAAGATTTTAAGCTAATTTAAAAGCAACTATTGTTTGATTAATTTAAGTACTTTATCCTATAGTGACTAATGAACAATAGGATAGCAATGAAAATAGGATCAATATATTGAGCATATCAAAGTATATGGAATCAAGAACTATTTAAGAGCTCATTCAATATGAAGATTATAATTCAGAATTTAACTTCTATTCTAATTAAAGATATGGTGAATATTTATTATATAAAATAACCCCCTAGATAAACTAATGAGAATGTTTTATGTTAAGAATTGGAACAACATTTCAAAATTCTTTAAATTAATTTTAATTAAAAAAAACTAGTTACAATAATTGAAATGGAAAAATTGTCAAAGATAATCTCTGAATTCAATTGAAAATAGAGAAAAATTTGATATGAAAAAAATATAATAGATTATATTATAATATTTCATCCTTTTAATTCAGGCAAAGAACTAATTGCATTTTTCCAAACTTCATACGGTGTTTACACTTTCTATTATTATTACTATTATTATTATTATTGCTATTATTACGATTATTACTATTACTGTTATTATTACTATTATTATTGTTATTATTATTATTACTATTATTACATTTAGTTTGCTTATTGCAATTAGATAGAAAATTAAGTATTGTAACCTCCTAATCTACTGAATTCAAAATTGGATTTACAGAAGCTATTTGAATACTCATATGACAAATTAAAGAATTTATCATAAGTAGGAAATTCCTCTTTTTAAATTTACTTAATTATAAAAAAACATACTTTTAATTATATTTTCTTTCTTTCTGCATTCCATAATTATTCATAATGGCTTGGATATGATTCTGGTATGTTGTGCTTTTTTCTTTTTTTTAATAATTAATCAGCCTTATTTAATTCGCTAAATATTAGCATGATTTTATTACTTATTTAAAAAATCCGAACTTCTTGATGTGACAAAGAATTTATGAATTAGTTGACATTTATCTTTTCCAAACCATTAAATTCCTTTGATAAATTGTTATAGTTCCTTTTGATTCAGATATTCATATTAACTTAGTTTCCATGTTTTGATTTTATTCATTTGAGCATTACTACATATTGAATTTTTGTATTTGTTCTTTATTTGTTTCAGTGTTTTTTCCCACAAAAATTCCTTTTAAATTGCCTCCAATTTTTTACTTCCATGTTTTTATAAACCCTGAAATAGCAAGTCTTCATCAACTGGTGTAAATTTACATCTAACCTTGCTGATTTGATATTACTAAGGCAAATAGCTAATTTAAATAAGAGGAATATATTTCTTTAGGATAAGTATTTTATCGTCAAAGTTTTTGTTAATGTTTTCCAAGATTGTTTTAAACTACTTTAATAGGGGCAATTAAAAAGAACTTTATAAAGGTGAGACTTCTATTGTTAGAGGATTGTCATTAAACTGAGACAAATCAATACTGTATAACTATGCGTGATCTTGCTTTTCTAATTATTCTAACATCTATATTGTTTTCTATCTTAACGCTTCAGATTTACAAAACAAGGCATTTTAAATCAACAACTGCACTAAGATTTCATATTATGCGAAAATTTAGATAATTTGATGACTTTGCACAAGAGTCTAGTTTAATAAAGAAATATACAAACTTTACATCCTGATTAGGTAGGATTGTCTAGTACTTTTGTTAACAATATTATAAAGTCTTTAAGTACTCTGGCTACATCCAATTAATTTTTATAATTAATTATATAATTTATATAAATAATTTCCTTAGACAGAACAACTAATTTTTTTCAAATATTTTTATCGCGTTTCATTTTCAAATAAGAATATTTTATGCCCATAAGATCCTTTCTAAAAATATTGATTTTGAAAAAATAATTTTCCATTTTTGATAGATTGTTTCTGCTTAAGTTGTAATATTAAGTAATTCCATATATTATTAAAATAGATAAAATCTAAATCCAATTCTTTTTATTATTTTTAAGATTTGAGATAAAAATGGAATTCAACTGCATTATTGAAAGGGAATCGTTTTAATTAAATGCAACAAATAGATCATTGTAAATTTCCAACAAATCCTTCTCATAAAAGTTTGATCTTTCTTTGAAAGTTCTAATAACCTGGTTATTTCGTGAAAATGAAATAAGTGGGTTTCTTTTCGAAAATCTTGTTGTGGAAGGAGATGGATTAAACATGAAAAAACTTAAAAAATTTCTGAGTGGTAAAGTAACATTCTCAGGGATTTAAATCTTCTATTTCTTTTATGGAGAGATTAATGTCAATAAAAATAAGGCCACTAAAGTATTTATATAAAGTTTAAAAGGTTTGTACCCTCATCAATAGAGAAACGAAATTAAAATTTTCATGTAAATGCTTTAAGAAAAGTACAACAGGAATTGAGAAAATTCACAAGGAAATTGAAATTCTTTAGAAAGCATCTAAAAATGGATTGGCCCCTAAAATTTATGAATGTTTTGAATCAACCAACTGCGTTTACGTCATTATGGAAAATTTAGAAAGAATAAAAGATCTTGAATTTATAGATGATGATATAAGAGTATTTCTTTATGTAAATTACTTTTTACTATTTAGAATTTGATTTAAACCATAGCATCTCTTCACAAGGAAAATATTGTTCATAAGAGCCTAAAGATGTCACACATTTTGTTCACTGAAGAAAATAAGTTAAAATTGGTTGGATTCGGTCAGGCTAACAACACTGATATTCAAAATAATGAGTTTAGACTGGATATTTTTAAAATAGGGATTATTATGTATAAATTGTAAAGATTTTTCATTTATCAAATAGCTACTAAAAATAGAATTTTCAGGTTGATCAGTCTCTAGATATTCCAGATGAGGGAAATTCACTTTTATAATCACTCTTAGAGTGGGGAAATGACTAGCCTTTTTAATTGAACTTATTATTAAGCCACCCTTACTTTAAATTTTTGAAAAATGAAGGGATTCCTCTATGTATTAGTATTTATTTTATTTAGAAATTCAATGTATGAGTCCTAAATTCAAAACTCAAGTTTATTTAGATGAGAATGAAGAATAAATTTTGTGATCACTACATTTTATATTTTATATTTATTTAAGTGCTGTAGAATCTAATACATTTGTTGAAAATTCTTATTTGATTATTTCAAAATTCTGTCTAAATTTGATGATAACTTAACATGTTTTAAGATGTTATCAACATTTTCCCACATTTCTAAAAATAATAATAATTTGTAGATGTTTGTTTAATTGTAAATTGAAATTAAAAAAAAAGTTAATTAAATTTATCAATAAAAATATATATAATTTAATGAATGTTTTTATTATAAACTTTAAAATTGGGAGATGGATCATTACATCAAAATAAAGTAAAAATTATTTATAACTTAAAATACATCATAATGATTGATAAAACTCAATTAATTATTTTATATTGCCAAATAATCTAATTGAAAATGTTCGTTTTGTTTTTTGCTTAACTCTTTCTAAAACAGGTCCATAATCCATAATCGTTGTTTCTGGTCTTCTTTACTTGAGAGCCATCCATTCATTAAAGAGATCTGAAAGTAATAATTGATGTAATTTCTTCCAAAAATTATCCTCCTTGACAAGAAATATGCAAAAGTTTTTAAGTGCTACTCTATCTGCAATTTCCTATAAAATTGCAATAAAATAGTACCTTTCTATCTCTTTCATCAAGCTATTCTTATAAATGGAAGTATCGCTTCATGAAGAAAGTGACATTGATTGAAGATGCTGCAAAATAGAAATCATTTTATGGTTTACACATTTACTTAACTAATGAGTCTTTGTAATCACTCACAAAATTTATAATATCATCTAAAGATTAAACACCACCCCCTCTAAAATCTGTAGTTGGGTCTGCCTACTAAAAACCGAACTCTGTCCATTTTTTATTTCTAATTTCTTCCAAATCACTTTCTGTTAATAAATACCACAGACCTTTAATTCTTTTCACACAATTTTCATCTTCATGAGAATATAAAGAATATAATTCAATTCTTAGATTCCACCATTCTTTGATTTCTGAATTTGATAAATTATAAGTTTCATCAAAACAAGATGATAAGTACTTTTCTTTAAATTCCTTGTTTTTAGCATGTGTTAGAGGCTCATGAGCCATTTAAAGTTCAGTCCATGGATGATTCTTTGCATGATGAATGAGAACTATTGTTTGATCCTTAGGTTATATTTCTTAATTCATAATTTAAATATTATCTTTTCCTGCATTCTTAAATTTAATTTGAAAACAATAAGTATAAACTCAAGTCTACAAAATCCTCATAGGATAGATGAAAATGAGAATAATTAACTAAATTATGCATAAAACCTTTAGACTATTTTCCAAAGTGATATTTAGAAATCTAAATAAATAAATATGGAATGATTTTAATGAACTACATAACATATATGAAAAATAGAAATATGAAATCTATTCGAATTTACAAAAATTTATGTGACTTTGAGATAATTAGATATAATAACAAAGATAATAGAATGTATGAATAATATATTTTAGATTGTATAATTTTATATTTGAATCACTTTAATTGATTCAACACTTAATCGAATGATGGCAACCTATTAGCTAATCCTCCTTCAGCTACTAAAGTAGGTCTATTCTTCAATAAATCGACCACTGCTTTGTTTATTTAATCTGATGTAACGGCATCAATATAGGAGGCATATTCATTGACTTTAACAGCATTAAATACTTTCAACTAAGGAAATAGGTTTATTATTATACGCTTTTAGCTGCTTCTTCTAATCTGTCTGAAGTTCTTTCAAGAGCTAAATACAATTGAGTCTTTAAGATGTTCTTAGCTCTTGTTAATTCAGTGTTTGAAATTGGTCCTGTAAGAGTCTTCAATTCATTAACAACACTGCTGAGTAATTCAGATCCTTTGTCTGCTGATCCGATGATTTTGACTCCAAATAATCCAGCATCAGAAAAAGTAAAGTTCAAGCTTTCAACAACATCAGCGTAGGAGTTCTTGTTTAAGACTATGTATTATGAAATAAATAAATACTGTTTCTTTATAATCTTGATTGAGCACTTCCTTGTAATCCCAAAAGAGCATTGAGTACTTAGAACACTGCAGCTTATGAATTGGTCCAATTGGCAGATGGGAATAATAAAGCAATAGCAATTTCATTGTCATCTGTCAAATTTCTGACTTCACCTCCAACATATTATGTTTATGCTCTAACTTTAGCAGTTTAACCAGCTGGGATGAATCCAAGGGAATCTTAGACCAAACTCACAAATTCAGTATGATTGTAGACTCCAGCACCAGCAACAATAATTTTAGATGGGTTGATGTTTTCCAATTAAAACTTTTGAATTGTGTAAGCACTCAAATTGCCAATGTTAGTTTTGAATCCTCTCAATGGCATTCCCAAACCTGTCAAACCAAAGGCAGTTTTGAATATTGTTTCATTGAATCCTTCTCCACCTATAATTTAAATCTTAAATTAATTTACTTTTAATGATATTTTCCAAATTATGTGTTCCATGATTCTTTTCAATAGCAGCATTTGCAGCTACTACTGATCTTGGCTCCAATGCACAATCAGCAACGACTTTGAATACATCGACGACATCATGAGCCAAACAATGAGCTTTGAAGTATGCACTCTCTTAATCATAATCCATTTCAAATTCACCTCCTGACTATTGGATAACACCACTAAATAATATTAAATGCTTAAGTACTAGTTGATGGTCTCATTTGTATTTAAAACAGTCTTGTAATAAGTATTCTTGATAGACAATAATGATCCTGATGTTTCATTTGTCTCATCTCTGGTACCAACATCCAAAAGAATACCGACATCTACTCTTGAAGGAGATGAAGCACTCTCAGTCAACACAGTGATGCCATTTGAGAGTTTAGTAACCTCATATCTTCTTTCCTATTCTCTAATCTCACTGCCTTGTGATCCTACTGCAGATTTGGGACAAGCAGCAGCAAGTTTGTAAAGATCTGAAGACTTATCATCTCTGTAAATTAGATCATGTAATTAGGCTCTCAAAGTGGAGAATTTGAATTGGGACTATGTAAATCTCACTAATTCATACCTTTGATGCAATTCTTCCTGAAACTCTAAAAAGCATGATATTTTATTTTAAAATAAATTTTGTATATGTTTGATCTCAATAACATTATCAAATTATAGATTAAAAACAAATATAATATAGCTCTAAATGTAATAAGAAAACGAGCCTACAAGCTTAAGCATATCAAGAAGAGCTGCATACAACTACATTAAGCCTATTTTACATGAAGACTCCTTAGTTTAAACTCCAACCACATCATTTCGTTCATGTTTTAAATAGAATCATTAGTAACGCAGCATTTTTTAAACATAAAATACAACAAACGAGATTATTTTGAACTAGTTTCCGCTTTAAGATTCATTTGAAGATGTTCGAAAATATTAATCATAAAATTTCCTTACGGTAAACAAAATTGCTATTATACTAAATTCGACTTTGCATTCAATTATATCCATCTATGTGCTTCTGCTTTAATTTTTTCATCAAACAGAGCAATTAGTATTGTTAAGAATAATTGGCATCATATTTTCATTTATTCATCTGATCCTCTGTTTACTTTTGAAATAAAGCTCATTAGACACTTCATAATTGGCCACTTTAATCTTTTATGTTGTTAGTTTTATTTTTGAGAATTAAATTTTAATCATATATCTTTTCATTAGTATTTTTCATATTCAAACTATATTTAATACGATAAAAGTGACTATTATAATTTTAACAAAATAATGTATGATTATATTGTTATTTAGATGGCTTTACATAATTTTTACTACTAGAGATTGTAATCCTAATATACACACTACACTTATATGCTAATTTCTATCTTATTTTTTTGTAGGAGTCAATTGATAATTACTAATTCTGGTTTATCTATCTCAAAGCAATTAATCAATCCCTTCAAATACTTCTCTTTGACATCCAAATGTATGATGAATCAACTACAAATCAGCTGGCTAATACTTTCTTCATCATACTTAATATCAATTATTACTTCTTATTATTGAAAAGATATGAAAATCATAAGAAATCTTATTTCTAATATGAATAGTTTTAAATATTTATAAATAATAGATGCATTCAATTCAATATATCTCTCCTAGAGATGTTTAATTTTGTTTGGATCTTACTGAAAATTTAATATTAGGATCAATTTTTGTAGTAATTAGAGAATCACAAAATCTAAGTCTATATAGATTAATTAAAGCAATGCAAAATAATTGAAATAATATTTTCAGAGGAATTTATTCGAGATTTGGCTTACAAAGCTAAAATTATTAATGCATATAAAAATGATATAGTTACACATCCAGGTTTATACATTGTCATTTAAGGCGGAATGAAAGTTTAAATATAAGCTGAATATGAAACTAAATAAATATTAAAAGTAATTTAACATAAATAATTTAGCAAGGAGATTATTTTGGTCTCATTGAAATGATTCTCAATAAAAGTTAAAATTTATTTCTAAAATCTATAAAAGAAGACAGTCTTCTAATTTATATATCAGGCGAAGATTTTCATTGTAAAATAAAAGAGTTTTCTGAGGATTACGAAAAAATGAGATTTATACATGATCAACTGCTGTTCAGTTCAAGTACATCCAAAATCAAATAAAAATGCTATTTTTGTTAAGAATATCATATTCCTTCAAAATGTAAAATAATAAATTTCAAACCTGAATTTGATTTTGAGAAATTGAAAATAGATTAATAAAATGATCGGAAATATTTTTAAAGAGCAAATAAGAAGCACATTTTTTAAATAAGAAGTAATTCAGAATCATCTAAAAATTCAAATTAATTTGAAGAGTCCTTTGAGATTGATCCAGTCAGTTCCGAAATGCAAAATGAAAGACAAATCGGTAAGAATATTTTAGGATCCATTTCTTAAATGATTGTGTGCAATTCAAAAATATCTCAAGAAGGATTACCATAAATACTTTAAACTTAAAGTTTTAAGGTATAAGAAAGTTAAACGTAACAAAACCTGTAAAATACAACATAAGGATGGAGAGTTTTCGATTTAGATAATAAAAATATTAGCATAGACAATTTAAGGAATTTTTAGTTTTACGATCCTGTGTATAACATAGAAACTATAATCCGAAAAGTAAATAAATTGTTGGGACATTGAACTTTTTATTATTCATGATTATTCAACATGATCGGCAACTATATCTACTGGGGCTTCACAAACACCACCAAAGTATAAGTTGAGTCTGTATCCATTCTTCCAAGCATAACAAGTTCTATGCTAAATTGTTTGTCTTTCAAGTAAATCTCCATTGTCATTCAATAATTCATAAATTGTAGAATCAGCCAAAAAGATCAATCGATATTAATACCAAACTTCAGTTCTAATCTTTGTAGTGAAAATTCTTATAAGTTGATCAGGATGTTCATAGGGAACTACACTATTGTCATAAGCATAGGCTGCAATTTCTACTAAGTCTTTTTCTTGGCAATTTGGAACTTCATATACTCCTTGTTCATTATATTTCAAACATGATTGGGCTCTTCTGAAGACAAATCTATCGCTATCTTTATGATGGAGTGATCCAAAACATCTCGAATAGCCCCATAACTTATTCCAAGAACTCATGCATCTCATTTAGTTTTCATCATGAGGAACAACATAAGTTGCTCCAGTGAGACCTAACTTAATTCTTATATGAGTAATCTCTGAGTTCTTTTAATAAACAGGTTATGTAGGAGTTTCGTATTGATCACCAGTTTTGACTGTTAATGTGTACTCTGCTTAATGAGTCGACGCAATCAAAATATATAACAATAATATCATTAAAATTTATGAGTGATTAATTGATCATTAAAAGGAGGAGAGGTAATACCATAGATTCCACGAATTAAATTATCACTATAAATTTGTCAGAAAATAATTCCACACTGTTGTCACTTAAGAAGGAGATATCAAAAATAAGTATTATTTTTGGAATAATCCATTAGCCAGAATCAAACCATTAAGATAGTGGTTAACAAGTGAAGATTTAAAAACTGTATATGATGATAATAACAAACCTTTGAATTAATGTGGATTTAAGAGTGGATAAGTTTTGGTTGTAAAGGACTTAGGACCTTAGATGCTTTGGATTACAGTATTTTATGCAGAATATGTTGGTCCAATTTTAATGTTTGTTTTGTTGTACTACTTAGGCTAAAAGGAAAAGTACACCTTTATGCAAAAGTAAGAATTTAATTAAGGAGTTAAGATCTGCTTTGTGGATGGTGGCTGCACATTACATCAAAAGAATATTGGAAACAAAATTTGTGCATGTATTCAGTAGAGATTCGATGCCAACAAAGAGAGCTTTGATTAATTGTTTACATTATTGGATTTTATGTGGAGCATGTATTGGGTCTGAACTTTATTTATTTCGAACTTTTAAGGAAGATCCAGCTTGGAAGAAGATTTTTATTGCCTTATTTGCAGGATTCGAGTTTTTGAATCTGATGTGTCATTTGAGATTGGCTAGCTTCAGAAAATAGCCAGCCATTAAAAAGAATGATTCTGATTATGTAGCAGTGAGCAAATAAAGATAAATTCCATACGGATGGGGATTTGGTAGAATTTCAAGTGCAAATTACTTTTGGGAGACGATGGCATGGGTAAGTTTCACTATATTTACTGGTTCATATGCAGGTATTATGGTTAATTTAATTTAGCTATCGGATTCACTGCGTTTTCGTTTTCTTAAATGTTGATTTGGGCCAAACAAAAGCATTAAAGATACCTTAAAGAATTCGGGGACAAGTATCCAAAAAACAGAAAAGCAATAGTTCCATTTGTAGTGTGAAGAATTTAATATTGTGTCATCAATTAAATATAAATAAATGCATTTTTATGACGTTTTATAAGTTATAATACGTATATATGTGATGATGAATATGATATTTTTCATCATTAATAAATTCCTGTATGTATATTTAACAGATTGCGAGACAGATCATCAATCGAAGTTGTTTCTCAACAGCAGCAATAAATGAAGGCACATTCTTAGATTAAGTGATGGCTTACTTCAACAAGGCTGCTGGACATACAAAAATAAGTCAAGATAAATTGGAGTAAGCAATATATTTCAACATTCTAGCTTTTACAAGAGCACTGATATAGTGATTAAATTCAATTTGCCATTGGTGAGAGATGACGGAACATATGTTTGCGTAATTTATTGTGATAATATTTTTAGGTGCCTGCATACAGAGCTCAACATAAGACCTATAGATTGCCTACTAAAGGAGGAACAAGGTTGAGTCCACACATCAACATCGAGGAGGTAGAGGCATTGTCATTTTTGATGACATTAAAAAACTCTATTTTGGATTTACCTTATGGTGGTGCCAAGGGTGGTATTGGAATCAACCCTCGTAAATTTTCCAAAAGAGAAATTGAGACTTTGATGAGGAGATACACTTTGGAATTGGCAAAGAAGAATTTCATAGGCGCTGCTATTGATGTGCCAGGACCAGATCTCGGAGTAATTTAATTTAGTAATTTCAGACAGGTGAATAAGAAATGAGTTGGATGAAGGATGCATATACCAAATTCAAAGGACACCAAGACATCAATTCTGTGGGATGCGTGACTGGTAAAGCAATCAATTAAGGAGGAATCTCTGGCAGATAAGAATCAACAGGAATGGGAGTAAGATATTGTAATAGAAATTAGATATTCTTTGCCACTAGGGAGATCTTGAATGATGTGAAGTATTGTCAATCTGTGGGAATTGAATCAAGTTTGAAGGGAAAATCAATAATAATTTAAGGATATGGAAATGTATAATACACAAATTAATAGTAAAGGTTGGTTCATTCTGTGCCAAATACATGTACGATTACGGAGCCAAAATAATTGGAGTAGCCGAACATGATGGATCAATTTATAACCCCAATGGAATCAACCCATATGAGTTGGCTGCTCATAAGACTAAGACTGGAGGAGTCAAGGGATTTGTTAATGCTTAGAAGTATTGGGAAGACGAGTAGGCAATCTATTAACAATGTGACATATTCATCCCAGCTGCTTTCGAGAAAACAGTTAATGCTAACAATGCTGATAAGTTCAATTGTAAGATTATAGCTGAAGGTGCCAATGGACCAACTACTATGGCAGCAGAAGACAAATTATTAGCAAAGGGTGTGATATTTTTACCAGACATTTTGCTTAATGCTGGTGGTGTTACAGTTAGTTATCTTGAATGGTTAAAGAACTTAAAGCACATCAATCCAGGAAGAATGACAAGAAGATGGGAAGAGTAAGCAAAACATAGAATTCTTGAAGTCATCAAAATGAGCACAGGTCTCAATATCAATATTAAGGACAGTAAGATTGCAAAAAAGATGTTGGAAGGTCCATCTGAAGTATGGCTATTATTTAAATATTTAGACTGATCTAGTGCATACAGCATTGGAGTAATCTATGATAGAGGCAGTCAAAAATATTATGGCTACATCTCAAGAATACAAAGTCAATTTAAGATTGGCAGCTTATATTAGTGCAATTAATAAGTTAAATGAACATTTTGAAATTTCAGGAGTTGAAGCATGATTGTTATATACATAAAAATATTCATTAAAATAAGTCAGAATAAAATGATAAAATGGTTTTGTATGCTCTTCATTTTTGAATAGTTGCTTGCACAGGATTTCCATGTTACAATAGAAGAAATTAAAGAAGAAATCAGTAAGATCTCCATTTATTCAGATAGATAAAAGGAAGATTTACTTTGGATCTACAGTCAGAATAGAACATTAAACTTCAGCATATTTTCTCCATTCCCACTTGGTGTCTTATGGAAGTGGATCAGGATAGCAATCTGTCACTGGAATGCAGGCTGATCATGATTATAATAGTTTATGGACTATCAAAGAGTGTCACAATCAACCACTGAAAAAATATGGTATTTAATACGTGTGATTATTATAGATGATCAAATAAAGTGCGGAGATTGCATTAGATTAGAGCATATGTTGACATTTAGAAATCTACATTCTCATCCTCATTAAGCTCCTTTTTCTGGCAATCAAGAAGTTTCTGCCTATGGAGATAATGGCAATGGAGATGCAAGTATAACTATTAATATGTATTCTTTAGGTGATGATTGGATATTGGAATGTATAGACTAGAAGAGTGGTGATAATTTTCAGGCATCAATGTGGTTTTATTTGAAACATAAATTAACATCAAAATATTTGAGAAGTAATAAAAAAGATAATTTCAATCAGAGAAATTGTGGATATCATTGTCCTATTGAGGGTTAACTTGAAATTAGTGCTTAATCTGCCAAAAATGCAGATGCTAAATGGAAAATACATTCAGGATTATTCTATCAATAACCATAACTAATAGAAGATGATTATGATTAGGATGGAAGACATTGCAACACCTATGGATAATGTGATGACATTGATGATGATGAATTTGAGACTGTTGTATAAAAAGACTTGTGATTTATATTATTATAAATATATATTATTACATTTTATCATTTATGAGAAGGTACTTTATTTCTACTATTATAGTAAGTAGGGCACAACTATACAAAAGTCAGAAAAATCAATTAAAAGTCAATCTGAATACTCGGATCATAATGTTAGTTATACTAGCACTAGGAAAGATATGCTTAGTGAGAGACTGGTCAATTCAGGGGAATAGGCCAGACTTGAAGAATATTTAAAACAAAAATTCATAGACGTTGGTTGGAAAGATGACTTGAAAAATCATGCAAAATGTTTAAAATAATAATATCATTAGAATTTATTAGAGAGAATGGACTCAAAATTGTTCACAAGGAAGATTTATATAAATTATTATCTGTCAAAGGCAAGGAAACCGTTCCAATGAAATTAAGAGAAGACATAGTTAGAAGATTAGAAAGATTCATAATTGAACTTGAATAGGAAGAAGAAGGTGAGTATGATGATGAAGATGATGATATTTGATATTGTTGTTTTTTCTAAGAATATTTTGATTTTGTTTTTTCTTATGTAATAAATGTCAAATGTTTAACTCAACTTATAAAGCAGTTAAGTATGACATTGGGCACACTTTACCTATTGTCTTTAATGGCACAGATAATCCTGAATGGATAGACAAACTAGGTATATAATATATTAAAATTGTTACTTCTAATTATAATTGTATTTCACATATTATCTGACTTCCAATGCTTAATTAATGTAAATTCTCCAATCACACTTTTTGACTTTTGCATGGCAGACCAAATCAAGATTCAATTTATTATCTACTTAGAATCCACAAGCTTTGTCGTTTCCTCTTCTTCTCAAATAACCCAATTTGATTTCTTAGTCTTGGCAACTTAATTTGTTATCTAAACTATTGGAAGCCTTGACGAAAAATTCGTTTAAATTTTAAGTGTAAGTCAATAGTCCATCAAATTTGAATTAATTAGAAGTAGTGTCCCATTGGATTCCTTCTCTTAAGTACCATTTAGGTTGAGTTAAATTAAAGTTGTAATTGAGGAATAATCCTGATTCGCAAGTTACCCCTTAACATAAATAAATTCTATACATACGGAATGCCAGAAATTCTTGTTTACTTCTTTTTACAATCCAAATTAATATTATAGTTTTTTATTGTTCGAAAAGAATTTGGCAAAGTAGGATGCTTCGAATTTACCAAGCTTCCATTATCCAAAGTCTAAACCTAATTTCAATTCAGTGTGATCTTTCACTCTGAAATGAACCTTGGTACCATTCCAAGGAAAGCGAGTATCGACCTTTTAACTCTTACAATATTTTCTAAATCTGAATGTGGTGTCTGAATTCTTCATCTGACCATTAATTTATAATGAATGATTGTCAGGGTTGTCCACAAAGAAAGTATAGAATGCACTATCTTTTATTTGACTTGTCATATTTTTATAATTTTATTTAATAAATCATTTTATTTATAATCTAACAATCAAACAAATGTACAAATGTACAAAATTCAAAATTAAATAATAACTTCTAAAATCTATAGGAATCAATTATCGCAAAATTGAGAGAACAAGAAAATCAATCATCTTTTCTTAAATGTTCACTATATCCATATTATCCAAAATTTATTTTGACAATGAATTAATGAAATAATTATTTCATTTTTTTGCTGACAGTTAATTCTTACAATAGTAGAGTTATATATATAATTGAATAATTATTATGTGTAATATTGATCTATTATTCAAACTTGACCCTACAAAAGAAGAAGATTCTTTAGATTTATCAAATGAAAAAGTTTAGATAAATCTACTTCCTCCTTACATGATCCCCTGATTAAAACTAATCTACTTGAGTCATTAAGTTTGACCTGTTTGTTAAAAGGTTAGCAATTGTATAAATTGGACCTTTCAGGTTCAATCGCCTTCTCTAATTAAGAAATTTTGGCAACTATTTTATTGACTTCCTTTGTATTCCAATCTGATGATACAGAATATTTATGTCCAACGTTTAATTTAGAATCTAAATCCATTTTTTATATGATTTGTACATGAAATGTTAGAACAGAGGATCATTTTTTTGTAACGATGTTTCAAGGCAAATTCGGTTCTTTTCTTGCTTTCTGTCATGGCTGAAAGTCGAATGGCAATCTCAGCCCATTTACGTCCATGTTGTAAGAGCAATTGTAAGAAATAAAGATCCTCTGAATCACTCCATTCTTCACTGAAATCATAGAAATAGACTTTACCGATTAATTGATGGATCCAATTTATTACCCCATCTTTCTCTACATTATTTTGGTGTTCTCGTGATTTTACTTTAACTTACATCATTTAGCTCTTTTGCTATCTTGCTCCATTTATTGCCTTTCTTCTGTTTCAAAAATGACCTTAAAGTGAGAACAACAATTTACAATATAATTTCAAGCAATTACTAATCTTCTTAATCAGTCCAAGGGTTATTATAAGCTGATTAATGTAGAAATTATAAACTCATTTGCTACAATTCTTTTGGAGTCCTATAAGTGGGCATCAATTCACTAATTAGCAACCATTATTCATCAGACTGATTATAATTTTAAAATATACAAGTTTTAGACTAAGTGGGGCTTGAACACTAATCAGAATACACTGAAGTAATATTTCTTCATTTTTCTCTCGATCCTCTGTGGCCTTACTTTGTTGAAGCTGGTAATATATTCCTTCTAAGACTTTGTAATTAGGAATGGAGTTAAAGTGTAACATCCATTTCCTTTTATATTCTTTTATGTCAACGTTTTGAATTTGAAGAAAGTTCAATTTATGAGAATGTTAGGATTCTTCAGTGGATTAATGATAAGATTATTAGTGAACATGAAGGAAGCTCATATTCTTATATGTTTATAAATTAATAAAATCTGTCGCATTCACATAATTTCTTTAAATATTATGCTTCCTGAATATCTTCCAAAAATATAAAAGTTTTAGTATCGAAAATTTATAAGTACAAATATACGTTTGCACTATGAGTCATTCATCTCAAAGATTACATATGGGAAGATTAAAAATTACAATAACAAACTATTTAGAAGACTTTGTGTCAATTTTCCATCTTATTTATAATAATCACAAATTTTGGATACTTTTATAAAAATATATTATTATTTATTAAATGTAATAAAGAAAATTTTGGAAGTAAATTTTAAAACTTGATTTCATTCCCTTAGCTTTTACTCCCATAAATAAATAGAATTTGATTTAAAATTTAAAGAAACAAAAATTTATTCAATTATATGTGTTATGCTATTTTTACAACTGAATTTCCTTTATTTTCTATTTCTGTTTGTAAATTCGATCCAAATCCAAAATTTCTTATCTTTTTTCACAATTCTTCTCCATTATTCTCAACTATTTTTATTAGATTTAATAATTATACATCCAGAGTTGGTATTTTATTAAAATGAAATCTGCTTAACTTCAATATTGTAACATCATTTTGAAATGCTCTAATGCGTCCAAAAGAGTTAAAACCTTTAGTATTGAACATCAAAGTTTCTCCAAAATAGTCCCCATATTTTATATAATAATTGTTGAATCCATTTGGATTTTCTATTTCACACATACCTGAAAGCATGATGTAAAAACCCTCTAAATGCATTCTATTATATTTCAACTAATCTATTTTGTGCTTATGCTTGATAATCAATTTCTTTAATTTGCTTTGAAAATGACAATGCTTATATTAATCAATCAACCTATGAGTCATCTAGATTGTTGCCTTGGTTTATTTTCTAAGATGGATGTATTCAAAATTTTCATAGTAAGACCCATCATTAAATAGAACTGTATTTTTTTTGAGATTGAGTTTCTCCATCAGTTCATAAACTAATTTATAAAGAGTTAAAATGGAGACTCCTTTAAAAATGGACAATTATTGTAATCTTGTCAATAATTCAATTCCTTCCATCTATTGTTGAGCCTCCCATAACTCTTCAAAGTAGTTCTTCTGGATTGAGATCAATTCTAATCTTGTCTGAGTTAAAAACCATATGTCTGAGATATTGCATAAACCATTGTCTTTGTCTGGACAGCCAAGAATATCTCCTTGTTTATAATTAGCTTAATTCAATAATAATTATTACCAATTATATCAGGTCTTTTATATTAAACTCTATGATCGTATACATTCACATTACCTGCTACAATTACGTGCACTTCATTTTCTTTTGGAAATATTACATTATCCTTTTCAACTACGATCAATTTCATATTCTTCAAAAATACTCTCTTAAATAATGATAAAAAATAATACTAGAATGCTGGTAGCAATTCTCTTAAAGAAGCTTGTTTGCTTGAGTTCAATTAATAATTCGTCCTCTCTCACCCATTATTGATTAATCCAAAATTTAACTAGATTCTCGATGTAAACATCTTATTCTATAATTGATGTAACCAATTTATGAAATTCACAAAAAACTAATGGATTAAATTTAATTTCCAATTATCTTTTTTAACTAAATAAAACTGCTAGCATAAAGTGAATACACAAACTGTAATTTGTAGCTCTTGAGGATTCTTTAACTATTTTGTAATCTTCTGCAGCTCTTTCTAAATTGAACATTCTTTTTGCACAAATCCCTCTCAAATATACATACAATGATCTGTCTTTAGAGTTATCATTTTGTATGATTAAATCTAATAATTGTTAGGATGCTTTAAAAGATCCAGTTTTGTATAAACAAAGAGCATATCTAAATTTAAGCTGATTAGTTTCTGTAAATTGTAAGGCTAATTGAAACCATTTTTTAGCAGTCATAATTTTGCCCATCTTTTCGTATATTATGGCTACTAACTATACAGCATTAGAATCTAAAGGGTTAGTAATCAAGGCCTATTTAAAACAATGCAAGGCTGTTTCAATATTATCCTTAATGTGTTTAATCCCTTTATTGTACCAAAAGTATTTATCTTCCTATTGTTTCTCATATTTTTCATCTAGCAAGGCATTAAAATTAACTAATTCAGTTTTATATTTAATCCTAGTTTCAGAATTACAATTCAGCAATTGTTTAGTTTTCTAGATCAATTATTTAGAATTAGCAACACTTACATCTGATTATTTATTTGATAGCATAACTGATTTATTTGATATGGTAGGATTGATGAGCTATTAAATATAAATAATATCTTCTTCTTCATTGATCTCAACATTTTCACTTCTTCCTTAGTTAATGTAATTAAATAATTATTTGATTTCAGGGATATTGGAATTTGAATTCTATTATTTTTGTTCCTTCTAATTCAATGAATCTTTGCGATTCCAAGCAAGAACTTGTTTGGTAACATTTTAGCTTTGATTATTACCCTTGATAACATTTTTGTTTTTACTATCACCTTTGAAATCATTTTAGCTTTGATTATCACCTTTGGGAGCATTTTGGCCTTGATTATCATCCTTTGTAACATTTTAGCTTTGATTATCACCCTTATTTAAACTTAAAGACATGTTCAAATTGTTGTTTATAGTAGTTCTACGACTCACTGATGAGACCTTGCAATTCTATTAAATTGATGATCTGGTTTATCTCGTTTATTTATGTGGTGCTTAATGAGGTTTTTAATCAATTGAATCAGTTTCACACATCTTAAGTTTCTCCTCTTTCATAAGTTTGTTATTTACCTTTTCCAACAAATTGCCATCAAATTTTTCTTTGTTTGATTTATCATCATTCTTTTTTTTGAGTCCTTTTATATTATCAATCATATTGCTAGTTAATAGAGTACTTTCCAATTAATCAATCGTATGTATTCTGGTACGTGCTTCTGAGTTTTTCTTCGTTTAATGACCTTATGACATCTTATCTGGATTAGTTATTTGATTTTGAGATTGTTATGTTTATGTAAATTGAAAAGGCTTGGGAATTAAATTTAAATTGGAAATCTTTTGTTCGTACTCAGAATCTGGATTAATTAATTATTTGATAGATTAAACTGCCTAATTTAATTGCTTTCTAATTTCTGCCTATTCCCTCTGATGAAATTTCATCATGGATCTAAAATTATTGTCAATCATCTATTTTTCTTACTAACTATTCTCACATTTGACTATTTGATTTTCTTCTGGCTACTTCACCTTTTCTTATTTTTCTATTTACTATTACAATTAATTAATCTCCTTGTATGCGAAAGATAAGGGAACCTCTTCATTTTTAGTGTAGTTTCTAGTAATGTTTTCATAATTCTATAGAAAGAGGTGATTCTCTATGGTTCTTTATTATTAATTTTAATGTATTGGTTATTCATGAACACTGAATCTTCGAGACTGGTTATCGACACTACTCAACCTCCTGTAATTTTCATCAGATTACAATAGAACTCCCCTTCTTCTAGATCCGACCTATTTCCTCTTGAGCTTTTTATCTTCTCTTTCTTGGATTGGCTAACCGAACATCAATATTTTAGGTTCTAATCTGGTGTGATTGAAGAGCAAATTCTTGGGATTCAATATACTTTCCCCATTTTGAATAATATATTTTTCATTTTTGGATATTTAATCTGTAAACAAATATTCTTTGATTCCTTTTTAAGTGGTTGGTAATCTATATCTACTTTTTAATTCTTCTGCATATTATTATGGAACATAGAATCTTTTCTTATTATTGAGTAATTATTCCATTGGTCTATTTTGTGATTAACAATACCAATCATCTAATGCCTATTCGGTCATCTAATTGAGGTTTATCTATCTCTCTCCACTCAAACCCCTTGATTATCTAAATTGATCAATGTTTGCTGACAATGCCTGAGAATATATAAATATATAATCACTCTCTCTTCCTAAATTTAAATCTAACTCTTATCACTTTCATGAAAATCATATTTGATACCACAAAAATCGTGATTCTTACAACAAGGAAGTTGCATATTATTCTTTTATTTCATAATTTATATAATTTTTATAATTCAAATTCCTCTTTTTGAGCAAATTCCAATTCCTTGACTAGCTCATCCATTAACTTTTATAAATGTTTTACTTGGCTTTCCAATTTCTATTTGCGCCTTATAATTTGTTCTTTTTAATTCAGTTTCATCTCAATTATTTTATATTTTATATTGATATTAAAAATTCATTCTATTAATTCCATATGTTTAGTCCTCTCTATAAGTAACACAATCGATCACTCTTACTCTAAACTTTTACGCTCTCTCTACGTACTCAATGTTGGGGGTTAGGGATTTAACTTTACTATATGAAAATGTTTAATTTCATTTAAAATGTGATTAATACACATGATAATTAAACTCTACCCTAAGGAGTCCTCTCATACACTTAATTCATATTGAGATTCTCCTGTAAAGGCTATTGAGATCAATCTTGCCATCATCATTATGCAGAGTAATCAAATAATAACGTAGTCTACTTATGGAGTTCATATCAATGAGGATCATAATTTAACATGGCCAATCTATTCACTTGAACCAAAATATTATCAATTTTGAATAGTATCATTTTGATTATATTCTATATCTTTTAAGTTTATCATTCATTGATAATATCCTTCATTCTTTTCTATTTCAAATTTCTTCTATTTGGTTCGTGCTTAGTATAATATAGCATTTAATCTGAAGTCAATTTCAATTCCTTCGTAATTCCTCTTTCATATGTAATTGTCACCATAACTCCTTTACATCGATGTATTTATTTGAATATCCACATGTTTTCTTCAACTCCTATTAAGTATCTTAATGATAGATCTATGTAATTTGTAGCATATTCCCTTTAAAATCACTTTTTTCTTTTCCTATTATAAATCTAAGTTTAGTTAATTAATTAATTGTCTAACAGCAACTCTCATGTTACAAAAACAAAAGAATTAGAAATCCCTTATTTTAGAACTTGACTATGAAGCCGAATACAAGTCAATAATGAGTTCAACAAAAATGGCTGAATAAAAAATAATATCTAAATTTGTTGATTTATATGAAGAGGTGCTTGTTTAAATCAAAGGTTCCCAAAATCTAGTAATTCATATTTGAATAATTAAGTATTTAATCAATAAAATGGCTAACTTCAAGAGTGGGAATGTTTTTAATATTGATGTATTGTAGTCGAATTTCAAATATCTAATCACATTGTTAATTTAAGAATTAGTATACTTTCACCTATCTATATTTAGATTTAATTTTAAAGGCAAGTGGATTCCCAAAACGTTGAACCCAATAAATCGAATAATCTCGAGTTAAATTAAATAAAACTAGACCTCTAAAAATTTAAAAATGTAATACTTTTTTTATTGAAAATTAAAGGACAACACTGACTTGTAATATAAAATTAAGGAACTTGAATAATAAATACATCAATAGAAACAGTTAAATACTACCATTTGCCAAGATTTGTTTGAGGCAAGGCAAAAATATTAAGTAAATTTGTTAAAAACCTTTTTATTAAGGAATTATAAAAGAAATATAATTAGGAGACCCAAATTAAATAATCAAAATCATTCCATACATTCTATGATCAAAATATAAAAGAAAAACTTAAAAAATTACATACAATATACTAAATTGACAAATGCTTAAATAATAAATCAATAATAAACAAAAAGTAAAAATTGACGATCATGACCGAACCTTGTGATTCCGATTCACAGTACAGCAGGTATAGCACTATTATACAACAAAATAATTCACAAAATGATAAAACCAATAGCAGAAATAAACAAAACCAAACCATTGAAAGTATACTTATATTTATTATTATTTAGCTGTCACATCGGTTGGAACCGAAAATAATTAGATGTCTGATTCCTCTTCATGTCTTCTAAGCAGTAGTTTTTATAAGAGGAGAGAGAAATCTAATACTCTCTCGTTTGAGTAGTCCTAAGAATGGTATTAAAATATTAAGCCTGCATCCCATCAAGGTCTTCCCTTAAACTCTAAAAAATAAATTATATAAACTTAATTTAGCCGATAATTGTGATTACTAATTTATTTATATTAAATATTAATCATTCATACTCACTAATTCGAAAATTATGAATTTCAACATAGGACCTAAGCCTAGTTTTAACATGCCTAAATAGATTTAATGTCTCAAGGAAGCAAAACCATATTCTTGTCTGGAAATAGAAAGCACAGATTGTTTCAAGAACGAAACAATTATAAAAAATGTTAGTTTTGCTCCAACTATTACTATCTTCCTAAGATATCAGGATGAAGACGTGGTTAAATTCAAAGATAGACTAAGAAAACAAGTGTAATAGACTAAAGAAACCTTTGATTTTCATCCATCTCTTGACAAACCAAAAAAGAAAGGATAACTTAAGTCTTGTTTAAAATCCATTGTTGATTGGGATGTTTGAGAAATTTTGATGAAGTACATTTTTGATTTACTATATATAAATACCTTAATTATAAATTACTCAAAGTTAAGTTAATGCTCTGGAATTTACTAATCCCTATTTTTAGCCATTTTCCCAAGAAATTCATTATTAAGTTATTTATATATTGGAATTCTCATAAACTCCGCTTCGTTGCATTGATCCAAATAGAAATTCACTCATTGTATGCGATTTTATAGATTTAATAAGTTCATAGCATTATTTTAAAACTTAAGCAAACCATTAAATTTAATATGGAGAGCAAAAAATTTAATTATTAACACAACATAGCAAAATTAATAAAATAGGAATTAATATGCACACGATTTAGAACAATACACTGACAATTATAATTATACAACATAGAACTGGACATAAATGCTCATGACATTAATGTCTTTTACCAAAGAGCAATCATTTTTAACAGGATAGATATACCCAATTTTCCATTAATATATTCATATTTTCATTAATTGGAAAAACGAAAATTCCTTGCTTTTTAATATAGGATAGTTTTATAAATATTTTTATTTATGAGAATTCTATATTTATTAATAATAGTATAAAGTACATGGTAATAAGTTTATATTTTTAATTTAATTCATTTATTTGAATAAAAAGATTTTATTTAATCTTGAAAAAATTGACGATTAAAAAACTCAAAATTTATATTTATTTATTATTAATTGAACTCATATGAATTCAAACGATGCAATTAGAAAATAAAGTAGATGGATACATTTTAATGAATAATCAAACTCATATACAAAAGTCAATTAAATATTCATCACTTAACTCAGCTTATTCTAGCTTAAGTTTAGGATTTTTTTATGAGAAAGAGCCTGGCCAATATTAGGTGGACGAGACATTTTTGGGTAAGAGTCCTAGAGTTTTGTAACTTTTAGCAATCAATTCAGAACAAAAATAAGTTCTGTTGAACTATTTAGCGGCCTCTAGGTTTACATCTCCAAGAGTTGTTGAGTTTTACAACAATAATTTAGAAGGAGCACAAGAAAATTCTTTTCCCAAATTATTAGTAACAAAATCTAGTAGTTTTGTTTTAAATGCTGTAGATCGATTAGCCTTAAGTCTTCTATAAACTATTCTATAATGATAGGATACGATATAGGATACTTTTCATATAACTTATACCACTCTTTAATGTTGAAAGTCTTCCATTCACAGAGGCTTACTCCATTGGTCGGAAGAGATTCGAATATAAAGAGTCTGTCTGGTTCAATTTTGATTAATAATCCAACGTGATCATAATCATTTTGAGTTAGGGCACGCTGGATTTAGCAATTGAAACTTTTCCCTCTGAATAGCAGTAAGTCTCCGTCCTCAGCTTCCTCATCAAGCTACTAAGCAGATATTCGTTCATGCTAAAGTAAATATATGGTATACTCTCCAGAACTTATCATAGAGACAGAGAGATGTTAGCTTGTTGAGGGTTCCAAAGGAATCTTGCAAATGCAATTAAATGATCTGAAACCATTTAGTTGTTTCTTGGAAATTGGAACCTTTGAATTGGAACACCTTTTCAATTTTGCCTATTGGTTTGATTCTAATTGGGTAATACTGAATTAATACATAAATTCAATAACATTTCCTTATTTATCCTTAATATCAATAAGTTAATAAGTTTAAACATCAAAATTTAGTACTCCTTCTAATTTGTGAGTTTCTGCAGAAAAGTATCTAAAAACTCTGTTTATAATTGAACACTATCTTAATTTATAACCTTAAATCCAATGAGGACTCTTTTTTAGCAGTGCCCCAAAAAATGGTTAGATTGCATTTCTGTGACTAATGGCCATGTTATCATTTAAGTTACTAGAATACATTAGGGATTGATTGTGAATTAATAATAAGGAGAGATGATTAGGATTAGAATTGGTCTCTTTAGTTTTTTGAATCTGATCTGACAATGATTCTCTAAAGTCTTTGCAGTATTAACTATTAAGGTTTGCACCTTTAATAAATTTTTCATTTTTTAGGAGCAACTATTTGTCATTAAATTCTCTCTATTGGAGACTGGTTAATGAATCCATTATATATATAATATTAAATGTTTTTGTTAATCTCAATTTAATTAGAGTCTTTCTCTAAGATATTCCTTAAGAGTAACAATCTTATCTTGAATGTGATCTGAAATTCTGGAAATCAAGTCCTGTAATTGCACTCTAGATTGAGTTTCCATTTAATAAATATCTTGTTATTGTCTGCACCATTGGTCTTATCCGTCTAAATTGGACTAGAAAGAGTAAACGAAATTAAGGTTACTTGATTTCTCTCCACTTCAGCAGCATGATACTCAACCTTGCCTTGGGATTCCTCGATGATGCTTTGGTAATTTAAGATGGCTTATTCAAGATTCTATCTTTAATCAGATCTAGAAATGAATAACGAAATTACAAAGTGTTTCTTTCATTGGTTAAGTCGGACAAGAACTATTACCAGTTCAAACTTTATTGTTTTTCAATATCTTCATCACTTGATTTGCTCTCTACAATTTGGACTCTCAAATTTGCCAATAGTTGTAACACCTTCTTGGCTGTATCAGAGTCAGACTTAGATGAGAGTTGAGTCATCATAGTTAGAATGGGTTAAAACAATAATCCACTTGATGTTGATTGACTAATGTTAATGTGATGATAATTGCTTACCTCTGCAATCTGGATAAGACTTTGTTAAATCTTCCTTTGACTTGAATGAATGAAGATCCTCCTGAAAGATGCTCAATCAAAGCGTAAGCTTCGTCAATGGCTGAGATGGCTTCAGTGTGATCCTTGATTTTAGATTAAAATTCAGCGTATTGTAAATCTCTTTCGCTCTGTCCTGCATTTGTTTTTTTGGAGTTCTCTTCGATTTCAACAGAAACCTCAGCAATTTTGTTTAATGATCTTTGCAAATTGTTTGTATTCTCATCCACGATTTTAGTATGAGCTTTCAATTGGCTTTGATGATATGCCAAATTTGTAGAGAAATCATGAAGCAATCTGTTGCATGAGGCTTGTGTATTTTAGATGTAAAGATCAGAGTCTTTTTGTTCTTATTCCAACATGAATCTAATTATAAATACAAGGTCGAACCTGATGTTATTGATGTAGCTTTGAATTTCATGCACTGGTGATCCTGTGGCTAAACTAATTTAAATGGCATTCAAGAATGTTTTTCCCATATGATTGTTGTCGATTTCTGCAAGCACAACTTTTGGATCTGTGGCCAATTTGCTTAATGCCTTTAATGATTATGAAGTCTTAATACCAAACCAATCAATAGCACTATAACGATTCTCATTTTTATATATAATTAATTAAAAACGAATTATGCTTGTGCTCAAATTTAATGATATAATCACAAATCAAGTTTAACAATAATAACAATAATACTAATACTTCAAGATTATCCTCTCTCGATACTCCAACCAGCATTTCCAGATTAAGAAAGCCTACACTAAATTCTCAGGTCGCTGGTCGAAAGGATGCGATTCAGAGAGATAAATAGATTATGTCCAAGAGAATTTAGATGTCAATTTGGTTGCCAAATTAGTTAATGCATTCAATGGCATTGAAATCATCATAAACACTCCCCAATAACTCTATGAAATGTATCACATACTGCATTTCTTCCAGATTCAAGAATTCTAAAGCCAAATAGAAAAGTTTCTCATACAAGACAAATCCAGCATTTTGATTGGATATCAATTGTCTGAATTGTATGAAATCGAGTCATTGTCTAACTTCTATTTTGAATATTTCAAAGAATATGGATTCCTGGGCATTTTTAATAAAAAACTTGATCCAGAAAAAGCAAGGAAACACATTTACAAAAATAAAAATAGACTAGTTCCACTTCATTATTTATACTTATAAGCCAATCTATTCAAGAAGTTGCTCATCCTGCATAACAATCTAGTAGTACTCAATTTTGATAAAAACAAATTTCTAGATTAATTTTAGATCGCTTTATTAATAAGTGAATACTGTATAACCAATGGCTACGATCGAATTAAATTATAAGAAATCTTCTCTGATGCAGTCATTAAGGAGCAAGTAACTAACGAATAGAAATAAATTATTTTGATAGAATTCGAGAAATAATATAAAAAAAATCAAATGAGAACTGTTTCAAGTATTTCCTAATCAGAAGAAGATGATTCATCAGATACCACAATAGAAGTAAAACATAGAACCTCTGAAGTCATGATTTCCCAAACTCCAATCATAGAACCTATTGAAATATTTAGAGGCAAAGAGTTGGATGTCAAATTGCTTATTGGATTAAAGAATTTATAATTTCATTTTAAAACAAAGCATACTTCATTTGGATTCTATGTGTCAAAAAAGATTGAGTTAAATACACAAATATAAGATGAATAACTATAGTTAGTCAATTTGAATACGAAAGTATAATTAAATACAAGTTTAATAGTGAATTGGATTAGATTTGATGAAAATGGATTAAATGTAAATAATAGACTAATAATCGTCAGATCAAAAGGAATATGTAGATATGAAGAAGATGTAAATGAACCTTAAGGCTAAATTAGATTAACAGGATGTCGAAATTTCATAATAGAAGAAGTGTAAGTATTGAACACTTGCTTCTTTGCCCTTTCTTGAATACGGGTTGGAATTGAAATACAATTCAATTTTTTTATTATAATTCTTAAATTTAACAGTGTGAATTATCTTCAAAATTTATTTTATTTTGGTAATTAAATGAAATTCTCATTCCTCTGTTTATCTTACATAATTTCCCTTGTTTGACAGAAATCCTTCCCATAGATTAAGACTGATTTAATTTATTGTTCTCCTAAGTTATTCTTTCCTTTATATCTTCATAATCAAAGTGTATTCATCTTTAAATATTGTTAATCTCTATAGTTAATAATCTTTTAAGCTTCACTCAACTTTTTTTCTTGTGATTCAATAAGTACTGGAGTTGGTAATCATTCATAGATTTATACCTCTTCATTGAATTTATATTTTTGTCAGAATATTAACATAACAAATAAAATTACGAAAACGTATTGGAAAGCTTAAGTGTATTTACAAGCAAAGAAAATTGTTTATTCTTAGATTTTATCATAAATTATTTCATTCATATGGTAATGAAATCCAATATACCATAAAAAAGGTCTAAGTATCAAGCTAATAAGACTATGGCTAATGTTATGCATCAAAGAAACCTCAAATTAGTACAAATTGTGAGTTAATTGACCTAAGTATGTTATATAGTTCTATATTTTCAAACCAAAAATATCTTCACACCTAAAGATAAAACTTGAAAGTAACTTTACTAACTTCAAAAATATTGTATCTTTTGAAAATGATTCATAATTATTCTGATCTTTGGTAAATTGGTATTTCATCTGATATCCTGCATTCATTAACAGAAAATATTAGATAAGACATAAGAAATCCAACACCTTTTCATCATTTATTGAATTTATTAAGATATATTAACTCTAAAAGACTAAACAATTCTTTCGATAGTCAAATTAAGTACTTCTCTCAAATCGATTTTGAAATCTGATATAGAATAATATTTAAAAAAATTCAAATTAATTAGTATCATAAAATAAATGTGAGTGTAGTTTAAACGGTATCATTAATAATTACTTCTATAAACTACGTTAAACAATTTGGGTATTAAAATAATAGAATTAAAGTATATCACATATAGCTGCCCTTATTTTACCGTTTTTAATTATATTTTATTAGAATATTGAAATCTAGCCTGGATCCAAATCTGACCAAATCTATAGAAAATTTCAAAAATAATATTACAAGATTTAAATCCAAATAATCCAGATTAATGTGATAAAATTATGCTTATAAAATATCTACATTTTCCTCTTTGGATGAGCTTCAAAAGGGAGCTAGAAAATCTCTTCAAAAAAAAGCAATAAAAAATCAATCTAAATTTAATTTTTTAAATTGTAAGCAAGTTTTAAGAGTGTGCTCAGAAATTTGAATGAAACTATAGATTTAAAATTTTTGAGGAATTGCTTTTACTTAAGATTATATCCTCCATAATATGATCAAAAGAAAGAGCAAGTAAATGGATATTTTTGTATTCTAAGAAAACTACAAAAATATTATGGAAAATTAGAAATTATGAATAAGCATTTTCATTCATTCATTTGGGAAGTAATCCGATAGCATTCCTATTAAAATGCCAAAATTAGTTTCATTTATTAAATGAAAGTATTTATTACACTTATTTAATGTACTCTCCAATCAAAGGTGTGAATTGGACTACTCCATATATTCTGACATAAAATTATTATTTTATATAAGTTCATTTAAAAATATTGTTAATAATCTAAGCAACAACTTCCAATTATTCGTCTTCCTCTAATTATTCAAATTTTTAGATCTCTGAATTTGGTATTGATAATTCAGTGTTTGATAAATAGTATTGAATCACATTTTTATCTTCTTCCTTTAATATCGACTCTTATGTAGCATTATAGATTATCAATAAAATATCACTAAATTGTGGTTTTAAATGCTCGATGCAATCTTTTACATCATCTTTCACAATCTGATTGCTTACAATCACTAGGGTGTTTTCATTCGATATAGTCTGATTGCAATTGGAAACTTTGGTCGTATCGCTTAACTAATCAAAATAGTCGAATTCTTCTTGAGATATCACTTTTTATATTTAAAATCATACCTAGTAGGTGGGCATTCTTTTTGTGAAAGCCTACGTATTTTGACTATATATTATTACTTTATTTCTTAACATTCCAAAATAGTAGCATAATTATACATGTGAATGCCAAGGTTGCCCCAAAATATATCAAGTTATTAACATGAGTTTTTTTATCGGATTTGAGAGGTCCCACTTTGGATTCGTTTTTTTCTTATTTAATAGCCTCGCTTATAAATTCTGTATTTTCTTCATCCCCTATCATTTTAATTTTTTATTTATATTAAAAGTGATGTTGGTATTGTGTTATAAATATTTTTGGTCCTGCAAGACATTTTGGAGTGAAATCATTTTCAAAGATAGAGAGAGCAAATTCAATTTATTCAAAACCTGAAAAGATTCTTAATAATTAATTATCAAAACCTATAACAAGTTTTGGTTTATTTATAAAATAAATTTTAATTATTCTTTCAATTCATTTAGAACATTGTAGTGTCTTATGTTTGTATTCTTTTTGATAAAATTAGCAATTACTTTTTGTATATTTTAATATAATAAAGGAAAATGAAATTAGATGAAATAAAAAAATGCTTTAATTCTGAAAATCACTATAAACAGACGAAACAAATCAAAGATTATATTTTGGAGAACAACACGTAAGAGCATCACTAATAATAAAGTGAAATAACAAAAGCAGCAATTCAAGCAGTAGGAAGTATTTTGGAAGACACTAAATCGTTACCTATTTAAAAAGTCTTATCTACAAGAGTACAATATTGTCAAATATTCAGTTAGTGAAAGAAATAATGGATTATCATATTGCGTTGGTTATTGAAAAAGTATAAATTAAAATCATTCCGATTTATGAACAAATTCTAATAAGTTATTGTGAGAAAGGTCAAAAGCCAAAGCAATACTTTTCTGATTAACCTGGTAGATGTTATATATTTATTTTAAAGATGAACAACTAATGGTTCTTAGTAACACATTTATAAGATTGATCAGTGAATCTGTATTTGTATGGAATATTTGGCATCCATTTATAGAAGGATAATAATCAGCTTACTCAAGAGTGTAATAAAGACGATTTTAATTTTAGTTACAATATATTGGTTGCAAAAGGATTGCAGTTTCCTAAACTATTTTATTTTAATTCTTAGAAAGTGAAGGAATTCTATGTCCACTCAAAGGAATAAATGCATAATTCTCCATTCGTGTACTCAAATAATATCTAACCTGATTTCTTTTACATTAAAAAAAGATTAGATATAAATCAATTCTAATAAAGTGATCTCATTATCATAAGGAACGAATTACTCTGTAAGTAATTAAGATTATCACTTTTAGCATTAAAAAACAGTGATCTCAATTCTAGTTAAGAAAAGTTTATCAAAAACTTTGAAATAGCCTACAAGGACTTTGAAAAAACTTAAAGATTTGATGAACTTTAAATAACGATCTAATCAATGTAAAGTATTTGCATTTAATTTTTACAGTTGTTTGGAGTTTGATGATGAAGTGTTTGATAAATAAGCAGCCATAGACGCATTTTAAAAGAGATTCCAATCAAATTAGAGCAATTTTACACCTTCTAAATTACATGTAGGTGCTGGTGGATATTCGACTGATAAAATTAGTCAATTCTTATCTCATGGAAGTATGAGTGTAATTCATCCATTTTAATTGTCTTAGTCTTAAAATTCATCGCCTAATAATAATTAAAAGCAGCAACTGCAAATTTTAAATGAAAAGAATAGAAGAATCGAACAGTTATTGTTAGAAAACTCTCTTTTGTAGAAATAAATAAAAAACTTTGAAGATTAGATTCACACTTTGAAACAAAATCTATCTTAAAATAATGAATGAGGATTAATTAATATTTAAAGAAATATATTCTAATTTGCAATTATGATTTAATTAACTAAAGAGCATCTTCATGATTAAAATAAGAAACTTACAGAAGAGAATCAAAGATTGGAATTGGTTGTCTACAGTCTCCAACGATAATTGTAAAATCTTGGCTCTTTCATAGAGAGATCAAAATTGTTACAAGAGTAAGTTGATGAGCTCAACCAAGAATTGGGGAATGTCAGAAGAGACAACACTCAATTACAAGAGATCATATTCTCCTTGTAATCTCAGCTAAGCTCAAACATTAAAAACATTCATCTGGAGAAACATCTCAATGAATTGGAAGTCAATAAGAAAATCCAAGAGGAATAACTTAATGTCCTTTCGAAAGAAAATGCTCGACTATAGAAACTAGTGAAAGACTATAATAATAAACAATTTTCTAATCTTCAATCTTCTGCGGCTAAACTAGTTGAAATTGGAAATAAAATAGATTAAAAATTAGGTGATTAGTCCCACAAAAGAATGCTCAGCAATCCCATATTATCAAGTCCCAAAGGGATCTCTAAAGAAGTGTATAAAAATTTAGTTCAGTAACTTTCTAACTAAAGCACCGAAGAAAAGTCACTCTTTGCTTCTCAGTATTTATTAAAATTATATAACGTAGAGCTAAAATCAAGCTTAAAGATTCGAATATGTTCTCCAAAACATCATATAAACTATCAGGATTTCAGGCTCTCTAATTAGATTCGCCATTACCTTCGATTCCTAACCTTACCAAAAAATGATTATAATAAATTAAAATTATTCGTAACATCTTCTGCTTACTATGAGATCCAAAAATCAATTTATTACTCATTATATTACTAATAAAGTAATACTAAAGGTAGGTACAATTTTGTACTCATCAAAAGAAATATATCATAAGAATTTTATTCTAAATAAAAATCATTTTAAATGATATTATTTCTTTTATACTTTAAAAACTGTTTTATATAATTTGCTTATTATCATTCATAAAATACAATGTTTACTATAAAGTAATTACATACTATAACCAAATGGAGGAAGAAGTAAAGTATAGACAGAAGATGTTCAAGATTATAATCCCAAGGACAGAACTTTAATGTAGATCCTCTTATGTTTATCTATTATGCAATTAGCAAATATTTTTATTTTGATTGTATTATACGATTAAATGTAATATTCAATATTTTCTCTAAATTTAAAAATATGCAAGCACCAGGCTTAACAAAATTGCCTAGTCAATAGAAAGTTCCTAAGTATAGACCTGTAAGATTGTAAAACAAATTTAGTCCATCAATATTGACAATTTGATTGCCATTTGCACAGGAAAACTCAAGAATTGCCCAAATCATAAGAAAGCACTTTATATTCGTGCATCAGCTTATATTAAGAAAGGGGAATATTAAACAGCCATACAAGATTGCAATAAGCTTCTTGAAACTGATGGAGAGAACGTAGGCGGATATTATTTGAGAGGTATTAAAATTTGAAAATGAAGGATGTGCAAATGAAAAATTGGGTTAAATAGATTTAGCTATTGAAGATTTTTCAAAAGTGCTCTCATTGGATGAAAATCATGTTAATGCAGCATTCGCTCGTGCTTCTTGTTTAAATTTGAAAGGGGACTTTGCTGGAGCTATTGAAGATTATACCCGAGCCTTGGAAAAGGACAATGCTAAATCTCTTAACCTGTCTAATTCAATCAATAAGAGGTCTTTACTGAGGAATAGTTCTATGAAAAAGGATGAACCTTATCCTAAGACTGATGCATTTTAATTTACTACTAAAAAGAATAAATATTAACAGCCTGAAGAAGATGATTTGATGAATCCTCAGAATGATGAGGAATACCTTTAAAATGATCAATCACAAATTTAAAATCAGCCTCAGTAGACTAGCTTCATGAGTTAGAATCCTCTGTATACAAGCATTGATGCAAATGAATTAAATATTCAAAGGCCATCACAAATAATTGATAAGGAGATATCGTAACCAATGTAATAATAATTGATATCAATGATACCAGAAAACATCAAAAATGATAATAAGAAAATCTCTGATTGGTTTCATTCGCAGGGTTTTGAGGCTAGGAAAAAAGAAGACTTTATAAAAGCAATAGAATTTTATACTATGGCTTTAATGTTCAATCCCAATCATTTCAAATCAATATTCAATAGAGGTATAACTTGAATTAATTGTCCTGATAGGTTTTGCTTTTGATAAACTCAGAATGTACAATGATGCAATCAGTGACTACACGAAGGCTATTGAAATGGATTCAAAGAATGCTTATGCATACTATAATAGAGGGATTTCCTATGATAAGAAAGGAGATTACAATTTGGCGATCAAGGATTTCGCAAAGTCAATAGAGCTTGACCCTTCAAAGGCAGACTTTTATCATAACAAAGGATTTGCAATGAAAAAGAAGAACTTAATCAAAGAAGCAATATTAGAGTTTAATGAATGCATTCGGTTGGATAAAAATCATTTCAAAGCCTATTATAATCGAGCAAATTGCTATGAGAAGTTGGGAGACTTCGATAAAGCACAATAAGATTATTTGATAGCTAATAATGTTGTTCCAAATAACCCAAATACTCTAACTCATATTGGCATTTTGATGGACAGACAATAAAAATTAGAAGAGGCACTCAAATACTTCAACTCGTAATGAATTTAATTTCATTCTTAGATCTCTGAAGATAGATTAGAATTATGCTCCTGCATATAATGGAAGAGGGTTGGTTTTTGATAAAATCGGAGAGTTTGAAAAAGCATGCTAAGATTTTAATAAGGCAATTGAGATAGAGCCATAGAATCCCGTATATATTCATAATAGAGGTTGTTGTAAGAGAAGCATGAACAAGTTTGAGGAGGCTTTGGAAGATTTCAAGAAAGCCTTGTCTTTGGATTCAAAGAACCCAATTATCTATTCAAATATGGGATTAGTTTTGAGGAAGATGGAAGACTTTGAAACTGCAGCATATTGTTATTCACAAGAATTAATTTACTCTTAGGAGAACACAAGAACTTTAAATAACAGAGGGTACTGTTTGGCCAAGCTGGGTTAGTTTGATGAAGCCATAGCTGATTATACTAAAGCAATAAAATTAGACCCTATCAATATTCATGCAATATATAACAGGGGGATTTGTAATGAGAGGATTGGAGAATTTCGTAAAGTAAAACACAATTAAATATAAAGGCTATAGAGGATTTCACTTAAGTAATTCACTTGTAGAACGACTAAGGAGCTAATGCTTATTTCAACAGAGGGTGTTGCTATGACAAGTAAAAATGTTGATAAAATTATACTAGTATTGGAGAAATGGATCTGGCCATAGCCGACTATTCCAAAGCACTTGAAATAGATAATAAAACTAGTAAAGTCTCATGATAATTAAATTATTTATGTAAACCTTACAATATTAATTAACATAAAGAGAAGAATTATTAATTTTATTTGCTATTAAATTTAACTAGATATTAGATTATACGATATGATGGCATTAGTAATAAGGGATATAAATAATAATGTGATTATTCTAATAATGACACTTTATATATTATTTCATTTTGATTATGCTCTACCTTTAAAATGATCCATCGATTCACTTACTCCAAATATTTCCATCATATTGTCATACACACATGTTGGAAATATGGCCTTCACAATAATGGCAAAATTAAGGATAATTGGCATAATAACAACAGTTTCATTTTGGAGAATTGCATTGACGATTCTTTGAGATGCATAATCTAAAGATATGTGAGAATAGTTACTTTCAGATAATATTGGGAATAGAAGAGGGAACTTGGATTTAGCTCCGTCAAACATCCCAGTGTTGATGAAATATGGACAAATACAAGTAGTTCTCACTTTAGATTTTTTAGCTCTTAATTCGAATCTAAGGGATTCATCAAAACCAACAGCTCCAAATTTAGAAGCACAATAATCAACCAATCCTCTGACTCCAACCCAGCCTGCAATTGATGCTATGGTAACAATGTGGCCATGATTATTTTCAATCATATTTCCTAAGACTTCTCTCACAGTCCAATGATGTGCAGTTGTATTGATATTGATAGTCTTAGTAACACCAGCTTCTGAATTTTGGAGTAGTTATTTTCCACTCACAACTCCTGCATTATTAATCAAAATATCTATGTTCTTTTTATGGAAATTAATGGATTCTGAAATTGCATTTTTCACAGATTATGGATCGCTGACATCACAATAAACTCCAAATGCGGTTTTATCCCCTGACTCCTTATTAATTGCATCTACCACTTCTTACAAGGCAGTTGTATTCAAATCAACAATTGAGATCTTGGTGTATTGAAATTGAAAATACTTTAGCTCCTAATTTAGCAAATCTAAATGCCATGTTTCTTCCAATACCACTGGCTCCTCCTGTAATAAAGACATGTTAATTGGCTACACTCTTCTTCTTTAACCATCTATGATAAATTACATAATTCACCCATTGTGTTTTCGCACTTAATATTGGAGGAACAACAACCCAAGACCCAGAGCTGCTGCTTGCACTAATCCTTTTTTTCCTCTCTTTTCATAGAATTTCCTGTAGAAGTCTTAAGCCTTTGTGAGATATGGTTGTAATTTATCCATTTAAGATAATTATTTATTCTTATCAATAATTTACACTCTGTTTTATTGCCTCATAAATTTTAAATTTGTCTGGCAAATAAATTGGTTCGTGAACTAAGGGAAATGGTGTGTCGTAGCCTGTAACTCTTTTTATTGGTGCCTCCAAATGCAAGAAACATCTCTCCTAAATATATGCACTTAATTCAGCTCCCATTCCACATGTCTAAGGGGCTTCGTGTGATATTATGCATCTATTTCATCCATCAATTCAATACCTTCCAGTCTTCTTCACTGAATCAACCAGTGTCTATCCATCATATGGGTATATTGTTTACAAATCAATTATCTCACAACTTACTCCATCCTTTTCTGCCAACTTAGCTGCCTCTTTTAACACTCGTATTTATGTGCCATATCCTATCAATGTGATGTGCTTCCCTTATTGCACTACTTCAGCTTTAGACAATTCCAACTAAAATTCATTCCATTTCATCGTACCTCATAATCATCCAAAGGAACCTCGTCCTCGGCATTTCTATATAAGGCTTTAGGCTCAAAAAAGATAACTGGGTTTTTATCTCTTATGGATGCAAGCAACAATCCCTTTGCTTATATTGGATCTCTGGGCACTACGACTTTCAGTCCTGGAGTATGGGCAAAATAAGCCTCTGGAGATTGTGAATGATATAAAGCACTAAATTATACTTTATATTCTTACCCGTGTCCTACAGCACCCCAAGTTGATCTTATTGTTAGACTTCCACAATTGAATTGATCCCCTGATCGATATCTGAATTTAGCTGCCTCGTTGACTATTTAGTCAAAGGCTGGGAATATGTAATCACCAAACTAGATTTCTGCTATTGCTGTGTATCCTACACTTGCCAACCCAATTCCAAAAGCTCCGATTCCCTAATGATTTCTAATTGTTCATACTTGCTCGCATAATGGAGTATTGAATACTCTATCAGTACCGTACTTTTCATTCAAACCCTAAGAGCATCGAAACACTCCTCCAAATTTTACATCCTCTCCAAATAATAATGCCCTTTCTTATATATTATGACGTACTTTGGATTTGCTCCTAATTCTATATCAAGTGCATTATTAATTGCTTAAAACAGGTTCATTTTCTACCTATTTGTGCTTTTAATATCTGAAGCAAATCTATGCTTTGTTGAGCCGAATCTATAAACTTTTCTCAATAATTACATTTATTTATTCAATTCGTATGTAATTCAATTTAATTTTATGATAAGATTGCCTCAATTAAAATATAAAGGGAAAAAACTTACAGCTTTAGCACCCCCAAGTTGATTTCAAAACTTCTGAATGAATTAAATTTATCATCTTTCATAAACTAAACATAAATTTTTATTAAAAAAGAACATGATTACTTTTAATATATATAAGTATGTAACAAATTATTTGGCTTCTTTTTATAAGATATCTCATTGAATAGTTAACAGGTTGCAGAAAATAGGTTTGAGAAAAATTAAATTTATCAATTAGGGAAGGGCGGTAATACGAAAAATAATAATCATTAAAAAAAAATTTATATAATTGTCTATATTACATACTATCTTATCAATTGATCGAGAATTATTGACTCAATATTTTTATTCTAGTAAATACCAATCCAGAAACAAAAATTAATTATGTTAATTTTATATCCAATATTCCAAATCGTATTTTCTTTGCGTCAAGAGTTATTATTTTTACAAATAATATTCGCACTTAGAAACATCCAATAAATTGTTGTTGGTGAAGACATAAATATTAATTTCAGTATTCTGAATATTAGCTTAATTATTTTAATTGTGTAAATCTTAACCTAAAGACAGACCTTTATAAAAGGCAAGTTAGTATTTTACATGTATTTCTTATTTTTATTCATATTGATAATTCTAAAAAATCATTGTATTTTGGGTATAATTTAATTAACAAAATACTAAATAATGGTAATATTTATAAACAATATTTTCTATTATGAACTATTTATTGAAGAAATTAAGATTTGCTTGCATTCTAGAAAGATAGCTTTAATGAATAAAGATATTGAAATATATTTAATTAATAGCACTTAAGAGCAATTCTGAAAAAAAGTTAAGTACATTTAGTAAAATTATTATATAACAGCATTAATATTGAAATGTTGAGAGATAACTATTTTAAGTTGATTTAAAGACTTAATTGGCTCAAATTTTTTTTAAAAATAAAATGATCCTAGCTAATTATATTAAATTTTGAGATTTATTTTTTTAATAATATATAATATGAAATTTTTTGCAAAACTTACATAATTTTTTATCACTATTGGATCAAGCACAGAAAGAAGAGTGAAGAATATTGATTATGGCAACATGACTATAATTATTTATTACTTTATTTAACTTATTGGATATATTTACAGCTAATTTGAGAGCAAATCAATTAAATATTATGAAAATGACTATCTAGCATAAATTAGTTAGTTATCATCAATTCCATTTATGCTAATTATCATACATTATGATCCATTAACTATATTTGCATATTACAGCGTATTCATTACAGTATGTGCTATATTTCTACTTTCCTTACTGTAAATATTATTGAAGGTATCAAAGCTAATAATTAATAGCCTCTACCTTTTAATTCCCCAATTAATAAAATCATCAAATTTTACTTTCAAAATTTTTAATGGTTTTTTCTGACTCCATTTAATGAATGTATGGTCGGAGTGATCACTTGTGGAAGATAATCATACTTAGCGCAGCATTCTTTGATTAACCCCTCTGAATGTTTTAGCAAGATATCTCCTCATTATTTAATAATTAGTTTTACTGGAATGATAATGATTTCATTATCAGGGATTCTTTCTATATATTGCTTCAGGAACTATGAATTTTTGTAAAGAGGATTATTAAGGAAGTTCTCTGCTTTAAATTTTGCAACAATCTTTTTACATTAGTTACTAATAATTTTATCATTTTGGAAATTAATGTACTCTGATTATTACATTATTATACATTCTTGCTATAATTTGATTATGCTTTGCATTTTAATTGATGTTGTAACTAACACCCCTTTTGGATTTACAAATGAAACAGTATTCTACTCAAAAATACTATTGAGCTCTTTTTTCTTTGGAATCTTGATTACAATCTGGATTTTTACCAACAAAGATGATGGGATCATATTCTTAACATTCACAATATTTTTACCAGTAAATTATAATAATTTTATAGATAATTTTTGCAGCCAATTAAACTGTTTTTAGTAACTATTTTGAATAATAGAGTTTGAAATTCTGTGAATTTATCGATTGTACTTTGAGCGAAGAGCCCTTAGAATATTTATTATTGCTCTCTCATCCTTTAACTATGACTCAAACAAGCATTTGCTAAACTTTAAAATTATTAAATATTCATTGTAATAACTGCAAGGATTTGTAATGCCCTTGTAATTAAAGCTTATCTAAATTCGTATTATCTCATGGTCCTTTCGATAATGATAAACTATACATTTGGATACAATATTAGTTTTAAAAATTAATTAAAATATCAATGAGAAAAGAGTATTCAATTGAAAATTTTGAATAGTTAACAATAAAGTTTTCTACTTTTCTTTAAAAATATAGAGAGAATTCATATCTATCTTATAAAAGCATTTAGGATATTGTTATTAATTTTAATAGATCTTAAAAGAATAGTTAATAATATCCATAATTTTTTATAAGTTTAACAAAAAAAATTTAATCTGATACAAAATAGGAGTTAGAACAAATAAATCGTTCAAATTTTGTGATAACAAAAACTGAATTTAAAACATTATAAGATTTAAATTTATTCTTTTGTTATGAAAATGATTTGATGACAAAAATTAGATAACAAGTTTATTATTGTAAAGAATTTTGGATCCTCTACTAAAATGGTACTCTTAAAGATTTTAATGCTTTACTGATATAATCAAAAAGAATATTAAATTAAATTGAGAAAGTTTAGTAAATTTATAAGATATTTTTGTAAAATAGAGAAGATCCATAATATGAAAACCTTTTGACTCTTCGAATTAATTTACTAATTTCAATCACTTGTTTGGATGATTTACAAACTTAATTAAAAAAGGCTGATAGGCTCTAAGTTGTCTAAAGGGAATCCTTATATTCATCAAAGTAATAATTTCATATTTTAAAATACATTAATAATGAAGCTATTTCAGTCGCATCTCTGGTCTCATTTTAATCATTCGGAATGATTGATTTAAAGATTTCAAATAATTTTAAACAATTTTTTGGTTATGATGATAATGATTAAATCACTTAAATTAGTCATTTGCTACCAACTTAAATAGGTGACATTCATGATGGATTGGTTGAAAACTTTTTAATGGTGGGATAAAGTTCTAAAATTTACAATTCTCAAGAATCGTTTATAAAGAATAAAAATAACTTTATTGAGAATATCACAATGTGTTTGACTATTTCATTGCCATTATAAGCTGATATTCATTATTTTTTAATAATATCACATTTATTAAAATAATTCACCCTAGAAAAAAAAAATCAAGATTCTTTAGAAAAAGGCTATTTGTTAGTTGATGTTAACTTTTAAGTTTTTGGAATTAGTGAAAGCATTTTTAAGAAGGTTACTTAATTTTCATAAAATGATAGAATCAATCTAGATTAAATTTAATAAAAATTGATAGTATTTTAATTGATTCCTGATCTCTTTGTAAAGATGCAAGAATACTACAAAATCAAATAACTTCAAAATGCCAATCTAACAAATTAGGAGGTACTATTCTTTAAACATGGTGGATCATTTCAAATTCCCAATAAATAAATCTTTAATAATAATAATTCAGAAGAGAAAATTAAAAAGAAAAAGAAAAAAAAAAATAATTTGCTTACCAATAAAATAATTATAAACAACCTAAATAAAATTGAAAAATAATCCAATTTTAATAATATAAGCTAATTTCAATTTCCTATAGAATATTCAGTTGTTTAGAATTTATTAAATCCGCTGATTAATGGGATTACTTCAGATTTTTTGTATTACAAAATAGAAATAGAGTATTAAGATGATATAAATAATGGCAAATCATCATTATAATTTTTGCCATCTTATCATGATATCTAAACTGAATAGATAAACTCGAAAAATAAGTCTCAAAATCATATTTTGTTATAATCATTTGATTCAAAGGATGATGAATTTTTAAATTATCAATAAGTGATTGCATCATCTACAACAACCTAAAGGAATAACAAAAATGACTTTTTTTATCAAGCAAATCTTTTGAACAGTTTATTAAATAACAAAAGCATACCGAAACCAATTCTAAGTCTGATCCTGTTATTTATTTGCTAAAATCTCATACTCCTTACTTTAATTATATTTATTGCAATGATGTTTTCCTAAAAATCAATATTACAATCAAATTGCGTGAAAATAGTTACAACAGATTTAGATTTTTTGGATGCATACTCTTAAATGATGTCAGGATCAAGACATGTAATTTATTATCGTGATTTTTATGAAAAAATATCTGATTAAAAGTTAAGGATTGATAAGAATGATGTTGAATTTAGTCGAGAAAATAAATTATTAATATCTTGGAATCATATTAATCTTGGTATTACAAGATTAATTACTATCTATGAATAAAACAGTAAAAATTTAAATTAGGGCTCAGAAGATGACCTAAACATATCAATAATTAATAGTGATTTGAAAAGTAAAATTGTGCAGTAAGTTTAAGATTAGTCTACCTATTATTAAGTAATGTTTTAAATATTTTTCATGTCAAAATAAACTTTCACTTAAAATTTGTCCAACTTTTTACAAAATTCTACTGATCCTTACACTACATAAATTAGTAGATCTTTAGTTTATTACAATTATTTTGATGTCACTTAATTGGTCTAGGCAAAGTTAGATACTTGCAAAAGTTACAATTATTATATCAATGAATATATTGATAGAATTACCGCATATTTCTTTATAGGTTTGTACTTAGCAATTTTGATAATTGCAATTATTTAGTTTATGTTTTATGTTTAAATAAAAAGATAAATCAGTTTTTATTTATAATTGTTTGTTTAATTAGATTGTTAAGATTCAATAAAATCTTTGTAGAGGTTCGAAAATATTCATAAACTATTGAATAAACAATCAATAGTTCTGAGCAAGAAGTATTACGAGAAAATTGTTGCTCAGACCTCTCTTTAATATGATCAACTTAGATCTATCAATTTTAATAATTAACCCAATCTTATTCAAACTTAAAAATAAAAAGAAAAGTAAGTCAGAATTGATAATAATCTTTCTTATTTTTCTCATATATTTGCTCTAGTATTGATAACCTTAATACCTGTCATATATGCATTAGCTTACTAATTGTATTATAACATTATTTCAGTTAATGTCACTCCAATCAACAATTCAGCAATTTAAGCTTAAGAAATGAGATTGAAATTTATAACAACTATCAATAGATATGATTAATTTTTAGTCAAATCTTACTTTGAATCTTATTGTAAATTATCATAATCTGACTCTTCATATAAGTGCTCATTCAATAACATCTATTCTGATAATCAAATTTTATAGTAAATAGAGATGAATGAAACAATTATTTAGGAAGAATTAAACACTTTTTAATAATTAGACTTTTCTAATTTTTTTTTCAATACAATAAATTCAAATTCATTCAATTCAGAAGAAAAATAATCTATATTATCTAAAGACACATGCTTATTAACAAATTGTGATATGAAGAAAGATATATTTTAAGAAAGGTTGTTTTAGGAAAATTTAAACTCATATTTCTTCTAAGGAATAATCAAACTTCATCAAATTGTTTCTTCCCTCTACCTTTAATTTAATTTGATATATTAGAATCTTAATACTCCTGAGGAAAAATTAAATGCAATACAAGATATTATGGAAGAAAATGATTATCTAATATATATCCTATGGGGATTGGATGCTATTTAATATCAAATTTCAGAATTTTCTCAATATTTTGTTAATACTTCATTAACAACACTAAATGACTTTACTGCAAACATGTTAGTTAATGTAATATAAAGTGGTATTGGGATGCTATTGATGGTAGGGGCAATTTAAATTATTTTCATTCAGATTTTATTGAAGAAATAGATTATTGCAAAATAATTATTTAAAATAGTTCCATTATAAATCATTTTTTAGAAAAACATATAAAGGTAGTTAACCGTATATTAAAGAAAGTTATAGAAGTGAGTATATATATATTGTGTTTTGTTATGTTTTAATATCATTAATTGATTTGAATTTGTTATGTGATTAAATTAAGATACTGTATTGTGGTTACTTAATAGTAGTCTTAAAATACTCTTAAAATACTCTTAATCTAAATTATAATTAAATTCTTTAAAACTCTCTTTCTCATTTTTATGTTAAAAATAAAATAGAGAGCCCCAATTTAATATGCAGGATTTTGAGAGAAAGGACCTTTCAAAGCTAGATATCACCTCAAATTCACCTCTATTTTTATAAGAAAAATAAGTATTAATTGAATTCAACAGATTTGAAGTTCTTTATTAAGATAAATTATGATCTCATTCGAGAACGATTAATTCAAATCAATTGATATTATTAATTCAATTATTATTATTCATTAAATCAATTAAACACTTGGTAAACTAAGTAGAGATTAGATATCTTTTATTAGATTCGGCTCAGGAGTTATTGTCTTTGGAATCCAATTTCCGTTTAGAAGTTGAAATACTTTAACATCTCTGGTTGTTGTTTATTATTGCTCATCATTTACTATATGCTCATAAGAAACAGTAAGCAAATTAGCTAAAGAATTCAATTGCACTTTATAAGGTAGACTATTAGGTGAAGAATCTAAGTTGATTAGAATTAAATTTTGTTTTTCTACTTAAGATTCGCCGATGAATCTGAATTGCCAAATTTTAGCACCTTCTTAAGTAGCAAATGCAATTTAATGATAGGTTTTGCCATTTTAATTTGCCCATTAAGCATCATAGACAGTCTTTTCTTCATCAAACTCAAAAAATTTTGTAAATGTTAATTTTTACGTTTCATGTGAAAGCACCCAAATAGATAAAGTTTTTATTCTTTGTAAATTGTAATTATCATGTTTGAGTTTCAAATATCTTGATTTTTCATCATTTCCAGCAAAAATACTCATATCTTTATCTGATGGAGCCTGATTCCATGACAATGCTCTAATTCCATAAGGCATGATAGTGATTTCCTCTCCTTCTAATTTAAATTGATTGTTTTCATAAGCTCTGTGAACTTAAACAATTCCATCAACAAATGCAATCACTAATAGTAAACCATTGGATTTGGAACCAAATTAAATATCAGCAATTAATTCTGACTTTTCAAGTGTAAGGGATCTTAATTTCCATTGCGTGGTTATTTGTTTTTATCCATTCAAGTTTTCTTAGTATTATTTCTTTTCCTCCCATATTTATATTCCTTTGCTTTGACTTGAAATTGCTATCAACTATCCAAATTTAGGATCAGCCCATTTAACCTTCCAAGCAATACTACAACTAAATTTGAATTCTGAACTCTTTTCCCATTTGCTAATATAAATGAGTTAAATAATACCCATCTACTTTATTTAAAATTCTTAATGTTTAATCGCTGGATGCAATAGCAAATCTGGAACCGTTTTAATTAAAGGCGATATCCTAAATGGTATCTTAATGGAAAGGTTCAAGTAGCATTAATTATTTAGCTAAATTTAATTATCAATAAATAATAAAATTAAAGCAAATGTATTTTCGTATTTGCATTGATATCAATATATGGATTCTCTTTAATTGTTTGATAAGAACTATTTTTTGAACTCAACATTAAAAATATGATTTTCAAGAAGTGTAATTTAATAATTTTATTAACTTATAATGTTTTCTGTTTAACCAGAAGGTTCGAAACCCAAGAAGTTTTAGGGAGGTCGAATTCACTTAAGACCTATAGATAGTATAGGGAGAGACTTTGATTTAGGAAATATTGAAACCAAAGGCAGAAGACATTTCTCTTTTGATCCCACACCAGTTATGCAATACAAACCTCAATTAAGGGTAGGGTTTCCAAAAAATGTCACGAATCCTGAAATATTATTTACTCATTAGAGTCAAGGAGGACCTGACAAATTAACTTATATGCCTCCAATCAAAAAGCACAAAGAGTTTATTTCCACTATGAGAAAAACAGTAATTAACAAAGAAGTAAATGCATCTCATTATTGTAGTACGAGGAACAATAGACTGAAAACAGAAGGATGATTGAGGAGCTGGATGTTTGGGAAAAAAAGTTTAGAAAATAATGAATTATTTTAGCATATATTACTAATTAAAAGATATTAATAATGTAAATTATTAAGAGCAGAGCAGTGCAGCAACTGGTACATCGTTCCCAATACAACAAAATCGTATGGCAATCCTCTAATCCATATAACAAAAGATGGCAATACAAATTTAAGAATGCTTACTACACATATCCAAGAGATATTAATTAAGAGCATACCTACGTTAAAACCCCTAAAGATAATTGGGAATCAGTTCCCCTCGGATGGGCTTGGATCTAAGATTTATTACATAGACATGTATTCATTTGTTAATAAAATAGGTGCCTAATTTTTCATGTTTAATTGAAAGAAGACATAGATTATTTGATAAGTTTAATGTTTATTTCTTGCCTGCATTCAGTCTTTTCTTTTATCAATTTTATCCCTTAGCATTTGGATTTAAGGTATTAGATCATGAATATGAGCTAGGTTTTAACAGTGTTGCCATTGGCAATGTTATATGTGAGAGCCAGAGATAAATGCGGTGATCCAGATTTCAAAGAAACATACCTTAGAGATATGTTATACAAAAACAATGAAATAAATGCTCTTTTTAAGGATGAGACTCTTCACGTCTTAGATTATGATTGTGAATATGACAGAGGATATCCTTGCCCTGAAAAATTCCCAGAATTCAAAAATAAGGTTAGAAATAAGTTGAACTTTTTAGTTTTGGCAATTTTTCAATACTGATACATCAATGACAACTGGATATTTCAAGATGGCTGATGTAGAAACAGGTGCAGTGATGAATTTGAAATTTAAGACAATGCCTGTTCCAGGAAAATATAGATATCAAATTGGGGAACCTTTTTATTTTTATGATTTAAGAGGTATTCAATATATATATGTCTAAAGCCGAAATTACTCATAATGGATAACACAAGGAAGTTGTTTTAGTTGATGAGAAAGTAGCTTTGCAAAAAATAAGACCATTTTTATTAATTATTTGAAAAATACAATAACATATCAATCTATAATATTAAAATTGTAGTCAATTTCATTGCTTTATTGCAATTTACGATAAGTATTTGCTATTCTCTCTTTAATTTTTTCATTAATTTCTTTATTCTACCCTTTTTCATTTTATTTTTGTTCTGTTTCCTTTTTTAATATCTATTAGGGATTCAATTGCTTCTATTCAGTCCATTCTATGACGAAATCATACCAAACCTAATCCCCAATGATTTATCCAAACAAGGAATACAGAACAAGTTTTAATTCTTAAACATCTGATAAGTGACGCTTATTTTAATATAATCTAAGAATCCTTTCTTATTCAACCTTTTGTAATTATTCTAATTACTATTATAATTGAACTAATTTTTAATTGTAATCCTTAGTCAGCAAATTAACTTCACTAGGCAAATTTTATAATTTGAAATTGGATTCCTCTTTTTCATGTGGATTAAGAGATTCCAATTCTTAATTTTCCCATTTGATGACGTGAGCAAAAGAAGAAGGATTGAGAGGATCTATACCTTACACAAACACTGGTTTTTTAATTGAAACTTTGCTTTTCTTTAGCATAGTTTTTACTTAGTTTTTTAACTAAAACACACTTATTGGTTGAGATTGAAATAAGGTTTATTATGATTAGCTGCTTTTGAGATTGGAAGTTGCAGGAAGTAGTTTTTGTGCTAGTAATCTTGTTTCTTCAATTTCAATTTCAAGCTAAGCAGCTTATAATAGATAATTTCTTGAAGTATCATCAAGATAACGAGGAAATTGATCTATTTTTGCATTTTCGTTTATTTTTCTCATATTTTTAATTATTGAGACTACTCCCTCAGGAACCAAAGACTCATTTGCTTCCTAAAGTTATTTCAAAAAAATATCTTTCAACAGCATTTTACATCTTCTCTTTTTTTATCTATGCTCATCTAAATCCTTTTAAAGTAACTATTGTTTTTCATTATTTTTATGAATTTCTTCTTTTATTTATGTTATAATCTTTTAGATATTTCTAATCTCTAATTCCCTTTACTATCTAATCTTCTCTACTATGTCCATCAAATTCCTCTTCTTACCCTCTTAATCAGGAATGTAGCCGAGTCTTGCTTTTTCTTCTTTGGCGTAATATTTTCTTCGAATTTCACTAATCTCCTCTTCGTATTTGTTAATCTATTAGACTTGTTGATTGTTGTCCAGTCTCATTTAATAGAGTATTTATTTGTTGTTATTGATTTAAGTTTAAAATTATTAGTAGGATTCCATAAGTTGTTTAGCTGATGAGGATGTCTGTTAGCCAGTTTAGATTAGTTCGACTTGAAATTAGTTTTAAGGCTTATTGCTATAGTATTTGGCTTTAGATAACACAACATCATAATCTATATATTATGCTGGGTTGCTAAAATATTCTGTTAAACCTTTAAAATTATTTAGAGTAGAAATTTTTAAGGCTTGCGATTGTTCTCTTACAACTTGTGCGGTTTCTTCATCAAGTTTTTGTAAGTTCCAATTAGATTTTGATCTTCTATTGATTTTTAGATCATCTAATTTCTTAGTGACTTTTTGCAATAATAATGAATTTAAGATTTATTTATTCATTTCAATTCTAACTTAATCGAGAGTTTTGAGAACGGGATTGTTAGAATCTCGATTTGGTCTCAACATCTAAAACTTAACTTAGACTTAAGCATTTTATTCTTCATCCAGTTACTAAGCCTTTTACTATTGCTTTTCTTAAGGTTTCATGATGGAGTTTATGATGGCTTGATTAATTTATGGTCCTCCATCATTAGTAAACTCATTGTCTATTAATTTATTGTCGTTTTATTTGATCTGCTCAAAAGCAAAGGTTTTTCTATTCGAAATGATTTGCTCATGCCATTGATCTAATTACTCAAGTAGCTAATTATTTTCATCATAATTTTATTTTCTATGATGTTATGATGATGGTTTATGAGTAAACTCTCCTCCATCCCCTAAATCAACCACATTTCTCATTCTTATGATTTTTCTATCTCTTATATACCGATTGAATACCTTTAGAAGTTGGGTCGGCTTCCTCAAATTAATTGCTAGAACGATTCCTCGGGATTTAAGTAGAAGGCTTAGAATCATAATTTGAAGGTGAGTGCATAGAAGATCTAATTAGTACATTTTTTTAATTTTTCTTCATTAAAATAATAAATCAAATATATTCACAAAGAAAAATTACCTAAAGTGATCTTATGTGTCTATCTACTCAAAAGATGATAATTGAGAACTTCTACACATCAAGGAGGAACAGCAGTTCTTATGCTAAATCATCATGAATTTAAACAGAATTGTTTGGTTAAACACCTAAATATTATGTATTATAAATACTCATTAATTTATATTGAAATAAGTGATTGGCTTTTGGAAAGTCAGTTTATTAGTCATAATATTTTAGTTCACATTTTTGTATTGTAATTTAGTGTAATGTCTATTTATTATTGATAATATTTTAAAAGTATTAAATAGTAAACCTTTCTTCATTGATTTTGCCTTATGCTTATCGGGAATACACAAGAATATTCGAAGTAAGAAGAAACTTAAGTCCTGCGCTTACCCTAATTTTAGGTAATGACATCAAATATTATTAGTGCAATTTTTTAGGTATTAATATAAGAATAAGAAAATATGAGCAATAATGAAGATGAGCATGTACAAGTGGTTGAAACTTTCAACAATAATGTTAGATTTACAATTTATGGAGAACCTTTTATTTTTTTATAGATTATGATTATTATAAAAAGTAGAAAAAATCTTAAATTTTGAAATGAAATTCAGAGAATAATCAAAGAGAGTTAGGAATATTCATTTTGGAAGGTCAAGGGAATGAGAAGATATTTTAGAAAAGTTGCAGAAGATCACTAAGTTGTAGTAATATCAAATCCAGTGAATAAGGGAATACTTGAAGATCTTTAAATATTCACATATTAGCAGTTGTTTTGATTGAAAAACATTTGAATTTATTATATATATAATAAAGTGAGAATACGAAATATTCGAAATATTTATTTTCTACTGTTAGCAAATAATTTTGAATATAAATCAAGGATATACTTCTTAGTATTCCTACTTGCCTATGCATTAAAAATTGATATTACTAATTTAATTAAATGTAATTTGATGTTCAAATTAACTAACCTGTCGAAGATAGGAAACTAACTCTCAATAATGAATAAGAATTTGAAAATAATTAGAAGTAGATTGCCACCAAAGTGCTTCCATTAACAAAAAGACAATTGAATAATAAAAAATTCAAGCGAACGACCACTATCATAGATGATGATGACCACGCTATAAAAGGGCCATTTGAGGATAGTAGAGTAACAAGAATGACCTTTGAAAAATGCAGAATTATCGAATTGACTAGATTTTGGTTAATAGTCGCAAGTGCAATACTTAATATTTTAGAAGTATAATTATTTTGAATTAGTATGAATATAGCTTTTCAACTTATTTAACTAGAAATATGGAGAATGAATTGACTATTCTGCTCTATCTAATATTTTCGATGACAATAATAATAATATTTTTAACTATTATCTCTTATTAAATAGATTTGGAATATCGAAAGAGCTCAAGAACAATCTCCCAAAAGGCTTCATTGATGCAAACCAACCTTATTTGGGGCCTATTGATAGAGTTAATAATAATTATACCAACATCCAACCCATTTACAAGAGATTAATATGTTGTTTTTAGTCAAAGAGGGTCCTCTGAAACCAGATTCTACACAATCAACGAAATTTTTACTTATATAATGTTTTTCCGACTGTATTTGCTACTGAATATAGGCTTCAAATTTTAGAGTTATTATTCAAACAGGATTGGAAGAGTTTGGTAATATATTTGACTATATTAATTTAAAGTCGTTTGTATCAAACTCGTTTTGGAACCCATTTGATGTTGAAGCTATGTATCAGATAGTTTCCATTCTCTACATTGAGTTGGTTATTTATAGTCGGTTTAATCTAATATACTTACTAGTTGGAAATAGCTGAGAGACCCCTTTTGAGAACGTTCGACGTTATAAATACCTATAATATTTCGAAAAGTTTGTGGGTCACTATGATTACCATAGCAACTGTAGGGTATGGAGATTTCTTCCCTTACACTGATTTAGGAAGAATTTCAATGACTTTGGGATTGTTTTATGGTGTTACTATAACTTCTCTATTTACTGCAATTTTGTATAATATGCTCTAGCCTATTTCTGGGGAAAATAAATCGTGGGCTTTATTGGATAAAACTTCAATTAAGAAGAGTATGAAAAGAGCAAGTTCGAATATATTTTTTTATTTTTATTAATTAAAAAATAAGAGGAAGGTTGCAAAACGGCCAGATGTTCAAGAAAATCTCAATGACATCGTTTTCAATTTGGAAAGCCACTTGTCTGATGTAGGAATAATGAGAAGGTAATTTTCTAGAGAACTAATTTTAGAATGTATAGAGATGTAGATGGTGAAGAATTTATGGAAATGGTGAATAGGAAATTTGGTGATTCAAATCATAGTTTTAAGGATTTAATATTATATCTATAAAAAATGATGGAATAACACAAATTAATTCTCAATAATTTAGAAAAAAATCAGGATTTGTAATCCTTTAAACTTAAATCGTCCCAAGCTAAAAACTTATAGAATGGCTAATTTAGCTCTCCTTAAAGCTATCAATACAATTTAAACACAGAGGAGAAACTTAGCAAAGACGACAATTTCTTTGAAAATTTAGAGGAATCAAATAGAGATTCTTGTCTAATGAGCTTTCATGATTGATAAAATTATTGATAGTTAAAATTATATTATGAATATATAAAATTAAGGCTCCATAGAGTTGTCTGGCAATCCAGTTTCAAGGGCTAATGAAGATGAGGCAGTCACATATTAGAAGAAACTCTCTATTATCATATTGAATCAAATCGAACGAAAAAGAACGAAGGCAAAATCTACAATCATCCAAAGCTCAAAGCATAATCCCTTTGAAGATAGTCGAGTGACGAGAGTCTATTTTGAAAGATACAGAGTTTTAGAATAAGGCAGATTTTGGATTATTTGTGCTACTCTGGTCCTGGTTGTGTTAGAGGTGTAATTTACGATAAATAATTATAGTATGAAGCTTCTTTTTTGCATCAATTAACAGACACATACGATCAAGAAATTAAAATATTGCTTTATTTAATAATGATCTTATCTATTGTTACAAGTAATTTGATAATTTAATTAGTTATTATGACATTTATTGCTTATTTGGCAGAACTTGAATTTAAAAAACGTTCTCTCTCGATTCCAAAAGCCAGCACCATATTTTAAACTAATTTAATTTTCCTTTTGATTCTGGAAACTATCATCTTATTGCCTTGTCCCACACCCTATACCATGCATTACAAGGTATTCTTTACCTAAAGATATTCTGACCAAACCAGATTTTATTTTGCAAATGAGATCTTGACTTTCATAATGCTCTTTAGATCCTTATTGATTCTCAACATAGCATTCAAGTTCCAAGATTTCTATTCCAATAGAGTCAATAGATTGTGGTATATATCTTTTCAAATTTAAGTCGTATATATTCAGTAGATTTTGGTCCTCATTTTATATTCAAAGTCGCTATTAGATAACATCCTTACAAGACTCTTTGCGGACTCTTTTGTATTGGAATGTTCATATTCTCTTATCAGTTAGAGATATCGGAGAGGTCATTAATAAGAACAGAACAAGAAGTGAATAGTCATAGTTTAAATCATTCTTTTTGGGTTAACATGATAACAATATTTACAGTCGGTTATGGCGATATGTATCCATTAACAGATCTTGGAAGGTTTTCAATGACTTTAGGTTTATTTTATGGAGTAGCATTAACTTCTTTGTTTACAGCTATTCTTTACTCTGACTTATTACCTTTCTCTTCAGAAATGCGCTCGATAACACTATTAGATAAAGCCAATTTAAAAATTTCAATAAAGTAATTTGCTCAAAAGGCTATGCTAAACTTATTTAAACTTTAAAAATACTTTTAAAGAAACAAATAAAAATAGATATTAAGCAATCCGGCCGTTAGGTAAAGAGTCTCTCACATAAAAGGTATATTATAAAAAACTGATAATTTGAGAAGGTAATCATGTATTGTAATAAGATCAGAAACTACAGAACTATCGACACTGAAGATCTAATTACTATGGCTGACAGAAGGTTTTAAGAAATGACTCATTTTTTCTAGGAGTACTACGGCATGCTTGAAGAGATGTAATAATAACAAGAGCTATTGGATGATTTGGATACACAAAGAATTCTTTCTATTGAGAAAAGTCACTCTGTGACATCGGCAAGTGGATAATTAAGGAGCAAGGATGACTAATATTTTGAAGAACTCATTGATTCTTAATCAGAAAATCCATAATTAATGCAATTCAATGATGAAGATTGACAAAAATACGAGTGTAATTTCGTAATGAACATAGAGTTTATTTTTTTCTATTTATATATAATCAAATAATCCCACCCTATCCAAGCAACATTTCTAAGGAATTTTATAATTATAGCATTTTCATATGAGCTTCATTATCTTACTTATCTCTCAATTGCAACACTAATCTTTTGGTCTTTGCTTACTCCTATACACAAATTGAACAATTCATGAATTTTATATTGTAGACCTATTCACTATATTCTTCAATCCTAATTAATTTAAATCCCACTCTCTCGAATAAGCTGGAACAATCTTCAGGAATATTTTCTTCGTAATTTATTAAATCGATATTTGTATCCATATATTTTTCCAATAATAAGTGCTCACATGATCTAATTCAGTTATTTATATACAAGTTGGAGTTATTTTGAATTCTCAAAGTAATTTAATTGTTGTTCAATGTATTACCCTCTCTTCTAAACACTTTCTCCACAACCTCATTCTTTTTAATATTGACTTATTATCCCAATTTTTTTTATAGATAATTCAGAATTTCTGAGTGATCTTTTAGTGGAGCATTGTACTCTTTTTTTACTTGAAGCATTATGATTAATCAAATTATAAATAATATATAAAAATATTATATTTGAATTACAAACTCTTCAAATTAATCATACAAGATTTTGTCATTGCAAAAATTGGGTTAACTTGATGTGAAAAAATAGAGTTCATCCAGGGTCAATATTAATCGTATCTAAATTGTTAGGGAATTTGATATATTTATATTCAATATTTATTAATTTAGGAACGATGAAATATTTTTCGAAACTAGTTTATTTCTTTTTAACAATTGGCTCAAATACTGAGAGAAGAAAATCCAAATTAGATTATGGAAATCTCGCCATAATAGTATTTTATTTTATTTAATTGCTTGGATATCTGTATAGTTAATTTGAAAGCAAGACCCAAGTGTTTTATGAAAATGATTATTTGGCTCAAATTGGTTAATACTCATCAATACCCTTTATGATGATTGTTATTCATTATGATCCTTTTACAACCTTAGTTTATTACTGTATATTCGGAACAATGTGTTTGATATATGGAATTGTAATATTTCAGGTCCTTTTCAAAGTAATATAATACTTAATATCTAGCATTTGCCTCCATCTAATATAATCAACAGATTTATCAAGTTTTACTTTTAGAACTTTTAATGGTATTTTTTAACACCTTTTCATGAAGCCATGATTGGCGTTCTAACCTGTGGACGTCTAGCATATTTGGCTGAACATGCTAATTTAAATCCTCACAACTGTTTTGCAGAAATATCTCCCCATTTTTTAGTCATAAGTATTCTCGGACAGATTCTAGTTATCATCTCAGGATTCCTATCGCTATATTGCTTTAGAAACTACGAATTTATTTAAGGGGATCTTATGAGAAAATTTAGCTATTTCAACTTTTTCACCATTTTACTACATATGATTTTGTAAATGACTTCCTTTTGGAAAGAAATGTATGATAACTACAATGTCATCATACATTTGATTTTTAATTTGATAATGATTGTAATATCATTAGATACGTTCATCAATTTCCCCTTCGGTTTTTCTTACGAAACTGTTTATTTTAGTAAGTGCTTGTTTAGTTCTTCATTTTTTTAAATTTTGGTTGCAATTTGGATTTTCTCTGATTTAGATGATGGCCATATATTTTTATCCTTCTGCATAATTTTACCTGTAAGAATATAAGTTATTTTAGTTAATATTTGGAATTAATTAGACTTTGTATGATAATTATTTTGATAACAAATGTTAACAATTCGTTAAGTCTAGACTTGAGAAGATAAGTGAGCATCCCTTAGAAGTTATTTGCTAATTATGCCATTCTGATATAAATTAGCAAGATGATTATTTTATGGTTCTGAAATATTTAGGAATTCATTGCTAAAATTGTTTAGATTTGATATGTCCTTGCAAATAAAAAATTAATAAATTTATATTTAATCAAAATTAGTTAAATACCAATCAAATTTATTTGTGGGTTCAGTATGAATTTTAATAGATGATCAAATCTATTATGTAAAATCCAAATTTATTCAAATCATTCGAATAATTAACAATTAAATTTGTTACTTTTCTCTAGAAATATAGAGAAAATTAAGTTTTATCTTACAAAATAATTCAAGATGTAGTTTACACCTTTTAGAAAATGAATATTGGTAGCACACCATATTTTTTTTTAAATTTGGCTAAACACATATAATACTAAAATAAATTTGAAATGTAAAATATGAATAAAGCAGGAGCTTAAATATCACAAAACGAATATTTAACATTATAAGAGTTTAATCTTTTTTATAGATATGAACAAAGTTTGGTTAGAAATTTAAATGAATTGCTAATAAAACAAAAATAGTTGTGGATTGAGAAATTAAGAAGCTAAATCTAAATGGATAAAATTTTGGCTTGTTCTAAGGAAATAATGAAAAAAACATTAAATGTGAAAAAAATAATTAAGACTTTTGAGAATTCGAAAGACATCCAAAAAAATGATTCAATCTTAACTTTAAGAATAAAATTAGTCAGTAGTCTGGTTTGCATGGAAGATATCAATGTGTCAATGAAAATTGCGCGGCATATAGAAAGCTATGAAAAGGACCTCATTAATTAAAAACAATAAAATTTCAATTCGATATAATTTATATAGGGATAAGCATTGTCAGTAATTTCAAATATATCTACTCAAACATTGGGTTGTATATCTCAATAAGTAAATGATTAATTTTGCGACTTTTTTGGATATGAGAGCAATTATGGGGCATCACTTACTAAAATAGAGTAATTATTGCCAAGTCAATTGGGCAAGATACATAATGGATTGATTGAATCCTATCTATAACAAGGCAAGTCAACCAGGTTGTATTAAAATTCAGATTAGTTTATCATTAATTCTGATAACCTGATTGAAAGAGTTAATATTTGTCTGAGCTCTCTCTTCCCTTATTAAAATGGTTAATATCAGTTCTTAATAATTGGTCATTTATTAAAAATGATGAAATATGAGAAAAAAGAACTAGATTATAACAAAAGAGGATACATATTAGTCGACTCAAATTTTCTTATTTTTGGATTATCTCGAAATGTATATGAAAGAATCAACTATCAATATTATTATAAAAATGAAAAAGACATAGAATTAATATTGCCTGAATAAATATATGATTAATTCAATATATAGACCCTAATTCCTCAATTATCTTAGGTGTTGGAAGAGTATTACAAATTGTTGGCATTAAAAAATGAAAAGAAAATATTGAGATAAGATTAAATTTGTCAAAGGGAAATAGGAGTATTTCAGGCTCCGTCTGCTGGATGTTCACATTTCAAGACAGGTTCAACTGTTTTGACAAAAAAGTTTACAAATAAAAATATGATGAACATTCTAAAAAATGTAAATTCCAGTTTGAGTAGATTACCTACTATGACCCATAAACAATATCCCATAGAATACAGTGTTATATAAAAGGTGTTAAATTATGTTGAAAAAGACACCACATGTGAGTTCTTATATTTTATTATCGAACTTGATTTCTTAGAAGATCCAAAATTGAATACTTCTCCAAATTAAGTAATTGCTCGAACTCCAGCACTCTCTGAAATATTGAGACGGCAGCAAATCAATATTGAATAGATTAGACATAATTAGAGTAATATCATATTATCTAATGATGATAATAATGATTAGATGGAGTTGGTAGCTGAGGTGACAAACACAGGAACAAGAAGAAGTTCCAATGAAATTACAGATCAACTAGAAAAAATCATCATCTATATTAATGATACTGAATTGCCAAAATCAATCAAAGATTTTATTGCGTAACTAATAATACAGATTCTATTATTTATAGCTATAATAGTAATTATTTGTAGTCTTTTCAAGTATAAAAGGTCTATTCAATCAGATTGCATTGAATAAATCACTTATGATTTAAACTTCTTGGATGCATATAGTGAAACCATGTCAGGGTCTCGTCATGTCATCTACTACAGAGATTTCTATCCTTTATAGAATGACACTCTCATACATTTTAATTTAAATGAGATTAATTTTAGCAGATATGATAAGATATATGTGGCATGGCAACATATATCTAAAGGAAATATCAGATTAAATAATATGTATGAGAGTTACACCTAAATAGCTTAAAAGAGCCAAATTCAACTCCTGACTATTTACTTTATAAACTTTGATTTAAAATCTAAAATTCAATAAGAAGTCTAAGATTACTCAACCTATTATCAAATAATGCATTAAACTTTCTATCTTTAATATCAATCATTTTCCTCATCTCCCTAAACCTACTTATCTGGTAAAAGTGACTCTTACTTAACTTAATTGGCAAGATCCCAAGTTTATTACAATTTTTTTGATGTAATTGAAAGTGCAAATTAGACTCTCTAAATCTGTGAATCCCAGAATCTAGAAATTAATAATTATTTTGATAAGGTCATACTTTATTACTTCTTGGGAATGTATAGTGTCATCCTTTTAGTATTGACTTCCATTATAATACATTACTATAGGGTTTTGAATTCAATCAAAATTTATATTAAGCTGTTCAAAATGTGTGATAAGGAGGATTGCTAACATATAATTCATTTATGTGAATCTTTAATAAGCATGGTCAATTACGATAAAATCTTTTTGAGGCAATAAGACTTTAAAATACTTCTGGCGTAACCTCGCCATACCTTAGATAATGTTAAAAAGTCTTAATCTAAGACAACATTAGTATTGATTAGAAAGAAGAGTAATAAAGAAAGACTATTAAAAACCAGCTAAAAAAATTTCAGCTATTATTCTATCATTATGTTTATATTAATATCAATAGGTCTAATCATTTACATATTGTCATTTCATCTATTCTACAACCATATTAAAGACTCGATAGCTCCAATAACCTAATAAGCTATCTTAGCATAGGAATTCAGACTCAATTTTATTGCCTCAGTAAATCGATTTGATTTATACCTTATTAAGATGTACTTTGAAACCTATTCAAAACTTAATAAAATAGATAGAAATTATGAATACACTACTTTAAACATTTAAACAGATACACAAATCTTATAATTATTAAGTATTGAATAAGAAACTTTGAAGCAGGATTTGAATAGACTAAAGAGTATCAATTTTGTAAATTTAATCTTTGACAATGATCAAACCAATTCTTAATTGAATAGTGATCAATAGGATTAAATTTTGAAAAGTGATGTTTGCATCTTTACTGGTTGTGATATGCAAACAGAACTTTTCTTCGATAGATTATATTAGACTGATTTGATTCCTCTGTTTTATACAGGTGTTTTGAATTTGCATAACAAAATTTTAGGTTTTATACAGGAAGCATTTTAGTTAATCTAAGAGGACCTGAGCGATTTGGAATTAATACAAAATTTAGAAAATATTTTTGAAGACAGTGACTATCTCATTTATATGCATTGGGGTTTAGATGTTATCCAATTCTAAATATCCTAATTTAGTTAATATTTCTTAGATATATCAAAATAAACAATTGATAGTCTTACTTAAAACAATCAATTATTAATAGTTTCAATCGGAACTCTTTTACTGATTTTAATTTCTATTTTTTCAACAATGCTTGTCGACCTCTAATATAAAAGATATGTGCAATCAAAAGCAATTATAAAATGCATTCCACTTCCAATAATTTTTTAGAAAAATATCCCGAAACATCTGGAAAGCTTTCGAAGAAAGTATGAACAGTGATTTAATTATTTACATTATTATAAATTTCTTTTTCTTTATTAAATATTTTTCAATTTATGATTTCCAGGATTTTTGAATATTTATTAAGGAATTCGTTAACAGATAATAGGAAAAAAGAAATAATTTTTGAGTTTCCAGAAAAAATAATTTTATGGATATATTTTTGTTAGCTGAATGGATTTTTGATTAATAAAGTGGAGAAGAATTTAACAATTTAATAAGAGAATTAATATTTATTCACGATTCTTGATTATGCCAACTTTGTAAAGCCTCTAAGTGAATTTTTAAATTTTGAGAACATGTCAATTATTTTGATTGTACAATTAATAATGTTTTATGCTGGAAATTTTACCCTTTTGTTGTTGAAATAGGTAATATAATCAATATTTTATTAGAAAGTTAAAGTAGTTTGCAATTACTTTGTTTTATTTAATTGGATAATGGTCTGTCCATTTTAAACTGTATTTGCCACGGTTTCAAGAAAAAATTAATTTATTCACAATTCAATTTTGGATTTAAATACTAATAAATAGATTTTTTTCTTAATTATTTCTATATTTGGAACAATAATAATAACTACCACTTCTTTATTATCAAATTTTATTTTCTAAAAAAGAGAAATTAATTAGGGGATACTTCTTAAATACAATTTTAAGCCTAATTACTTAATAGGCCCTTTAACTTAGCTCTTTATAATTATCACATGTTTATTGTAAGATTAGTTATGGCAAATTATCACCCATGTTTAACACTTAATAATTATGTCCATTCATTTAATAATAGCATTATAGTTCCCTTTTGGACTTACTTCAACATCACTTCAGTATAATTAATTGGTCATACTCAGTATCTCCTTTAATATTCTCATCTTTATTTGGCAATACTTTAGTCATAACGATTAATTCATCTTTTTGTCTTTGTTTATAATCGGAATGGTAATTATGATATATTAAATATGTAGTTATTATGGTATTCTGTTGATTTAATATTCTAAAGGAGAATCGATAAGATAGTACATAAATTTTGTAAAAAAAGAGACACATCACAATTAGCTCAAGTATTAGAATATTTTATCTAAACTCATTCATATACTTTGAAACATTTAATTCAACTAAATATCCATAGAGTGCATTGTTAAGATCTACTTTGTCCTTGTCAAGATTGTCAGTTATTAGTTATTGATAATATTTCGATAGTTCAATTAGTAAAGAAATAATAAAAGAAGAAGAAGTTTTATATTTAAAAGTGGATTATGCATTAATACAAGACATATTTATTAAAAACAGAATTAACAAAAAAATAGTAAAGTTTAATAATTTTGAACTATTTATCGTTTTAAAGAATCTTCTTGGAAAATTATGTTTTAATTTGTAAAACTATATACTAATGTATTGAATAAACAGAAAAAGTAAAAAAGGAGAAATACAATGTTACTACAACGTTATTATATGTGATTCAATAAAATTGCAAATAGCAATTAATAATGCAAACATTGTAATAAGTAAAGATAACTTAATAAGAATTCATTATTATTACTGATATCAATATAATGTATGAATTAGCAGATAAGATTGTTCTCCATTTATCTAAAGTAATCGAAAATTAAATTTAATTGTGGGATAAATATTTAAGAAATGAAATAAAAAATTTCGATTAACTTTTGGAAATTATCCATACAATCAAACAGGAAAAATAGTAATGCCAAATTCTATTTGTATTATACTAAAACTTAAGAAATTAATCTAAGGAGAACATATATTCTTTGAGAGTAAAATTATTATTTTACATTATCATATAATAAGATTTAGTATTAATGACTAAGACTTAATCTTAATTAATGTAGTAAGAAGATGCATAACAATTTGATTTGAATTTCAATGACTTTAACAATCTGTCTTTTTTAACTGGCCAAGCACTGTCTATAATATCAAACATTAGTTCAGAAAATCAAGGAAAATTGGAGCAATCAATAACTAAAGAATTTAACTAATTTTTTGGATATAATAAGGACGAAAAAAAGTTGACTCACATCAAACAATTAATGCCAACTAAATTTGCAGAGGTTCATTCGGGATTGGTTGAAAATTTCTTTTTTAAAGGATAAAGTGATAGGATTAATAATGCTTCTGTAGCATTTATTTTAAATTCAAAAAATTTAATTGAGTAAATTAAATTATGCTTAAGCTATTTTTTCCCTGTTAACTTAAGAGACACATCCTTTTACATGATTGCACATGTTTAGAAAACATCAAAATAGGAGTAAGCCGTTCATGATGAAAACTTGACAGGTTATTTCCTAATTGATAAAGAATTTAATATTTTTGGAATGACTCAAAACATTTATGAGAAATTAAATTACAGATATTATTTCAAAAATGATGCAAATGCGAATTTAATACTTCCTTAACAGTTTTATGATGATCACAATATTTTCTCATTGATACCATCATTTTAACAGAAATTGTAAAATTATTATGAAAGATAACCAAATGAATCTTTGAGAGAAAATGATGTAATTTTTATTAAAGAGAGAGGTCTGCTAAAATTAGATTTTCTGAAATAAGATTAGGAACCTTCTGCTACTAAATAATTTACTAAAAAATTTTCATTTGCTAAATTTACAAATAAGCACATTTTGAATTAAATGCTTGACAAAAGTACTGAACTATTTTAGAATTCTGAAAATATTAAATATTTCCCCATTGAATATACGGTTACTTAGAAAATTTTACATGCTTATAATCTAAATAATAAAATAGAACCATTTTTATATTATTTGATAGAAATTGAGTTGTTAGAGGATTTTAAAAAGGTTTCAGATTTAAATATTAGTACCAATAAATTTTTGAAGCTTGATAATAAGAAGCAATAATCATCTTAAATATTGGAAACATAAAGATAAACTACTGCTTAATTGTTTTAGTTTGAATCTATAAATTTTATAACAAGTGATCATCTGATTTCTTAAAACGGTGATAAATAAGCCCTTGTAAAAGCATCTCCCTAAGAGAATTTGAAATAAGAATAAAAGATAGTATCAAAAGGTCTGATTCCTGAATAAAAAAAGGCTTAAATCAAAAAGTCTTCAATAATGAATATTCCTAAGAAAGTTCACAATTTTGTTGAATTTCTACAAACGAATTGTTACCCATCTATATTTCATGGAATGATTGGGTTAATAATGATTCACTTTCTTATAGTCATATTCTATATCATTATTACTGCTATTTTATTTGAGTAGAAAAAGGAGATTCAATCAAATTGCATAATTTATACATTTAGTGATGTTGATTATTTTAATGGTTTTAGTTTGATTCTCTCTGGTTCTAGACACACAATATTTAACTCAAATTATCTTAATTTATTAGAACCACTAATTTTAAAAGTGGACGATTAGGCATTTAAATTGACAAGTAAGGATTGCATAGTAATTTCATGGCATTTATTACTATCAGGTCAATATGATCTTGTTGGGAAGTATGAAAACTACTCTAAGATACTCTTAGGATATGAATAAAAATAGATCACTTACTATTATCCAGATTATTCTAATTCAAAGATCGAAAGCTAGATTTTACTTGATTAAGCTGCTTATTACAATGCGATGTATCTTTAATTTTATATAACTTATCGCAGTATTTTATCATTGAATGCCTACCTATCTGGTGGAAATGACAACATATTCCTGTAATTAAATTATTTAAATTTAGAGTGAGATAAAGATATATACTTTATTTCAATTATTAAGATGCCATTGAATTGACTGATGATTCAATCTAATCGTGCTATGATTATAATAATGATGCAAATGAGTATTTTGATTCATTCACTTAAATATGGTTTATCAATATGTATGTGGTAGCAGTCTTACTTCTAATTTTCCACATTGCAACTCTTCTTAGGATTAAAAAGGTAATACAGATATATTTAAAATAATTTATACAAGTAGATTATGAGGAAAGTTAAATAATAGTCAAATAATTTGAGAATATGTTACAAAACCTAAAATAAGAAAACATCTTATTGAAATACTAAGAGTTTGAAGCTATCAAATAGATTCCATAAAATGTTTTATAAGTTTTGTAATAACAGGAAACTAAAACAACTTTATCAGATGAAAATGAAAATAATAATAATCGCAAAAAAAGAGTCACCTCAATTAATGCCAAAAAATTAAACTTTGCTAATCCATCATTTTCAATCAGGAAATCACTGTTACTTTATATTTTGTTGATGTTTCTTAAAGTTTCCTTTTTAGTCATTTTTTAGATATATTATGAATATTTATCTTCTGGAATTGCACCTGCAGCCAAAAGAGAGTTAGAATCATAATAACTGAGGTTAGATTTCATTATGACAATCAATATGTGGGATACATATATCTTAAAATCATTTTATGATGCTTCTCAACATTTAGCAAATACTAGTTCTAAATTTAATTATAAAAATTAAAACATCATGAATAACTAAAAGCTATTCAATTTGTTAGAAATTGATAAACAGTATTTATTGGATAAAATCCAAGTGATGCAATCTTATGACTTAACCGATTTTTTATATCATAATACAGATTAATAAAATTCGAATTTGTTGATTTCCGAATCCAATAAATAAATTTTGTTGGGTCAAGATGTTTGCTAATTGACGAATTGTAATATGACAAATGATTTGTTCCACGATCGTCCTTATGCTGAATATTTGATAGACTATTATTAAGTTGGCCTAATATAATTATTTAAGAATGTCTTGTAAGTGATTGCAGAGCACAATTATTTGATAACAGATGACTCTTTAACACCTGAAGAAAAAGTTTAAGGGATTGTCTAGATGTATCAGTCTTTCAATTATTTTATATATGTCTTTTATGGATTAGATGCAACCTAATATCAGATTGCATAATTTTGTAAATATTTTTTAGATTAAACTCTAAATTAATTAGAATATTTAACATCTTCAGACATTGTTTATATTCTAACTTTTGGGATTTTATTGATGATAATTACTTTTATCGGCGAATTCTACATAATGATCCATTACTTTAACAAATTTGAATTAGCAAAAGAAAGCATAAGACAAATACCATTAGAGACCTTATTTCAAAAAGGAATCCCAAAAAAATTAAACAATATTATGATGAAATATAAATGAATTTATTTAATTTATTTAAGAAGTATTTAAAAAGCATTTAATAAATATATAAATGTACTTAAAATCATAAAGTTTAAAATATTTCAGAGTTAGCATCAATTATTTGGCTAAATAGTTTGATCAATTTTTCATGAAATTCTATGTGAATTTAATTTAAACAATTATTGTATGAATCCATCCAATCTTAAGAGTCAGGCAAAATGAGGTCCTGCTTTATTTTAATTATATTTTCTATTCCAAATTGAGATATCTTCTAAATCTAATATAGTATTCCTTTTTTAACAATTTAAAGTTCATTTTCATTTAATTTGTAATGAGTTTGCTCAAAGATAAAATCTTAAAAGGCATCTAAACATTTGGACTCATTCTTTTTGATATCATCACATAGATCTTATAGAAACTTTTACACTTTTTCAATATAAGCATTCAATATTTTATCTTAAATGCTTGAATCTAATTGTTTCAAGATTGTTTGTGGATCAATTGAATAAATACAATCAAAATTCAGATTAACATTTTGAATGTTAAACATGTCTTCTTATTTCTCATCAATTACTTTAAGAATAACATTATATGCATTTCCTACACTTCTCCAGATAGGTAATGGAAATCTGTCTCCATTATGAATAAATATATCAAATCCAATTATTTTCCCTAAACTGAAAAGCCTTTCTTGATTAAATATCTTTTTCGCCCTTTCTCCTTGAAAGCAATAGAGTTGAAGACCAGGAATATATTCGATGATTTCAAAGTAGGCAACTTTTAATTTCTGTTTAAGTCGATGCGATAGAACTTCATCTGTTGAAGCTGCAAATAAAATGTCGCTTCTCAGATCTTACATCTCTGCGTCGCACCATTTTAAACATTTCATCTAAGTTGTTTTAATATCAAGTGCCTATGCTAATTTGTTAAGAAAGAGTTCCACACTCACTTAACCTGATAACTTAAGAACGAGTGCTCCTTATTCTGAATCTATAAATATCACTCCTCTGGAACCAGAATCACTCATCTTAATTGATTTAATGCTCTTTAACTTTATGAAATCAAAATTCACATAGGGTTTTGCTGCAAAATCAAACTCTTACAATTAGTGTTGGGATTAATTGACCTTTTACTATTCTAATTGCTATTCAACTAGTTCCTTAGACTTTAAATGAATGTTTTTGATATATTTATTTTATTTCATTAATTATAATGTTTATTCTTGTTTATCTGAAGTTGATATATTACTATGAATTCTGTTTAATTATGAAGAAAATTTCTGGTTATTATAATTGTATGTTGTGGTTATTTTAAGAGTAATTTTTAATTAAATCAAATTGCTTACTGCTATGGATTATCTCTTGATATTTCAAATAATATTTCTACTAATTTCAATGTAAATTTCTTGCTACAATCATAAGCTCATGATTTAATTAAGAAAAATAAATAACTAAACATTTTCGGAAAATCTCAACTATAATTATATGTCTTATAAATGTGTCTTTATTTCTACATTTATAGTTTCAGTTTTTAAAGAAATAATCTAATCAAAATCTATCAATTTTCATCCATCTCTCATTATTCAATCCTTAAGAATATGTTATTTAGTTTATTAGTTAATTAAAAATGACTTCTATTTATTCTATTTCAGATAATTAGATACAGAAAACTTATTTCTCATTCATTTTACATCGCAACTATGACTAATACTATATTTCTCATCCATAACCATGTTCTCCCAAATGATATCTAAGCTTTTTGAGTGATAATAGAATTATTCAACATTTTATTATGATTGTTTAATCCATTACAAGATTGCTTTCTAAATAACAAGAACAAAATAAATAATCCCTTATTTATTTTTTGTATAAAAACTATCATTCACTTAATATCAAAAGTTTAGAGATGCCAGTTATCTAGTTCTAAATTAGCTAATATAATATTAAAATAATTGTTCAATAATGGGAGAAATTATTTAATTATGTTTTGGAGATATTGGAAATAATATTGGACACTAATATTTAGAGAAATTGATAGATGATCATTATCTAGACGATAAGAACAACTTGACAAAGGATTAATATAGACAAAAAATTCATGTATCATTTGAGGAGTTAAAAACTCAATAATATTAGTTCAGAGGAATATTTGATCATTCAAGCGATTGTAAAATAACAAATTATATAATAAGAATCCATCCATAATCTATTAACATCTCCTGAATCTGAATACATCAATAATGATTTATTACTGTAAAATAGAAATAGAAATAAATCAGGTACATTTTCAAATAGCTAACTGAACTTTAGAGATTAAGTCAAAGAAGAACTGTTTGAAAAATTGAGACATCAATTTGAGAAATGTGATAATTTTTTTGGATGCCACTTTACTCATTCTACTTATGACTATTCATCAGGTTCATCGTCAGTAGCAATAGATTCATATAGGGAAAGTTATCCATATAAATTTAGCAGTTCTTTTTCTATGTTTCCTAATATTGTAAGTTCTAATACAATTGAAATTTATAACACTTGTTTTTCAATTTATAGATTAGTTGAGTATTGCGATAGTGTTGTTCTATTTGATTATGGGGCTTTAGAAAATTAATTGACAAAACTAAGATAATTAAGCACTTTTCAAAATTTCAATAATGTAATAGCTGAATGTTTATTATAAATAAATTGCTCCTAACGTTTTCCTGGTTATTAGAATGGAGATTTGAAAAAAATAGCTACTAATCTAAGTCCTTTTCCTCGTTTGCACTTCTTTACATGTGCATTTACGCCTATTTAGAGTGGATCGGATTTGTAGTAAACATTAAAAAATTTATGTGTGCCTACTAGCTCTTATTTCACTTTTGAAAACGCTACTAGAAATTTATACCTTTCTCAAGCATTAATTACAAGATGCAATTCATATAATTTAGATTTTTAATAAGCTTTTTCAACAATATAAAATAACATAGAATGGATACCAGATGCTGCAGTACATATTAATTGTAAAATTGAAAATAGGAATCTAGGAAAAACAGTTATGCACTTGGGGAATCATAGGGATTTAGGGCATAGTTTTAAATAACATTCTGAGTTATTTGCTGCAAATTTCAGAAGAAAAGCATTCGTACATTATTATTTATAAGACGGGATGGATGAAATGGAATTTACTGAAGCTGAGTCAAATATGAATGATTTTATCTCTGAGTATTAAGATTATTGTAACTGCTGCGGAATATCAGAATATGATGAAGAGGAGTAAGAATCTGAATAAGACTTTTGAAAATAATTATAAATTATTGATAATACATAAATAAATAAAGCCATTTTCTAGTCATATCTAGAGAATATTTAAGTGTTAACAAAAAATTACCATTTAGCTGTTGACAAAACTATAAAATTTTTAGTATTTGGTTAAAAAATAAAATTTCAAATATAGTTTATAGTAAATATTCAAGTAGCATATATCAATAAAATAAAAGATGATCTAAATAAAGAATAAATCAACTCTCTATTATTGTTTATTAAATTAAATTGTTTAATAGCAATATTATATGATGTATCTTATGAATACATCACTAGTCTTAATTATTCACTCATAATATTATATTTGATAAATCATACTATTATTATTAAGGCTATGGCTCATTCAATCCTATCAAATCAATTGTTTCTTACTGAGGATTTAGAGGTAACTATTAAGATTATATTTAGGCATTTTGAACTCCAAATTATTGTTAACTGTTTCCACCCCAGAAATTTGTTGATGGCTAAGTTGATTGATGGGATTATTCAGTATAATTAGTAGTCATATCCCAGGCACTATTGGATGGGGAGGCAGAAAATGAATTAATTTACATTTATTATACTTGTTATTATACTTATTATTGTTATTGTTATTATTATTATTATTAAGGTTAATTGAATTGGGTATCCCACTAAAAAGGATTTGGACTAGGAGAATGAGAAGTTGAAACAAATCCAAAATTACCAAAAGCTTATTGATTTGGTTATTGTTAGGACCATTAATTAGAACTATCCCAAGCATTGTTTGAACCAAATCCTTATTGTGGATTGCTAAATTAAGCAAAAATATCTTAAGAAGACTTTGATTATTATTATTATTAATTAAATTCAGAGAATGGCTAAAATTATTATTACTACTATTATCTTTATTACTATTGTTATTATTGTTGCATTTATTATCTTTAGATATATTATTGTTAAGGTTATCTAATTTATTATTATGGTTATTTGGCTGAAGTCTTTTCAGTTTATATCTTTTTTTATAAGTTCATCAATTCATCGATTGGAATATCTCCATCGAATTTTTTCACCTTGAAACTATTTTTATTATATTATTCCATTTCTTGTTCCAATTTCTATTCTCTGTTTTTAATTTCAACTGCTTATGCCTAAAATTTGCTTCAAACTATTACATTCAATTATATATATGGTAATGAATGAAATTAAGCTAGAATTCTTTCAACATCAAAAATAGAAGGTCTTAATTTTGGATCAGGAGTTAGCATAAGTCTAATCAAATCAATCAACTTGTCTGAATATCTATGCTATTTAGGTATATTGTATGTAGCAGTGGAAATAGCTAGTTTTGAGCTCTCCTGAAAGGGATGAATAAAAAAACACAAAGTGTATAATACACATCCTAACATCCAAACATCGGCTTTCTCTCCTACTTCATATCTCAAGAACAGGTCAGCCATTTCTGGAGGTCTATACATTAAAGTTGTATTTTTTTCCCATTCTTCCTCATAAATTACGAAATCAGACTATCTGATTTGACTAAGATGGATAAGATTTAAATTCTAACCTTAAGTCTACTCTTTGAGTGCTAGCAGATCCAAAATCACACAACTTGCATCTTCCGTTTTAAAATAACACATTTTCTATTTTAATATCCCTATGAGCCATAGGTGGTTGTAATGTATGCAAGGATTTAATGCCTTATGTAATTTCCTAAGAGAATTTCAATGATCATATATACTCTCATATAGCCTAACAGTTACTCCTCTGGAAATCTTGAATTTGGATCTTTAGCCATCAAATCAAATAAACTTCCACCTCCACAAAATTCCATTAGAATCAAACATACTTGCTGTCCTTTGTCTTAAATAAAAGTGCCTCCTATGAAATTGACCAAATTTGGATGTCTAGGTAATCGTTTCTGCATAAAATTTGAATTTTTCATACCATAATTTCCAATTCATTTCTAGCTACTTTTGTTCTCTCCTCTCCTTAACAATAAGATTTTTTCAATGCAAAAATCTCTTTGGTGTTCACATCAATTGCTTTTAGTATATAGCCGTACCCTCCTTCAGATAATAACTTTTCTTCTTAAATTGTACGCCCATTAATGTTATATCTAGATAGCATATTAAAATTATTATAATCATTCAAATTCACTCCAATTAAATTATTTATGTCGATTGTTGAAATTTGCCGGAATTTTGATCTCTCAAAATCTAGTTTTAAGAGGAAAATCGTTTGAACCAGCAGAAGTATCATTAGTTTTTAATTTAGGAAATAGTTTATCATACTTAATTGACTTCATGAATTTATGATTATTTCTTGTAATATTTATTGCGAATGTATTTATTCCTATCTGATGATAAATGACCCTTTTCATAAGTTCAGAATGAAATTTCTGAATAAAATCTAACTTATTATTATCTTATTTATATTAACCAAACTCCAAGTTTTATCTTTTCCATTTAGTTGAATAACCTCTTTTTATCTTCAATCGTATAATGCTTATTGTATTTAATTAGTTTGAAAATAACAAACTATAAAATACCTTAATATTACTATGATAGGATGAAAACAAATAAATAACAACTTAAGAATGATGGAAGATAGTCTTAATTATTATTAATATTACTTAAGATAGATAACTATTAGTTACAATAAAATTAAAAGTTTGTTATCTAAATAAGACTATTGTTAAAAAATATAATAATCATTATTATTTTCCCTTTACCCAGGTACCTTCAATAACATTTCCATTTGGTTAAATTAATTTACCTTTACCATCTTGTTTACCATTCTTCCAATTGCCTATATATTTCTAACCATCTGGCCATCTCAACTCTCCAAATCCATGTTTCTTGTCATTTTTGAATTCGCCTGATAATTTAAATAAATGCAATACCAACATACTCCTTACCTTCATAAATAAGCGTACCCTAACCTTCCATTTTACCATCTACCCAATTACCTTTGTACACTTTGCCATTGTACCAATAATATTCACCATAACCGTGAAAATTTTCATTCAAGAATTCACCTTCGTAATGAGAAGAATCACCCCATTTAAAAATTCCCTTTTTTACTTTTTTGCCTTTTTCAAAATAGCCTTCAAATGAGGTTCCATTGTCCCAGTGAATTTAACCTTTTCCATCCTAGATTCACCTTAACAATATACAGGAAGCCCATCTTTCATTTCGCCATCGTATATTCCTCCATCTGGAAAAGTATAAGGAACTTAAGAATAACAAGAGCCCATAAAAATTAGAAATAAAAATAAATCAATCAAATTTATGTTCAATCAAATCAAGTAATCTAAGTTTGTTTTTATTAAATAGCCTAAGATCTTCTTAATCAGCTGCTTCCATTAAATAGGTAGCCAAATATTTGAGTTCCTAATCGTTTTTATCATCATGCCATTCCAATATGGGTATCCCATTCTCAATCTAAAATCCAAAGGAGTGAGCAAGATTATCAACAATAAGCATATTCTTAATTTGCTTATTTGCTATAATCCTAAGATCCTTAATGTAAAACCCGTTTTTAGTTTCTAGACAATTCTACCTTGACAAAATGCCTGAAATCCATTAGCCTTTAGGATCCAAGTACTTGACAATGGTGTTAGCGTAAGCACTCGATGAAGCAGTATATACATAGATTGTATAGAGCAAACTCATTTATTATAAAAACCATTAACAAAATGGACGAACATTTAAATATATCTACAAAAATAGAAATGTTGAATTACTCTTGCTTCCTCCCCCTGTTCACTGACTGCCAATATGCAAGTCTAAGATTTTTCCCTAGCTGAACAACTATGAATTAAAGTTTCGTCCAAATCTAAGAGCAGGGTTTTTGCTTTTGGAGTCCGAGCTTCCGGTAAGACCTGCATTTTAGTTTTAATAAAACTATTACTCGGGCCCTTCAGACACCGAGTAGCATATATTAATCCTCTTTGAGTCAGTTGTAAGAATTTGTTGAATGCAGTCTCTCCAATTGAGGGTCCATAGATTAGATGTCGAAAAGGATGGTTGGAGAATTTACATCGAGCATTCTATTTAGATTTTGACAATTCAATGTCAGAATTGACATTCCTCTGCAATTTGCTATGATTATATGATATCTTACACTTAAAAAACTTATTGGTTGTTAAGCTCTTGCATCTTCTGTTGGATTTTAGTTTCCTAATATTTTACATTGTAGGGATCTTCATTGTTACCTTGAGTTTTATAGGTATTGACATCTTCTTCCTGATCTTCTTCCGCACCTTCAACGTCACCTTCTATCCCTTTCATTAAATTCCTAAATTTTGACAGTTTTTAACCTACGATATATTTTATTTTACTTGTTGGTCCTTATTTAGCATTCCTTGGGGAATCTTTATCTGAATCATCTGTTTAGTATCCAGTGAGATTTTTACTAAAATGTGACATTTTACTAGGAGGCTTACTGAGTTATTTTAACTGGAAATCATCCTTCTATTTAGATTCAGACTATTCATCTTCTGAGTAAAACTGTTTATCATTATTTAAGTGCTATAAATGTTAGGCTGAGGTACTGGCTCTAAATTTATATATATTATCCATTTAATTAAATATTATAATGGATTCTAAATTATTTGAAGAATTTGATTACTTGGACAAAGATCAGAAAAATCAAATGCTCATTAATATGAAATCATATATTAATCAGTTGCAATCTTAGGTTTAAGAATTGGAGAGAAGTGCCATCGATATAATCATAGAAAAAGACGAGAAGATTTTATAGTTAGAGACTCTTCTAAATTAGTAATCGCCATCCAAACATTATAACAAAGATGAGGAAATCCTTCAATTGAAAGCGTATCATCAATTATTTTACACTAGCCATATAACAGAGCTCTACCAAAAGATTGACGTAGATTAAGCCTAACATTATGAGGAATTATAAGAAATTGATAGAAAATGGAACACATATTTATTAGAATAGATCCAATTAAGTAGTCAAGATGGGCAACAATAAAAAGTTGAAATGCTAGAATCATTGCTTAACCTTGAAAAAAAGAATTAGAAGTATGATCAAGAAGTATGCTTTAAGGTAAATTCTAGCTGAAAATTAAAGAGAATCAAACTATGATTGACAAGAATACTATTAGTACTTTAATTAATAAAATTCAATAATTGTAGGATGAATCCTAGGAACTCAACTAATAATTAATCAAAATGCAAAGAGAAAATGATTAACAACAAGAACATTTTCAATCGAATAAAAATGCACTTGAAATCAAAATCAATGTATTAATATCTACCTTATCAAAGAAATTAAATATATTGCAAAATCAAAGGGAAAAACAAGTCATGACGCTGAAGACACAGAATGCAAAATTAATTTAAACAAATAAAGAACTATTAAGCTAGATCAATGAATTAAGAGAATAACTTGAGAGATAGACTGAAATCAAAGATTTAAGACATTCAGATAATTATCTTTTACAATAAACAGCCAATACAATAGATTAAATATAAAGAGAGGAAGTCAATATCACAGCTTTCGAAATCTTTGAGGAAAGTTATGAAGAAAAGGATTAGATGACTAATTTGAGATAAATCCTAGATGAAAAATCAGAATAGATAGTTTAATATGAAGAATGTATTCGATAATCTACAAAATAGATAAAAGAACAAAGAGCACAATTATAATTATTATAATATTAGCTCAAATAAATAAGATAACAACAATTCAACCAAAAAAATCTCAAAGAGTATATATAGGCTTTGGAAAGCGATTTCTTAGTTTCCAAATAATTATTAGCTGAAAAAGCAGATCGCTATTAGGAATAAGTGATATTGTTGACTTAGGAGAATTTCAATCTCAAACAAAAAGTTAAATGCTTTTAATCCAGGTATCATAAGAAAATTAATCGAACTGTCGATTGATTTAACATTGTATAATTTACTTTCTATATAAATTACAACAATAAATTTATTATTAAAATTAATAAGAAAATTTATTATTTCAATTACTTTATTTTGGATTTACAACATTTTAGATTTTTGTTGCTTATATAAAATTACCTATTCTGAAATCACAGTTCAATAGATCTTAAAGATATCTTAGCTAGTAGCAGTCTTCATCATTCATTGCTTATGTTTATTTGGTATCAGTTATAGTATGTTTTTTATGAATTCATACTTAAATATAGGATTATTTATCCATATGATGTAGGAATATTGATCTTGCTTGAAAATTTCATTAGAATTCCGCATTTACTTTCCTTTGAAATATTTTAAAGTATGTATTCATTTATGATTTAATTTTTGCTTTATATGAACTATCATTTTCTTTATTTACTTCTTAATTAGACTATTTTTGATTTTGACTAATTTCTATTATTGTTAAGATGAAGGATTTTCTTGCTTGAGTTATGTTTAATCTCAGATTCAACCTCAAGTAATTACAAAACATTATTAAATTTACTTCATTCTTAATTCTTTCTCTATTTATTTTGATAATTTCATATTTTGGTGACATATTTTATCTTGATGGTCTACAAGACGTATTATACTATTGGGTCTAATAAAATACAAAACTAAATAACAAATTTATTAAAATACTTTTATTTTATAATTAAATGTAAAATCATTGTGACTTAATACTAAATGAAAGAGGAGTTCTATGGTTGGGAGATTGTGAATCAGTATTTAATGCAGTAAAAAAATCATTAATTTTAGGAGTTCCTAAAAAGTAAAGGAATCAGAACCGTTATAACCGTAGCAACAGGATTAAAGTTAAAACTTGATGGAATAGTGCATCACATAATAGAGATACTTGATAGTGAAACAGCGAATATTTCACGATATTTTTAAATTGCTAATGAGTGGATAGAAAGAGGATTAAACATTGGTGCTGTATTAGGTAGTAGAAATAAATTAAAAGAAGCGAAGTTCATTGCATGGCAGGCATCTCCCGTTCAGCTGCTATAGTAATTAGTTACCTGATTGAAAAGAAGAAGATGAGTTATAATTAAGCCTTATCTTTTGTCAAATCGAAAAGACCCTAGATTAACCCAAATAAGGGTTTCAGCAACTAATTATAAGCATTTGGTGCAAAATTTTCATAACCCCCATTGTGCAAAAACACAAGAGCAAACAATTTCTAACAAAATCAAGAATACTATGAATGCAATCATTATGTTCCTATGAATCGGAAGGGATCAGCTAGAAACTTGCAATAAAATATGAACTTCTATAAATCAATAACTAAGTCTTTATCTTAGAGTAAGAATAGCAATAAATGAGGTTAATATATTCATTTCAACTATCAAAAATGAATCTTCTATATCTATTTATTTAAAACACTTATTCTTTATATAAATATTTAGATGAACATAATTAAATTATACAATCAGAGGAGGAAGTGTTCTTTACTTATACGTAGATTGGGAATTATAGATTTTAACATATTCACACTTTCTCAATGGATTCTGAATTGTTAGATTCTTTTAGAATATATATCAATAACATTATTTAGCGAATAGTTTTATTATTTGCTCCTAAAAATACAATATATATATATAAAGAAGAGTCTAGTTTCAATATAATAGTAAAGTATTGAGAATTTAGAGATAATTTTTATCTTATAAATTAATTAAATGAGAAAATAATAATAAGAAGAATCAGAAGAAGACTAAGCCTCTCTATTGCCAATAAAAAATCATATAAAACGAATTGAAGTAGATGTTTGATTTAGGTTAATTTTAGGAAATGTTAGTGCTATTAAATAATGATCTTGTCAATGATGCTAAGGATATTGATAAGAATAGGCAAGATATCCGGAGTTTAGGGGAAGCTCAAAATAAAGAAAGAACAGAATTGCATAACTCATTACTCGATCATTGTCATAAAATTGTAACTGATATGCGAGAATTAAATCAACAATCAAAAAGTGAAACATATAATCTTAAACAATAAGTAATCAACTATATTATGCAAAGCTTTCATGCCTAAACCAAGATAAGATTAGATTATAATAAAATTTAATTGTACTCGAAAATAAAGTAATAGAAACTGACAAAGACATTGGCTTTAAGCGTAGAAATTAATAATTAAATAAAAAAAAATGAATTAAGAGTTATAGTCATAGTTAATCAAAATGCTCTGAAGTTGTTCTCATTAATCCAACTTAAAATTCCCCTTCTTCATCTTATTTCTATTGCTTATTCATCAATTCTTCTGAACTCCCCATTTCTTTAGAGTGCCTATCATACAGGTTGATAATCTGAATTAAATCTTGAGGGACATAGTGAACATGAGTATCCCAAACATTCCAATTAAATTCCAAAGGATTGGACAATTTTTCTTCCTGTATAGGAACTATCAAAGGGTTATTGCTTCTAGGTAAGTATTACCTCATAATTGATATTTCTGATGATTATAATATTCCATCATTTTTCCTATTATCCTAAATGTCACAATCATCAAAGCTCTTCGTTGACTTCTTTTATTATCTCTTTTGAAGCCAAGGATGCAATGCAAAGTCTTTTATATTTTATTATTTATAAACCTTCGGCTGACAGTCTTTTCTCTGGATCTTTCTTTAATAGTCTCTTTAATAGATCTTATTCTAGAGAATTTAGCTTTTTAAAAGCAGATGTGTTTTTTACATTAATTTCTGAATCTCTTATCATCTCTATTGTATCCAAAACAGTTTCCTATTAAAATGGCAATTATCCAACCAATAATTAATACAAAATAATGCCTATTGACCAGATATCAACTAAAATAGATTTAATAATACCTTTTTCATTGTAACCGCCTCCTAGAAATATTTCAGGAGCTTAATAAAATAATGAACCAGTCCTTGTCCACATATCGATGTTTTTTGTTACTTTCCCTTTTACTAAAAATCTTTTAGAAACCCCAAAATCTATTAATTTCAAAGCAAAATTATCTCCAATAAGAATATTGTCTGGTTTTAGATCTCGATGGCAAATTCCTCTTGAATGCAATTATTTTATGGACTGAGCTAAATTTAAAGCAATTATCTGAATATCATCTAAACTTAATTTTCCCATTCTCTGTTCTAGGCTCAAATAAGGGCAATATTCCATTACCAAGTGGTGTTCTTCCTTTTTAGAATTTATAAAAAGATCTAGTGCTTTAACTACGCAATTCAGATCATTTAATGTTCTATTTAGGTGAAATGTCTCCCTGATTGTATTTATTATTTCTGTATCTCCAGTTCTAAAGATCTTAACGGCATAGGTGGTTCTTTCTGATATATCTATATTATTTTGATCTCGCTTGTAACATTTCTTCACAATTCCATGTGCTCCTTGGCCTAATGCTAAATATTCATATAACCGATCTGATGATGGCCATATTCATATATATCACTAAAATGTCTAAATTGTTAATTTGTGCTTTTTGGTTGAGGATTTTTCATAGGAGGAGAAGCGTTTTAGGTTGGAGGATTTTATTTCAAATTCCTTCTGCTTTTGCTGAAAAGTGCATTCTTAAGAGAAGCTCTAATAGCCATCTGATTTTGCCGATTCATTTAAAATATAAAAAAATTAAATATTTTCTTATGAAATCATTGATGTTAACTGTTGAAATCAATTTGAAAGCAAGAAAATTGAGTTTAAGAATATTTCAAATCTAGTAATATAATAATATAAGTATTGAATTAATATTCTGAATTTATCTCAATAATCATTGTATCTTGCTAATTTTTAATGATTCCTCGTATTAAATAATATTGTTATAATTTATTTCATCAAAAATTGGTTATGTCATTTATTAATTACAAGTGCTTTTATAATCTTAAAAGGTCTTAAATGTTTTCAAAAATTAATAGACTTCTTGTCTAAAGATTAACAATGGACAGTTAATGGTTTCATTATTGTCAGCATCTTAATCAAACCCATTTTATTTAATTAACTCAGAATATAGTTGTGTTATGTTTAAAAATCTAGGTTTTGGTAAAGACTTATTAATTTCTTCAATATTTTATATCTAATTCTAATATAATCAATACCTATTATTAATACAGTTGAAATAGTTATTTTGAAAGCTAGGAGGTAATATTATTTTTAATAAATTAATTTTCCATAAGTTCAATGATTTCTTATAAGAATAACATTTTATATCCATTCCATAACAAATCTTGGTTTGTAAATTCCTTCAGTTGCTTTATTATTTCCTGACTAAAAAAGCTAATATATTTAGTTAAAAAGCTGGACATTGCCAGAGATTATTAATTTATCAGGAATTATTGTAATAAATTTAACAATTCAACAAAGTCATTTTTATCATTCTATTATTAGTTTAACTTTCCAACATCAGATAAAAGGCTTTGAGTCTGACTTCCAGATAGTCCTTGGGAATTTGAATTCACTAAAAATTAATAGAAGAGTAAACTAAATTTTTTCTAATTACAATTACATACATAATCATAAAAGAGATTAAATTTTAAAATATAATATGCTTTGGTTTTTAGTCCTAAAAATAAATTATGTATGCAAATTTTAAAGTCATCCAGTTCCAATTTTAAATTATTGATTATATTTATATATTCTTCCATAAATTTTTTAAAACTTTGAGCTAAAGTAATTTCATCTATATCGGTATGGCTCTATAAAAATCCCCAGCCCGGATCCACAATGATAACACAATATTTCTTTAACTCGTATGTATAAATTTCAGCTTATATATCAGGATTCAATATTTTAATTTGATCATATATTTATTTTTTCTTTTAGAATTCAGTTTCATTCAACAAAAAAAGCAGTTTTTAAAACACATTTTCATCAAGTAAGCCATATGGTTTGGAAAAATAATTCTCCCTTGAAGCATAAAATTCTTCTATTGTACCTTATCCTCCTCGATGACCTCCCAACAAAAAGTATAAGATGCCACTTAACTAGAATTTTTAATTTAGTTATTTTTAATCTGGGCAAATAAGGCACTACTCACTCTCAAGTTTCATTTCTTGGAGATTACAAATGACAGTATGAGGGCATATAAATCCATTTTAATTTTTAGGTCTCTTATTTACTTTTTTAATAAGTGAAATAAACATGCGATATATTTGATCTATCTGCAAAGTTTATATCTCATTAAAATCAATTAGTTTTTGCATTTGTTGCATATTTTTAAATAATTAAATGAAAACTTTGTAATAAAAAGTTAAGGAAAAATTTCAAGTCCTTTTTGTTGTTTTCATTCATTTGAAGGAATCCTAAAAAAATAAGTGTTTTCCATCTAAAAAACATATTGAAAATCGAAAAATTATCGAATTATGATTAATCATTTAAATAGAAATGTATGCTTTTAGTTTACATGATAAATATCTTTGTATTTATTTTATTCTAAAGTTAAAATTTGAATTAGAAAAATTATCTTAGGAACTCTTGAATAAATATTGCAGTTTATTGCAGATAGAAGGATTGAATTTATTTCTAATTGAATGTCAAGAAAAAAATTAAAATCCTATTCAAAATGGCATTTATAATTGCTCTTCTTAATTATTAAATCTGTTTAATAACATAAAGAAGATGTTATTTCAAAATTCAATAGTTTTGAGAATAAATGCAATGAAGGATTTTATAAAATATTTATTGTTTATGAAAATGCCTGTTTAGTTATCAGTTCATAAAATTCCTAAAATTAGTAGATTTGGTTGCCATCAAAGCGGTCCGAAAAGTCTCTTTATTATCCTCTTAAAAGGTATTCTACATGATAGCCGTTATGGATAACTTTGAGGTTTTAGATGACAATAAGAATGTATTTTTATTTGCAGTGAATTTTCTAACTTCTGCTTGAAATCAAAATTTACTAATCAATCTATCGAGTTTAAATATAATTAAAGAAAAAATAATTCATATATTAGAACGTAACTAGTAATCAAGTAGCTAAATTTTTATATGTGATTGTGAATGATATTTCAATTTGTTTTATTCTAGGTATCCTTGATATATTTCTTTTTCAAATATGCTAAGGATACTGATGTACCCTTTGATGTAGCATCGAATACTCTGGTCCAATAGTTAGGCTCATCATCTTGCTTCATTTCGTTTTTGACTGGAACATAAATTTCCTTATGAAATATTTTGTGAGTTTCGTCATCCACATTATAGGTTAAATAAAATCCTACACTCATCCCTGCTAATAAATTTAAAATTGAACTTGCCATTAAAATTAATATATTATTATTAATATGAGCAATAAAAGATAAAGCAATTCATCTCAATAATAGCAACAATAAAAAAAACCTAATTTTAATGACTAGCCAACAGTAATTCCTACTAAAGATGATGATAAAAAGAGTATGAATGGTAGTTAAGTTAACGATTCTCATGATGGGAATTAATAATAATAATAACAATCAAAATTTGATCTTCCTTAGATCCCTAAATTTTAGAGTCTACCTCTAAGAGATTATTTTGACAATAAATTAAGTGCCATTCTATTGGAAGGATTGAAGGAAATTGGAAGATAGAGGTAATATTTTGAATTATCAATTATATAGACCTGAAAATCCAATTAGGTTTTTGGGAGAATATTTACTAGAGTAGGATAAATAAAAGTGAATATTTATTAGAACAATGACTTTAAAATAATATAAAAAATATATTTGTGATTTCACTTTTTTTTGCTTGTTTTTTTATTATCTTATTTCTATTATTCTTTAGGTTATTCCTTATTGGCTTCATTTACTTTATTTTATTATTATTACTATTCTTGCGGCTTTTATTATTCTGATTATTTTTATTATTATTAATCTTATTGTTTCTATTATTATTCTTATTATTTTTATTAGTCCTTTTACTCTTCTAATTTTAATTCTTTTAATATAGATTGTTCATTCTAAATTTGTTTCTTTGTATCTTTTTTTTAATTCTAAACTGCCCCCTTTTTATTTGTATTTTATTATTGTTATTATTGTTGTTGTTATTGTTATTGTTATTGATTTTATTATTACTGTTAAACATTCTGTTCAGCCTCTTATTTCTATACTTTAACTTCTTATTTATGTGGAGATGACTATGGATCTTATTTGTTTTTTTATCCTTTTGGTGGAGACTAATCAACTTTTTCAATTTATTAGTTTTTCAAATCCAAACTCTATTTGTCTATACTTTGTCTTTGTACAGGCTCTTAAGAGAGAGATTGATGATTTATTTCTTTCCTCTTTTATTCCTCTCTAAATGCCAATTCGTACTTTGAAACTTCCTCTAAATTCTTTTGTTCTTTGTCCTGCATCTTTTTTACAAATTTTTCTTTCATAACTATTAATTATACCATGTGCTTCTTTAGCAGCCTGCTGAGCTTTATTTTATATATTCTAATTTTTTAGTTTTTTCTCATATTTCAAGATTGTTTGAGCAGAAAATTCATAAACGTTTCCAGTTGGTAACCCCTTCTTACAGAGTTGTCTAAGCAAGTCTAAGTAATAGGAATATGTTACATTCATACGCTTCTTGCAAACCTGAAGCCTGGATTACATTTTATTATTTCTCATTTTGTAATTATTTAGACATGTTATTATTATTTAATATAACAGATTTTTATTTGAAATTATTTTATAAAACAATTAGCCACAGATGATTGATTACCCCTTTAAAATTTAAGAGTGTATGAAATTCTAGAATTAAATATAATGAAAACCAAAAAATCAGAAGCTTATTCCCATAAAAAAGCTAAATATATTTTCTTCTTAATTTTTGTCTTTCAAAACCCATTAAAAGTTTCTCCCATCCTTGAATCCCTTAATTTTATTGATACATCTATCTAGCTGCTGCTCAAAAGTTTTTTCAGCTAAATTTTTAAGCTGAATGTATGTAATATTTTAATTATAAACCATTTTTAAATCAAAAATTAATTCCATGTTATAAAGATTTAATTTACAATAATGAATAATTTCCTTTAAGTTTATTGCTTTTTATATTACTCTGAGGGATGCATTTTATTTAATTCTAAATTAAGAAAAAGGAATCTTTACAAAAAATAAAATTAGTTCTTAGAAATTCCGAAGAAAATTTAACAGGAAGTTTTAATTTCTTAAATTTGAGAAAACAAAACATAATTTAGATGTATGGAAAATAGATACTCATACTAGGCTGCTTCCTTTTACAAGTTGTGTTCGAGTTTTCACTTTTCCTTTGATGAATACAATTATGAATATAATAGGTGTATAAATTATTATAGAATATTTATATAACTATCATTCTAATATTATGATAGTATTGAAGTTTCAAAGCCATATAAAATCATCTCTCCATGATTTTTTATGTATTCGTTTGTCTTCAAAATTCTCTATTATAGTTTTCGAATGTAGAGATTAAATGATGACAATTTAATTAGAAGAAGAGCTTGTTTCGCAATTCTCTGAAGGTTCTTCATCTACACTGTCATCAAGGGTTTATTTTTTCAATCCACTCAAAGGATTTGAAAAGTAGTACTTTTAGTAAATTGTAAATCGATTCATTAATATTAATTAATTAGTCAATAGATTCAAATTGGATAATATATATACTCACGGTAATTAAATGAACTTATTATGCGTTGCTAAAAGAAAATATTAATATTAGAATTTCATTCCAAGTATTTGAATAACAATCAATAAATTACTGATTGAATAATTTATTAAGAAATATAATAAATCAATAGTATTAGGATTAACATTATAAAATTTACTTTGAAATTTGAAGCTTCAAGTTTGTCGGATTGAGACCTATTGGTTAATATTTCAAGATGAATTGTATGAATTTGCAAAAGCGATCATTAAACCATATTTTTATTATAAATACCTTATGTCTAAATTTGTAGAAATGGAAATTTCAATTTCTTTAAAAGCGCATTGAATTTTTAAAAATAACTAAATTCCTACTAGGATAACTACTAATCAATACAGGACCCAATATTATTCGCTTAAAAAATATATGGTTGCAAAATAATGTTTATAATACTAAAATGCTGTCAAATGTAGAAAAATGGCAATGTAGGCAATTTTCTATATTTCTAATAAAGAGTTAAGAAAAGTTGATGTGGGTAACACAGGGAAGCCATGTAAAATGATTATAAAAGTGGCTTAATTGATTTGGTAATAACAGATCTTTAAATCTGTTGAAGCAAATAAATTTTAATAAAAGGTAATTAATTCATATTAAATTTTCTAATTACTTTGGCTACACCTGTTTATGATGCTTAAACAAGTAGTTAAGCTCTAAAAGTAGGCCTAGTTTATAAAGCAGACATAAGAACTAAAGAACATCAGCCATAAGTTTCTTTTAGGGAGTAGCAATCACAGTAAATGTTGAATATTCAAATCGAATAATTATTCAAAAAATAATGTCTTTAAATATATTGCTATCATTAATCCAAAGATTACCAACATTTTCAAATATTCTTATTTCACCTTTCCATATACTAAAAGTGTATTGCTAAGATCGCTTATCATTTATTATTCACCAGGTGCCAAATAATTTTTCGAGAATATGAATCAAAACTATTCATAATTATTATGATAGTAGAGAATGTTAAAAAAAACAAATTCTCTTTCTCTCGAAAGAGCGAATCTGAATAATAATGCAAGCTAGAATAGTTCAAGAATAAACTCTAAGGTAAGCTATTTTTGTATGTCTAGGGGATGTACTCCAGTTTCTCAAGAATACTAAGTAAGATGATTAATCATTATAATCATTTTTGTAAAGGATGGGAATAAATTTGGAAGTCGATGAAGAGAAGTATATTTTGGATATAAAAGAATACCACAATAACTATATAGAAGGAGATATTTTAGGAGAAGGTTGTATAGGATTAGTGAAGAGTGTGAAAAGAAAGAGTGATAATTTTGAATTCGCTTGTAAAACAGTGAAAACTGATTCAGAAGAGATTGTAAAGAAGGTAAAAGTTCAGATTAAATCGAAAGATGATATTGGAGTTTAAAAATCTTAAGAGATTGAATCATCCCCATATAGTATCTATGAAAGAGATCTATATCTAATGGAATGAAGGATTCCAATCCACTGGAATGGTATGCGTAATTATGGAGAAAATTGATGGGAGAGAAATGTTTGAGGTTATTTAATAATAAAAACAATATAGTGGTATTATTTTAACTAAGAAAGAGACCATTGCTCGTGTACTATTCATCTAGATCTTAGAAGCCATCAAATATATGCATGAAAACTATTGTTGTCATCGAGATTTAAAGCCAAACAACATCTTATGTGCACACGATGGCAAATCCATAAAAATAACTGATTTTAATGTAAGTACTTTATAAAAACGTAGGTGTCAAAATTTAATGATAGTTATAAAGAGTTCGGGGATCTTAATTAACATGGGAAAATTGAAATGTGGACATACACTGGAACCGTTGCATTCTCAGCACCTGAGATCTTTTCAGGGAACCTTTATAAGTAACTAAATTTATGTAATTAGTGAATAAGTTGATCTATGGAGTGCAGGTGTCATATTATTTGTTATGCTAAGTGGAGAATTACCCTTTAATTCTGAATATCTCAATGATCTAATTGAGTAGATTAGATAGTGTAAATATGAATTTGCTGGAATCATTTGGGATTAAATCTCTGAATCTGCTAAAGATCTGATTACTAATCTTTTACAATTGGATCCGGACAAAAGATTTACTCCAGAATAGGCTCTAAATCATCCTTGGATCACGCATGAATAAAGCAATTCAGATATTCCAAGATATTAATTGCAAATCAATATGCCTCGCATTTTGAGAGTTAAAAATATTAATCAAGAATCAAAGATCAAATAAATATGCTATTTATTTGGAGCTGGAGATATTTGGAAGAGACATTCTCTAGGTTAAGACACTAATCTAGATTTATATGACAATTTGAAAAAATATAGATCCATTGACATTTCTGATAGTTGGAAAAATGCTGAAATCAAAGTGACAAAAGATCAAAGCAAAAAGGGTGTTTATACTATAGATTATCCCTTTAGCGATTCTGATTGAATTTAGAATAATTATTAATTTAATAATTTCTTAATAATTTTATACAAGTATTCTCATATTCTTTATTTTCTTATGAATTTTCTTCAACTCAATTTTACTATCTAAATTATCCAACAGGAAATCTATTTTACATTTTAAGATTAATTATTCAGGGGATTTAACTGATATTGAGTTTTAATCCATTGTAAAACTACAATTTATATTTTCTAATGAATCATTAATTTAATTTTAAACAAATATATCTAAGTTTATAAAATATTCATAAAACTCTTATTGGTTTCATTAAAAACCTTTTATATCTGATTTCTCCTATATCTCTTTCAATTCAATCTAATCTTGGCCATTTTGAGGGTCATTTAAAAGTGAATCCTTGACTTCATTTGACTAATTGCCGTTCATCATTGATTGCACGATTTCGTCATAAGTGATAATCTTTTATCCCCATTATTTGTATTAGTAATAGATACCAAAGCAGGCTAAAATTATGATGCAAGTAAAATAAATGTAATATCTATAATCCGAATTTCCTGAAATATTCTTAATTTCTGAAGGAAACCCTCCAGCAATCAATCCAATACCCTTAAAAACTAAGTATGACTAAATAACATTTATTTATATACTCCTAAAAAACTAGTACTAAAAATGATTAGATGATCAAATAATCTAAATGATAGAACACTGCACCCAAAACTGAAAACCAACATAATTGAATATAATAAGTATTGGGAAGTAACAAATTAAATCAATAGAGCATTCCACAACAATAAAGACAAGACTACTCCTAGTCCAATACCTATTGTAACAATTCCGATTTTATCTAAGTGCATAGATAATCCTCCTACAAATGCTCCAATTAACACAGCGATTATCAACGTTAACCAAAGAAAAAATGGATTGTCTCCTAAATCAATTTCACTAGATATATATAATGCAAAGAAAAAACCAATTAAGTATCCAAATATAAAAAGGGTTGGCTTTAAGATTTACTTACCCATTAAGCATTCTGTTAAGCCTATCATTATCAGAATTGCAGACAGAAATTTGTTATTGTCTTATAGGAATTAAACAATTTAAGAAAATAAAACTAAGGGACATCCATTATCAGCTTCCATTTCAATAGTGTAAAATTATTTATTTTTATCATAAGATATGTCCAATATCTTTAGGCTTTCTTATTGATCTTAACAATAAAGCACGTATTTTACATAAAAACCATTAAGTGTACTTTATTTATTTGATATATATTGATACTTATTGAATTCTGCCTGCACACCTTCATGAGATTCATCTTAATTAATAAGTTCAAAGGAATCTGCAAAGTATGAATCTGTGTTAATCAATGATATGCATTGTTAATCTGGTTTTCCCTCGTTATTTATTATTACAGCAAATGTATTAAATGTAATTTCTGGACACTTTAAAATTGGTTGACAAAATCGGAAATATAATGTACTTGTTTCTAAATCATCAATAAACAATACCGTTTAGAATTTATTTATATTCTTTTGTTTATAAATCATCAAATATGTAGACAGCATCAGAATTAATTACTTTTTTACATTTGCTTCCATTAATTGATATTAGCAGACACCCTAAGATTAGTATAAAATATTTATAATTCATTTTTAATAAATGAAATTGATTGGAAATAATCAAAAAATTCCAAAAATTAGAATTCTATGTTTAAATGATTAATAAGAATTACAAAATATAATAACCTTCAATTTTATTTTTTTATGCCTTACGATATTTAGGATGCTTAATTTAATAATTAATCAGACCATTTTACTACTTTCTTGCACTATGAACAAATTATTGAGCCTAAATTGAATAATGTTCAAATACTTTAAGGTTGATGCAGAATATTTGCATAACAAGTGGGACATTGAAACACTTCATATTAGATGGGTATTTTAACAAATTTACCACAAGTGATATTCTTGCATTAATATGGAGTAGTATCTTCGTTTTCTTAATAGGCTAAGCAAAATGAACAAATTGAATATCTTAATTATATTGATACAAAAACTTTTTATTAATTTTGTTTGGATTGGTAACAATAGACTTAGTTTATCTTATATCAGGTACAAATATTATTTCTTCCACCTTAAATTCTTCACAAATATAGTTTTGATTATTAAAGCTCATTTTATTATTATATATTTATTTAATTGATTATAAATTATAAGATAAGATCAATAAATCTATTCAATGATAATTATTTTATTATCCATAAATAGTCAATTGTCTTGTATTTCAATTAATCATTACATGTTATTTTTGAAATGGATTATATTTTCTACTTTATCTTTTGCAAATAATTAATTAAATAAATAAATTTTCTATTCAATTTAATATTAAAACCATTATAAGGTCTATTGATACACTTATAATTATAAAAATAATTGATTAGAATCTAGGTTTATAAAGGAAATCAATCTAATTTAATATGAAATAATTTTAATAGTTAGAAAAAGTAATCAAGATTAATTTCTAAATTTTTTTCCTCAATATAATTCAAAATTGGATGAATTTTTATTAACACTTTTTCATTTATATTTAAGTTGATATATTAAATCGATATCAAACCATCTCGATCTGAATCTAATTATTTAAATACTTTTTCAACAAAATTAACATTGTTTACAACTTCCCTTTCATTATTAATCAAATTAGAATTTTTGTTATTTAACTTTATCATTTTATTTGCAATTAAATTTGCCAATATCTGATCCTGCTTATCTACTTTCTTCTTAACAAGCCTAAATGTTTGATCCTTTCTTATCAGTGGTTTGAAATATGGTTAATTAGTAACTTTATCCTTTTTTTCTATATCTGATGCTAATCTTCTTTATTATTACTGCAATTATTGATCAGCTTATTCTTAAATCAGTTTTTCGGCATGATATAGTTATTCTTACCTAGTAGGTTTCTTCCTAGGATTCAAACCAATATTTGGATGAAATGGATAAACTTAACTCATTACTCTTTCCCTCAAAGCCTTTTTTTTTGCTTCAATTACTTTAGCATCTTAGTATAATTTTGAATGAATTGGTTCTTCAGAACTGCCTCTTTCTTTTACAATCAAACGAGATATGCTATTAATTCTTGGTATTGCATAATTGATTTATTTTTCTTCTTGATCATGTTCTTATAAAGCAGTCGTCAATCTTTTTTTCTAATTATTGGCATCCGCATACAACTATTCAAAAACATCGGTCTCTTTTATTATTAAATTTGATACCTGTTTTATTTCTGTATAATTTTTACACAAGTTACTATGTATTTAAAGAAAGAATAGAAGTGTGCCGAGTTTTTACCTGAAAAACTATAAAAAATTAATACTGGGACTTTTAACTGCCTTTTGATCTCTGCAATTATAAATTATTTTCCTTCCTATCTAATTTAATGTCTATCACAAAAAAATTAGGTCAAAAGTTCAATGTCATCTCCTTCGTAAATACAAATCTACTCTATTTTTTCGCCTGTATCCAAACTAACAATTGCTTACAAATTAATCATAAGGCAATAAAAATTATTTAAGATGTGGGAAAAAATTAATTCAATTAAAATTCTTATTTAAAATAATTCATTTGATTCATTATGGAATTGTAAATAGACTTAAAGCCATTATTATGAAACAAGAAAAATTCTGCCAATTGAGATGATTAGTTCCAATAAAATACTTATATTTTTGGTATCAATTCTATTGAACTTGAAAAAGGTTTTTATCTAAACTCCTCCTTTTTATCTTATAATATATTCTTGTTTACAATAATTTTAAGATGTACTAGAGATAGATATTCGATTAAATCCTAATTTATTTAAATAATAATATTTTAAATTATGTAAAGATATCAAATGATAATAACTTATTCTAATAGATATTAAAGCGTGTAAAAACAATTCTGCATATTGCAGACTAGAAAATGCAGTCTAATCAACTAAATTGAATTTCTGAATTTAGTAGTTAGAAATGGTATCCTTTAACTTTATGATCTTTTTTGAAATAGTTCCTCATCTGTCTTTTTCTAAAGCAAAAAAATTGGATATGTATTTATTCCCTTATATACAATTGATAAATTAATTAAATTAAAAAATACCTTAAAATCACTAGTATAACTGGTTTATTTCCTTATTGATAATTAAATAATCTAAACTTAATGATAAATTCTAACTAATAAATATTACTTTTAAGCAACAATTGATATAGATTAAAACTTTTAGGAAATAGATTAATAACCATATCAAGAAATATAATTTCAAACTCAATTATCTTTATAGATTAAAAAGCTGAAATTTTTATGCAATATTTTAACGAAAAAGTTGATATATCTTTATTTATTGTTAAGTAAATATTCACTAACATATATTATGAAAATCATCTTCAAATTTTAGTAATATTTAATTAGCTTCATCCGCAATCTCTTAATTATTTGACAAAGCATATTGCATAAGATGATGTGGATAATCCATTTGGAATGCTTGAACACTAAACACGCTTAATAAATTATTTAATGATTATAAAGTAAATAAGGTAGAAAATGAATCAAGAGAAAAGTCTTTTAATAAGTCTATTAAAATGATATGAGTTTCCAAATCAACTAAATTTTAAATTTATAATTCATTTGAACTTTCAATTAAAATCTTAATACAACGTATGGAAGCTTCTCTTACCTTTTTAGGGTAGCAGCCTTCACTTAATCTAATAATTTCTTTGAGAATAACATTATCATCATAAAAAGGTTATAATAGGTTATTGAACGTTTGTGACAATTAATAAAATATTATGCTTAATAAATTGAGAATTGAAGGAATTACTTCATTGTTATTTAGTCTGATAATCTATTTCGAATACTCAATAACATGATTTTATAATAACTCATAAAAACTCTCTGTTTCATTAATGCAAAAGTAGGATAACAACTTAGTAATTAATTCTACTAGTGATATACATCCCAAGCTTAAATTAATCAAATTTAGTATTAAGTCATAATCTTATTGCAAAAAGTTTAAATTTAATTTCTATACTGCGATACAGTAAATCTCAATCTAATCAGATATAAACTACGGTTTTTCTTTTAATCCATAATTTAATAGTTTCTTTATCAGTTTCACAAGGTAATCACAATCAAAAAGTAAAAAATCATCACATATGCAGCTTACAAAATTTTTTAGACATTTTGAGATTAATAAAATAGTTTGATTTTCATTTTTCGAAATAGAATTATGAGTAAGATCATTAATAGCAATAATGAGATCTAATTATTCAAGTTTTTAGGAATTGGAATTACACCAAACATTTATTAATAACTCTAAGGCAGTTCTAACTTCAGTTCCATTGGATATCAACCCTGATATAACTTACAGAATATTGAAGTTTGCATAACTATTACTGAGTAACTTATCTTAAATTTCATCTGAAAAAAATGTCAAATTGATAAATATTGTCAATGACTCCAAAATTAAAGTATTTTTATTTGTAATCTAATACATTAAAAGCGAAAGTAAATTATCAACATTGCTCTCAATTAGCTAAATTTGTTCATTTGATAGTTTTTAATTAATACAATAAAGTAAGGAGGAATTCAATTCTTTCAAATGGTCTTATGTAATTATTCTGGGGTTTGCTATCATGTCAATTAATTGATCGAATGAGTATGCTTATTATACCTACGCATTGGCTAAGATTCTTTTTTATTTGAAAACACTTTAATGAAACTATTATCTAATCTGAGTTCTAAATAATTCACGCTTGTATTTAATCATATTTGTAAATTAATTAATTTAATTAATTATATATTGATCAATAATTCTGTAATAGCAATATGATTATTTGGACAATTGATAGAAAATTTATAAACTAGATCGGTAATAAAATATAATTAGTTTAATATGATAATTAATATTAATTGATTTATTTATAATTTTTGTACATTTAAATAAAACAACCTAAAATTTGGAAAATTTATGAAACTTAATTTATTTAGAAAATCTCAAATTTGATGAATAAATGATGGATTTTCAAAAGTTTCTTCTGTGAATTCAAAAATTATCTTAGCGAAAATAAACTTCAGATTGAAAGCTATCATTTTTTGGTTGATGATTTCAAAGGAAAATCATAAGTTTTCGTCAGGTTATGAGATTTAAGATCAGGGATGATATTATTTAAATTCTTACTTAAAAAATAAAAATCTGTTTGAGATTATTGAACAAACTTTAACAGGATAATAAAGTAAAATTACAATAGTCCTGGTCTTGGAAAGGTAGATTATCGAATAGAAAGATTTTGGATCTTATCAGGTAAAAGAATAGATATTTTTTAAAGTGAAAATGAAAATTTGATTTATTTTTTTATGTTAATTATAATTGTCGTAGTATGCTAGTGATCTATAGATTAAAAAATTTAATAAAAATAATGAAAACAAGGAATTCTTAGAGATAATCATAGAGAGAAGACTTGTCAGTGACTTGTTAAGAGGTAATAACTATAATTTCTCAAAAATCTCATACCTTATATATTAACTATTTTTAAGCCTTATTTTAGAATGTATCTATGAGTGATTTTCCCCTTAACAGCAGTGCTCAAACTCCTCGAAAGAAAAGAGGACCAATATGCAAGAAACACAAATATGTACTTCTGTTATATAAATAAAGACCACAATAAATTTGAAAAAACATAAATCCTCGAAATAATTTATCTGCTATGAAGACAGAGATTTAAATATTCCCGAGAAATACTAATCAATGTTATAAAAACATGTATGAATTATATTTAAAAAATTAAAGAAATCAGATGACGATAGAGAGTCTGATTCTGAATAAATTAAACACGCCATCAACTACTTGTACAAAGACCTATTATAATGTATTGAAAGAGAAAAGAATTGAATTATATTAATTTTATAATGCTCAAAAAGTACCTCTTCCAATGCAACTCAAAAGACTACTTCCAATAAAAAAGAGTGCACACCAAAGATTCTGAACACACTCGACATTTTGAGTAGCACGTAGATCATATAAACTATCATCAAGAACTATTTGAAGAGAAGCATAGCAACCGAAACCAAGCCAGCATTAAAACCGATCGACATGGAAGAAACCAGGAAAGAAGAGCTTTCTAAATTTCGATCCATATCACTCTACAATAAGAAGCAAGTTCGAATGCCTACATCAGCAGAGAAGTGTTGCTCCAATGAGAGAATTAAAGTTTTTAATATATTCAACAGTACTCCAAGAAATGTCAAGCCCAGTAGATCCCAACAAATGTTGAATGGATTCAAAGAAAAAGTTGTATATTCATCTCATAATAGGGTAAATAAACAATTAAATTTTAGTAATCATCCGCTGCCAAACCTCCCATCTCAAGTAGAATCAATGACTCACAAGAATAATTGTAGAAAGCATCCAGATCAAATATGATTCCCTTGAGAAGCTTTTTTAAGGACAATCAAGTTAAACAACAAAATAATATAAAATTGGAATTAGAAAAGCATGCAAATAACAATATATTGGAATTATTACTCTTAACGACTGGAGAATTAAAGAAGAAGTTTGAAGATGAACACAAGTTACGAGATAGTAACAGTAGATAAAACTCAGAGGAAAGAGTAAGAGTTAAAGTTAGAAATAGCCATAAATTTCCAAAGGATTTCTTTCTATGATTATATTATTTAATTAATGCTCAATGTTCTCAAATAACTTTAAAATGAAATGACTTCAAAGGATGATTCAGTTAGAGCAAAAGCCACTCACAAATTTAGAGAAGAATTGGAATAACTCACTGTAAACCAAGAAGAATCAGAATTTTTAATCGAGTTTTTCCTCCACAAATTAAGTGATCCTCAATCCTTACTTGATACAACCTATATTCTACTCAAATTGAGTAAATCTTCAAAAAGCATTCATCCATCACTTTTAAAAATGATATAGAACAAATAGATAATTATTCCTACATTTTCTAGAGAAGCAAGAATTAATTTTTATCAAATTTTTCTCGCTTTTCCAATTACATTTGAACTAGCCTCAATAATACTCTAGAGTATTATAGGAGAAAAAGATCCTAGAAATATTTTGGTTGCTTTTTAATTATGTGATGCTATTTTATAAGAAAAAAATATAGGAACATAATATAAGAGAGAAATCTTTGAATTCTTAGATTGTTATTATCCTATTGAATTTAACGAGAAAGCCGATCCAAGGTATTGTATATAAATATTACTTAGGTTTCAAATCAAAAAGGTAGAAATTGAGCATATTCTTAATAAATGTCTTTTTAGTGAAGTATTGCTAAATGATTCTATATTATTGTTACAAGATAAGATTGTATCAGCTTATGATCGAGCTTAAGGCTCGGCACTCAAAAGTGTTATGTGGATAATTAAAAACTAAAATAAAATTACTCCATAATAGATTGAAGAGATTTATGAGTCTATTTAAAAACTTGCAGAATAGGTAATTATGGATGACGATGTAATTTAATTAATTCCATTTACTTTAATAGAAATTTGTAATAATGAAAGATTTTAAAAAGTTAAGTCTAAAATTAAAACAATTTCTTTGAAAACTTTAGAAGAAATACCTGCTACTTAATAAGGATTTATTTATTTTAATTTCTTAAAACTTTTGGTTTAAAATCATACAGAAACAATTTTTAGAGACATCGTTCAAATATTTAATAAAAAATTTGATACCAAAAATATTAATGTGACTTAAAAAAGGTTAGAGAATGTGATCTCAACTATCGCAGAATATAAAAAATATAATAGAGATTTTATATCGGAATTAGACAATAATCAAAAATCCCTACTTTATGATAAATTATAATCAGGTATTAATCATAAGATGTAAAATGTTTTTATTCTTACTCTTAAATGCTTAGCTGACATTATGAAATATTATTAAGATTAATAAAAAGATTTGGAATTATATTTATATAACTAAATTAATAATAGGGAGCTTATTGAATAGTAATGCATTTTGGATTATTTTGCTAAAAATGGAATAGTGGACATCAAGCAATATTAATAGCTACTCACTTTTTGGTCAGATAATAATTAGTTACTATATGATTACAGTTTAACATCTTCATTATATAATATCTAAGATTATTTCTCCTAATTTACTTTAGGTTTAATAAATAATTAGAATTATTAAATAAAATCAGAATAAATATCTGCTCTAAAAGGCTATTTGGATAATAACTCAATATCGAATTAAATAAGATAAGATCAGGCATAATTAGTCATAAACCATATTTATAACCCTTTAAATAAGAATAGAAACAACAAACTAATAAAACAGTTAATTTAGTTCATGTTAAAATAATTCGCTCTTTATTAAAATATAATTAAATAAATTACCATTGATTTTGTACTACGTCTTGAAGATGAATATATATACTATTATATTCCCCTGATGGAATAAGAATTAAATGAAAATCTCATCTAGCCTATACTAGATATTATATACAAATAAGATTTTAAACAAAGAGATGTCCAAATAACAAATAGAAAATATGCATATAAATTTATTTAGTAAATTATTAATTAATATCTATAGTATATGTTTATCAAAATGTCAAAAAGAATTAAATTTGGATTTCCCTTCATTATCAACAATGGAAACATTATTCAATGATTATCAATTAAATTAGTTGCAATTGTATATAGTATTGCTCAGATAATAGGTAATTAAAACGCATTATAAAATTTAGATGTTGTTCAATAATCAGAAAGCACTTGAAAAATTAAAAGAAATTTCTTAGAGTCACCCGCAATTAATGAGTTAAATCATTAAGCATAAGGACCTGGAAAATAAAACATTTCTATAAAAGTCAATAGGGGAAATGATTAAACAATTAAATCATAAGCAAACTATTAATTATCTAATCAATTAAGTAGATGAAGAGTTCATTGCTGAGTTAGCAAATCCTGAAATGCTGTAAATAATAATTGAACATTTCAATGATACAAAAATTGATAAACTAAAACAACTTGCTTTAATTGTGAATTGGTGTCCTTTACTGAAGGTAAAAGTCATTGAGTAATTGGCCAAAATAGAAACTAATGAAATCAAGGTTTTGTATACTTTAATTAATATTGTGATGAACAACTTTGAGGAGGCTAAATATAATTTGGATTTGTATAATACAGGGATTAATTTATTTAAAAGATATTTAAATTATCCCAAGAGAGTGGTCAGATAAGCTGCTTAAGAAGCAATAAATGAATGGTGTATAGTATTTTTTAAAGGTTTATGACATTAAATAAACTAAATCATTATTTCTTCTTTAATCTTGCTAATTATTACATTAGTTATTCATTTTATTAAAGCAGATGAGCAGTCATTGTAATTTATTCAATATTTGGTTTTTATGCTTCATCCTTTTCTGCTTCAAGGATTATGCATTTTTGTTGCAATACTTCTATTTAATCTTTTTGTTGTTTAATCTGCTCTTGTAACTACAGAATGACAGTTAAAAGGTTAGATTAATCTCCATCTATGGATTCAATTCCATCTTCAAAATGGTTGACTTCTTTTTATTGCTGCATTTACCTATGTGATTTTACAGATTTCACAGGAGTAAAGTATAAACTGCGAGCACTCATAGGTTATCTATAAGTCTGATTGCCATTAGTTTTTTGAATTGCCTTTGAAAAAAAAAAATCTGAATCCTCTTATTCAGATTTGTATCTAATAGATTTTCTCTCTTCACAGTCTTGTTAAATCTTCTAAACCACTTTTTCTATATTATGTTAATGAAGCAAAATTGTCATAGATCTAAGATTATATTATTTCATATTAAAATTAATTGAAACAATTATAAAAGTCACCTTATTCTACCAATATTTGTTGAATAAAAGCAAATAGAATATGATATCAAAGTTAAATCCACTGATTACTAAAACTTGAAAAAGTTAAGAATAATATAATATTATTACAGGTGATTAAGAATTCAGAACGGTTTATAAAAATATTATTAAATGGTTTAATATATACTTCTTTATTGTTAATTTTCAAAAAGATTTAGTAATCTAAAGATGTATTCAAAACATCTCATTATTACTAAAATTAACAAAGATGGCTTTCTAAAGACTCTATTGTAAATGAATTCAAATTATATATTGAAATTTAAACGAATAATTTTATTATTAAATTGATAAAATTGCAGTAGTTTTAAAATAGAGAAAAACATCTAAAAATATGATATTATTCCATCCCAATGAGAGTGACTGTCAAAATTATATTGAAATTTTTAAAAAAGGCCCAAAAATATTCATTTTATACCTAGATCAATTTTTTCACTTAAAATATTGGCTAACATTTTTATTAGCTCTTTTAAAAGGGAGAGAGCTATATATGTGGTTAGATTTTAAAAATTGATTACATCAATCACTTTTGATGATAATTCTGAGCTCTCTAGAAAAGATTAAAATTATAATGTCTGGAAATGATTCTGTTCTAAGCATCCATAATATTATGTTAAAATGTATCCCAAAACCTGTATTAAAGAGAGAGAACCTAACAAACGTTAATAAAATTGTAATATTTTAATAAATAGATGAGATAATACTCAAAAGTGAAAAAAAAGAGTGTGAAAAGTCAAGAGTATAATTGGCTAAATGTTAACAAAATAAGTTTTGATAAACACCAGTATGTGAAAATGATGGATTCTCATTGAAAATAGATGGATTTATATATAACATTTTTAAAGAGGGAAATTTAGTAATTAGAATTTATTCTTAACATAAATAAAATTTGATTATATAGATGGAATTGCAATAATGATATGATTAATAATTTTATTAATATATAAATATTATATATGTTCAATATAGATATGAAGGAGATCATTGACTTGTAAGTGTTAGACTATGATGTATTTGGAAAATGTAATGATATGATGGTAGTTGTAAATTCAATATTTAAAGAGCTTTATCTAGTCCACCAACCCAATTCGTAAAGATGATCCTCAGATTAAGAGAAAAACTAGTGCAGTTGCAAAATTAATTAATTAACTTATACAATTTTTAAAAGATTCAGATAATTCTAAATTATACAATTTTCCTGAGTATCATGATATAGTGTACTTGCTGAAGAATAACTTATCAAATAATTTAAGAATTCAAGCCATATAAATGCAAGAGCTCGAAACAAGCAATTATGAATTCTAGAATTAAATATCAAACTAAGCTTAAAAAATTAAAAAATTGTGTTAAGATTTATTATTTAAAGATAAAGAAAATTAATAGTTACAAAAAGAGGTAGTATTTTAGTTAATTTAAGATTAAAGCTTTAAAGCATCAAATGTAATAAATGGAAGACTTGGAGTCTTAAATAGAAAAAGTAATGAATAATTAAAACTAAAATTTAAATGAGAATAATAATTTATTACAAAATGAAATCATTTAATTAAAACATTACCTAGAACTGAAGGAAAATACAATTAAATATCAAGAAGGAGAGATAAATCTATTGAAATTACAAATCTAAAGACTCTATGGTGATTAAAGCCAAGATAGAAAACATCACCTGTTTTATGAATAATAATAAATATTCAATGAAAATTAAGAATTGTTAAACAAAATTAATTAACTATCTCTACAAAGTAACTATCAGATTATATAAAATGCTGGAAAAATAAACGAGTCTCAGAATGCTGAAAAAAGAAAAGATCCTCAAAATGAAGAATAAAACAAAATATAGGTATAGTAAACAGAAAAATTGTAAAATAGAATTTTCAATTTTCTTAATTAATTATCCTTACATGGCTTTCTGCTTAGTGCATGGATTGGAGCATACGTAATTATTCAATATTTTAAATGATCATTTATTTTTATAAAATAAAGCAAACCTTAATTGAATTTATTGAGTTTTTTCTTTTCTTTTGTGTAGAAAAGTGACAATTAATAGTAATCAATACAAAATAAACTTATTTTCAAACAATTATAATGATTTTTTTAGTTAATATTAGTATATTAATTTATTTAATTATATTATAAATTTCAAGATGGTAACTTGTCATATATATTCAAATAGCAACCTATAAATGATATTAATGTTGATGAAGTATTAAGGGGATTATCAAGTGTGGAAGGAGCCAATGGTTTTGTGATATTTAATTAAGACTGTAATAAGGCTTTATTGATTAAATTTTAGGTATTCCATTAAAAAGATCAGAAAAAAATATTACATACGAAAAAGCTGTTCACATGTCTGCGTTAGTGGCTGATTTATGGAATGTCACTAAGAAATGCATCCAAAGAGAATTAAGAAGTGCTGATGTATTTAATGAATGAAATAACTTAGAATGATCTTGAAATTATTAGAATAAGGACTAAGGCCCAATCTGAATACATTATTTCTTAATGTAATTTTAATACTTATTAAATAATAAGAGGGTGATTACACAATGATCGGCATATAATTATGTGGAAAAGCAATTGAAGAGGCTAAATAAGCTGCAGCTGCCGAAGCTCAAGCAGCTGCTGAAGCAGAAAAGGCAAAAAAAGGAGATAAGGAATAAAGTTGATTTCAGCTATTAATTATAATATAAGTATTTTTTATAAGAAATGTTATTCAGCAAAGCAGTTATCCTTACAATTCTTGCAGTTACATGAATGCATTAGCTTCAATTTATATTATTATTATCTCAATTAGACAGAATAATATAGTTCCAAAAGAAATTGTAATTAAATAGATAAAGTTAGGTTTTTGATTTTTAGATAATTGATTTGAAAGACACCTTTATTCATATATATTATTTATTTTCTCAGTATTATTTTTAATTTTTGAGTTTATAAAAATTGGTGTTCAAGCATAAGAAGTTCTTGATATGAACAATTATTTTAAGTATTTATTCATTCAATTTTGAATCTTTTGATAATTGATCTCAAATAATTGAAATAGAATATTCCTTAATTAATAATACTAACAATAATAGATTATTTTAATATTCTTTATACTAACTATGAATTAAAAGGATCATTAAATATCTTATACAAATTCAACCGCCTTTTCTTTTGATCATATCATTAATCAAATTCATTAAATAGATACTGGTTTAATCAACCGTATTAGAAGATAGTAATGTAAGAGTTACATGGATTCATGTATTACTTAATATTATTTAGTATCTAAATCAATTATAAAGAAATCTCATCTATTTTATTCTATTATGAATATTTATTATACTTACATTATTAATGATTTTTAGAAATAGACCATCAGGATATCCATATTCGACTGGTGTTTTATTTTAATACTCATTTTGACTAGATATCTTATGATTTAAATATCTCTAAATTTAGATTATATAATTAAATAATTCTGAAAAATTCTCGAAAATATGAAAAGAAAGGTTAGGGAATATGATGAAAATGAATTTTCTAAAGCTGACTTGAAGATCATTCTACTAGGCGATTCAGCAGTTGGAAAATCAAAATTAGTTGAGAGATTTCTTTTGGATGACTATGAGGAAAGACAACAATCTACCTATGCATTGACAATGTATCGACATAATGCAAAGTTTGAAGGGAAAACTTATAAGATAGGTATTGAGTGTAGTTTATGAATATAGACTTGTGGGACACAGCTGGATAAGAATGTTTCCAGACTCTGCATGCTTCATATTATTATGGCGCTCATGCTTGTATTCTAGTAAAATTATGTAATAATTAGTGTTTTGATGTCACGAGGAAAATTACTTATACAAATTTAAAGAAATGGTATGAGGAGATGAGATAGAATTGCCCGACAATTCCTTGCTTATTGGTTGCCAATAAAATAGATTGTATATAAATTTATCAAACTTTTAGTGGATCCTAGTGTCACTGAGACCAAATTTAAGTTTGCAGAGAGTAACAATCTCCCTATATATTACACATCTTCGGCGGATGGAACTAATGTAGTTAAGGTATTTTAGGAGGCTTTGAAGGCAGCAATTGAACATAAACAAAAGCCTGGTGGTTAGTTCATGGATGATTTGATGGATTATTTGTAGGGTTGAAGGACATTTATGATATATAATGATTCATTCATTATCAAACTCATCATCTGTTTCACAATCATCACAATCACTGTATGGAATTTCCATTTTCTTATCATTATTTATTTAATGGTGGATCACAACTGTTTAAACATGCTATTAGACAAACTCAAATTGTTCATCTACGTTATAATATTCAACATCTCCAACCACAATCATTTCATCAATATTGAATTACTCTGATTCGTGTTGCTAGACTTCATTCTCTTCTTGCATGTGATGATCAATCTCCTCGTCTGACAATATTTCCGATTGAAATTGTTGTTGTTATTGATTTTTTATTAGATTTCGCAAATATCCCATTTTTTTATCCCAAATTTTGTTCAAATCAAACAATTATTCGGCTTTTCTTAAAGATACTATTTTTGTTACTTTAATAACTAATGATAATCTTCCAAAGTCTTTTTGGGCACCCCAACTTTTTCAGCAGCCTATTTCAGACTATACTTAATCTTGTTTCCATTCTGATCTATTTCGCCATTCTTGAATAGATTACGCCATTCATCAACACTATGCTTAGCATCCATTATCGAGCGTTCCTTTACTCTTTTGAAAACATGTCTTGGCTAATCCATAACTTGTAAATGATTATATATATAATATAATAAAAAAATTTATGCTTGACTCTTCAATAAACCCCTTAAATTTGCAATACACATAATGATAATATAAAAATTATAGAAGAAAATTCTATTTTTCTAGATTGAATACCATAAATGAAAGTTGATATTCGATTTTTTCTAGATAAATTCGACAATTTTAGAAGTAATTTATTCTTTCCTATCCAAATCTTTCTCAAAAATAGAAAATCTATCAGAAGTTATATGAGAAATCTCTAATTAAAGTTGCTCCCCTTCATACTATTATATTCTATAATCTAGAATTCTCAAGTATAACATATGTTAGACCATTATTCAACTCATTGCATCTTAAATAACTTAGAATCGAATATTTCTTATTGGATGAGTGTGTGGCTTGTTTTAAATAAAGATTATAATAGATTTATATTAAATTTTATAATGATTATATTCGTTTATCTTTTAGTTAATGTTTGCTTAAGCAAGAGAGTGTCATATTCATGCTAACCTGAACATTTTTGGACAGGATAGACTTGCTTACCTTGCGAGAAAGGATGCAAATGTAGTTCCTATATGGGATGTGATGGAGGATTATAATGTTAAAGTGGATGGGCATATTAAGATGAAGGAGACAAGAAATGTGTGCAATGTCCAACAGGGTGTAATTCATGTATTCTAAATGGGATAAATGGATTTATTTGTAATAAGTGCCAATCAGGATATTAACTAATAGGTAGAATGTGGTAGTATATTTGTAGCAAATATCTGTGTGCCATTGAGTTTTAATCCAAGATTAGGCAACGTGAAGTTCTTTGGATTTGGATTATGGGGAATTCCTTATTGGACGATCGCATTGGATAATTTGCCATAAGATGTTTAAGAGGCTTATTCCACATTGGACTGTATTGAAAGAGATTCCTCAACAACATTTTGTTTGAAATGTCCAGATGGTTCGTGGTTGAATGAAGTGATGTAATGTGAGAAGTGTGGGCCTGGTTGTTCCTTATGTACGTCTAGAGGAACTTGTGTAGAATGTCAAAGTGGATACTTTTGGGGTGAAGAGACAGGTTAATATACCTAATATACTGCATATTTAAATGGAGCAGGAAGATGCTTGCAGTGCAGCATTGAAAACGCTAAGACTTGTGATGCCAATTCGGTTTTGAGTTGTGTAGATGGATCTTATTTATAAAATTCAAATTGTGTAGATTGTCTAACGTAATGTTAAACATGCACGGATGGTAATTCCTGTGTAACTTGCAAGTAAGGTTATTACTTATAGAATAATCAATGCTAATATTGTATTGGAAATAGTGACATGAATATAAATTGTTTGGAATGTTCTGATCTAAATACCTGTACTAAATGTGCTGACTCTTATATGTTAATAAATTCTCAGTGTTATTTAATTCCGTTGGATCCAGGATGTGAAACTTTCAGAGCCAAAGGAAACAATCAAGTTGTATGTGATGTCTGTTTAAATGGATACTACTTATACTAAGGTACTTGTTATTCGTGTTTGAATGAAAATGATTTATATGACCTTTGTACAAATTTGGATGAATCTGGATAAGCTCCATCCATCTATCCTACTCAATGTTTGACCAATATCGCAGACCCTATTAGTTCTTCCAATTACTTTTTAATCCAATAGACTGATCAGGAAATTAAGACTAATGTATGTGTGCAAAATAATAATGGATGCATTAAAATGATTGATTCTAGTGGACAATGCTCTTAATGTGCTGATCAATACACTTTGAATAATGGAGCATGTTATCCATGTTCAACCATCTTAAATTGTTTAGAGTGCTCTTACAGTAGTGGAGTAGTTTGCAATAAATGCATTTAATCTACTTACTTAAATAACAATGAATGTGGTTAATGTATAGAAGGATGTGACAAATGTTCCTCATAAAATTCTTGCGATGCCTGTTCTACAGGATATTACTATAATACCTAATAATAGTGTGTAAAATGTTCAGTCTAAAATTGCTCAACTTGTCCTGATGATACATGCAAAAGTTGTGTTCCCTAATTCTTCCTATATGCATAAACATGCTAGTTGTGTCCTCCAGGTTGTTCTAATTGCCAGGGTACTTTAGGCAGGGAATGTATAACTTGTCTTGATGGATTTTATATGAAAGTATATACAATTCAACTCAGATTTTTAGGATTATGGTTGCTATCCTGGAACGTAATATTGTGCTCAGCATAATAGTGATGGAACTTGTAAGCATTGCATCTACGGAGCGTATGTGGCTGACAATTAAGAATGTTTGCCTTGTATCTCACTTGCGGCTGGAGTATTTTTAGTCATTTTTATATTATTTAGTATGTTTGCGGATAAAATGCCAATGTCTATTGCTTTTTAGAAATATTACATTTTGCTGTTTTATTTATGTTATTGTTTCAGTGAATATTATGTTAATATTCAGTTTATTTATTAAATTTAGTATATTCACAATTACAATCATTCTAATCAATCCAATAAAAGTAACTGTACAATAAAAGTAATCTATAAAATAATCAAATTATATTTTAACATTACTTGCTTATTAATTTGGATAAATAATAAAAATTGGGATTTAATTGATTCAAGCTTAAAGAATCTCACTCTACAAAAATTGATTGTTTATTTTATTTGATTTTGTGTTTAAATTATAATGGAAGTATTGCAACAAGAAGACAATCAATTCAGATATAAACTCATGAATGTATTCTTTCAATACATAAAAAATGCCTTGTTCATTCTGTTAATTGGATATGAAGGAATTAAATTACTAAACATTGATAATGATTGTTAATTATCAGAGATTACTTATATTAGTACATTGTACCATGGGGGAATCATTTTATTACTCTTTAACCTAGTTTCAGCGTGTTATATACTATACTAAAAGCATTTTGTGAGAATTGAATACTTTATTACTTATGGATTGAACATGTTGGTTTTTGTGTGCATGTTACTATTTTCCTTGCAATAAATGATTTAGGGAAGGTGCAGCATTGGATAATTATCAGTGAAATATTACATAATACTATCGATAATCACCCAGTTAGATGTGTTATTAATTATGATGTTCAAACATGAATTCTCAAACAGATAAACAAATATATGTTCAAATACTGCTGTTGTGATCCTCTTATTCATGACTAGGATTGATAATGATTGTGCAGTCAATGCCATATCGTTGGAAATTCAACTGATCTCTGCTAATATTTTGACATTACTCTTCTTCACTGTTCTCAACGTAGCAATTAACCTATTTCCAAAACTAAGAGAATAACTAACAAATGCATTTAAGTTTGTTTGTGTCTTGGTTCTGTGCTTCCTGATCTTGAATTATCTATTAATAGTTTACTTTGTTCAATCAGTAATTTATTGATCATCTATACATTAGGGCGATATCAAAGAAAATTAGGAGTGCATGCCTCTTGATTTCATTACTAGAACATATTGTTTTTTGGCACCTGTCAACTTAATTGGAATGATACCAATTTTAGCGTCATTTAAATTTGAAACAATCGATGATGAAGAAGAGGATGCTCCTCAATAAATTGAGATGGTATCTCCATCTAGAGGATTGCCTATCCAAAATTCACCCTCTCCATTTTAGCAATCCAAATTGTCGATGAATAATAACACTACACCCTATAAGATAATTGTCAACAATAACCAACTATCCCCTGATGAGTTATTTTTGGTAGGAAAATAACAACAACAACAAAAACAACAATGATCAATTCATACTGCAATATTTATGAAATAAGCTATATATATATATAAAATTATTTTCATGCCAATTTTAATTCCATCTCTCTTTTAAATTCCATAAAAGATATGGTTCCATTTCTGGATCTATCAAATCTCATAAATAATAATGCTGCTTCTGAAGGCACAACTTTAACTGAGCTGTAAGAATTGAGGGCATTCATAAACTCATTCAATCCTATGTTTCTCGATTAGTTGACATCAATCATTTAGTAGATCTGCGAGATGTCAATCCTTTCTTTTTACAATAAGGCTCTTGAGTTTTCAAATCTTTACTCATTTATTTGATATAGCTTCATCAGGTCATTCAAAATAAACTTCGTTTAAGGTCCTAGCAACTAAAAATTCAAATCAAATGTGCATTACTGTATTCGAACTCTTTTGTTTTTTGGAAGTCTATCCAAGGGGCAAAAATATCTGCTCAAATTCCTGCAGTGACATTCTGTCGGTGCTGTTGAATTCTGAAAATCTGATGTAGACTAGGTAGAGTTGATTTTATTCGACTTTTATGCCTAGATCTGAGAAACCTAAAAAGAGTTCTTCAAAGGTAATATTTTAAGTATGATTCCTATCCATTATCTACGGATGAGAGGGCAAAATATACTTGGAACAATTGAGGAAGATTGAAATCCTAGGCAAGCACCAACTTTCTTTTCAGTTCCTCTATTTGTCTCTCAGTATTTAACTGTTCTAATAGGACAGTAAAGAAGATAGTAACAGGGTTCTTATCTTTATAGAATTAAGTTGGTTTAAATACTTTGTTTTTTGATGTTTATTACTTTGTTATGGCTTCTTTGATTGAGGGGAGTGCGTTTGTATGTTTTGTCAGCTGGAAAATCCAAGTATTCGATGTCGGTGATCATGCCATCTCCTTCGTAATAATTGGAAAAGGGTCTTAAGGAGGATTCTGTGAAGCTCTTTCTTGGCAAAGAAGTCTGATAGGGAGGGTATGGTTAATCGTGGTAGGGAGGGTATGGTTAATCGTAGAATGATGGTTGAGGCTATTGATAATAAGGTGGGTATGGTTGGTCATAATATGGAGGGGGAGCCTATTAGTAATGGGGCGGTGGCTGAGGTTAATAGTAATAATCATCTTGAGGATAAGGTTGATAACTCGGTTCGTTTTGCTTGAAAGCAGAGCGTGTATAGGGATTTTTTGAATACATAATAACTGATAAATATATTAATATAAAGCACAAATAATGCTGAGTGCAAATTTAAATCTTTTTTTTAGATAAAAATTAAATGAAGGTATTAGAATAACCTATATGAAGATCTACGTTGATGCATTCAGTGGAGAAGAAATCGTTTCTGACAGTTTCAATATGGAGGAAAAATTTGAAGGAGTTATTGGTGAAGTGCAATCCCAAGATATTGTCAAAGGAGCTCTCAATGTAGATGTTGGTAATGTTGTGGGATCTACAATTCATAGGTGCTGGAGGTCATTTCGGTGGCAAAAACGAGGACGAAGAAGATGGAGGTGTGGAAGATCAAGCCTAAAAGGTTAACAACATCATCGATGCCTTTAAATATGCTGAAACCTAATTCACCAAAGCCGATTACGTTACTTACTTTAAAGCTTATGCCAAGAAGGTCAAGGCTTACTTAGAAGCAAACAAGCCAGACAGAGTTGCTTCATTCTAAAAGGGAGCTGGCGAATTCATCAAATGGGTTTCAGCCAATTTCAATGAACTCCAATTGTAATCTCTGCCAATCTATAGTTTAGTTACTGTCCCGAATCATATGACATGGAAAATCACATCGTTCTTGGATATTACAAAGAAGGATAAGCTGCCCCAGCCTTCGTTTACATTTTAGACGGATTAAAAGAAGTCAAGATGTGAAATAAAATAAATAAAAATTGCATCTGTTAATTCGACATTGATTTTCTCATTAATTGGGATTATCTTCATTAGATAATAATGGAACCTTTTCCTCCACTTCATCACGTTTGCTAGTACTAGGGGTAGAACTTTACACTTCTTTTTTCTCTTCTTCCTCTAATGGTTTTTCTCTTTATTTAAGAATTTCATCCTCTCTCACCACATAAAGCCAAGGCAATGGCAATAAAATAAAAACCCCAGTTATTGCTATAAATAACCACAATCTGGAATAGTCTGTCTAATCAATCTTCATCCAAATCAAAAAGAGAGCTCCCAACCAACTTCCCAACATGGAACCTTTTCTCATAACTAGTAAATTATACCAAAATTAATCGTGCTCATTAACATAGCATACATAGTAGCTTCGATATGTTTTGGACACATTCTACAAGCCAGAACTAAGACTGGCATTATGTTCAATTCCCCAACAAATTGCAACATCACTTGATCTCCAATACAAAAGATCTTGTCGTTGATTCCCCATTCAACATTCTTCCTAGTCACCAAGATTATTATTGATTAATAACATAAATAATAGAGGAATGTTGTAACTAAGAATATCTTACGAAATTGTATGTCTCTCAGATAATTGTTATAAATTAACACTCCAGAAATTGAAGCTACAGCATACTGAAAAAGTATAAACTAATCATTACCATAAATTTGAGTTATCCCAAAAATTTAGGATTGAATCCAAGAACTTCAGTATAAAAGAAAAACATAATTGTGGAACTAGAGGGAGCCATCATGAATGCAAAGATTAGCATTACCGGTTTATAAATTAGAGGATTCTTGAAAAATTACCAAAAGTCCTTCAGACATTATGTAGTATTGTTTTTTCTATCATTTTGATCCAAGGAATTTAAATCTATCTTTTGTTCCTAATAAAAAAAGGAAACAAAAACGAGAATCATAGGGAAAACTGAGGTTATCATAAATACTATTTATTCATTTGAAGTGTACTTTGTTAATATGTGAAGTAATGTAAGAGAGCTCCAGACGAGTATGCACTCAACAGCGAACCCACAGCTCTTACTCCAAAGAATATTGACACATTCCTCGATGCTCCATGTTGAAAATTGTTTTATCGTTATTCTCTCTGTGCTTAAGCTGCGACTTCCACCAAAATTGCCTCACCAACCACATTAACAAAACAAATTGAGAGTTGAATCAAAAATAACAGCAGCAATACACTTACCAAACTACCATCCTTGTTTTTGGACATCATTATCCAACCCAATGCATCCAATATTCCAAATAATATTATATAAGATTTTCTTCTGTAACCAAGAAATGGTTTCGAGTCTGTAATGATCCCCCAAAACGGTTTAATCATCCATGGAAGCGTGGTGTAACTTAAGTATAATCCCATCATGGCTGGAGATAAACCATATTCATCCTTTAGCATGTAATTTACAGCCAAATCTGATAAATGCTGAATTCCCTAATTGAATGCCGTCACACCTATTATGAAGTATGAAGGATTAAAAGAAGAGTATAATTGATTAAATTGATCAAACAACTTTGTACAAATTATACTCATATTAATAAAGATAAACGAGTATCAAATTATCGTTTTTACTGATTCCCCTCTTATAGATTGCGCCTTGAAACTGTCCAAATACTCTTGGTTTTTGTGATTCAACATTACCTAGTCAACTTCGGTCAGAATCTTAGGTAGTTTGAGACACTTGATAATTGTTTTAGATGAAATTGAACTATCAGGAATAACATATTTTGGTCTTGCAGCAGCTGGAAAAATCTTCAATACTCATTTCTAATAATTACCCTATTGATTATACTAATCGAGGAACCTTTGCTGGCTTCCATCTGAAAAAATGCCTTCTCCAGAGATAAAGGCTCTGTATCTTTTAGATTGGAGTAAATCACATTAATATTCCTTCGAAAATTGTAATGTGCTTTATTGATATGACCATGCCCTTACAACATCTCATACCCCGTAGGTTCAACAGGATTTCCAATTCTCTCAAGGGAATTCTTGAGAATTTATTAATTGTGAGATTGCTCAATAAATGGAACTTCCCTATATTCAATAGACTGAGGAATTTTCTTAATTGATTTGATGATATCCAGAGATTATGTCCTTTGAGTAATTTTATTTTGGTCGAAATGCTATAGTTTTTAAATTGCCGCTCCCTTTTGGAAATATTATAAGAATCGTTGTTTATCCAATACAAAGTATTACACCTTCTGACTTATACTGATAGCTCTATATTCCCGTTTAATCCCAGCTAGGACTTCCTCGTGTCCAAAGATTTGTCCAGGTGTAATAATGGAGGTTCTGACTTTTTCCAATTTTTGCTCATTTCTGGTAAAGAACTTACTTAAGATGGAATAATTCTAAGACGATTGAGTCAGATTTACAAATTTACATAGCTCCACCTCCCCAGATTTCAATAAGTATATGTTGCTATAATTATTTACAAGATTGGATACTTGGCCTCTTCATTTTCCTTGTAGATTACTTAAAATAGCTTCCTCTCCTCCTACTTGAAATGATAGTACAGTTAATTCAGCATTTGATCATTCCAATCCGAAAATATAGCAACTTTGCTAAGAAACCCAATATTCACTTTTTATTAAGCCTCATAAAACGCAGACAATAATCTATTAAATTGATCTCTTGTGACTGTTGCAAAATGTGTATCTTCTGCTGCTACAATGGTTGCTTACCTTGGCACCTATTTAGTCAAGGCTATTTCCCCAAAACTTTCGCCAGCATTTATCTAGCCTACCTTCTATAAAGTTGGAAACTGAGTGTCTAAGAATTCCTTGTCAGTCATGGTAGCAAAGATGTCATTCAGAGTTACCTGAGTGATGAATGCTTGGGGCTTATGTTTTTTATTTTTCACCTTTGTGTTCTTCTTCGCATTTTCCATCATTTCTTTGTTTTTTTCATCCTTTAAATCTTATTCCTATTTTTAATCCTCTTCAGTAGGACCTGATCCCTCCTACAAACCCTTCTTCTAAACCAACACCCAAACACTTCCTTTGAGAATGATGTAAAACTTTTTTCCCAAATCCCCGAGATTGAAAACGGTTTATCTCTTATGCTGTAATTCATAACTCAATTATTTGTATAATCCCGAGACCATGTCGGCACCCATTTATTATTCTAACTCCTAGAAGAACTTGAATCTGAAGAATGACAATCTGATTTTATCAATGTCCAATTACGACCTTTGAGATGATTGTTTCTTTAACAATGAGACCAGGATCTAAGAGAGAAATTCTATATGTTTTATACTTACATTCAATTCTTCATCATCACCGAATTCAGGGTCTGATTTTTTGAGGACTTCAGCAACTACATCTTTGATGGTCATTCTATGTCCTGATAGATTTCCTCTAACTTTTTCGATTGCATTTTTCATTAAAAATATATAAAGATTTTAATGTCGATCCTCTGGTATTCGATTATCTATATATATAAGAGAACTCAGAGAGGTTCATTTTAGTCTTTAAAGTCTTTATAACAAACAAATATACATGATTAAGAATCAAAAAAGATTAAGATATCACAATTTGACCCATTTGGCTAAAATGAATAGCAAGGCATCAATCATTATTGGTTTCTACAAGCAATCATGAAATGGTAGTTTTTTTATTGCGAGTTTGCTATCTTCATCTTAAAATCCAATCAGTCCAATTAGTCTTGTATCTTTCTAATATTCTGCCAATACAGCCTTTATTTTAGCACAATCTGAACTGAATTGTTCATTCACAAACTCCACTCCAACGAATACGATGTGATACCCTTTACAACAGGTCTTGAATTGTGAAAATTGCTTCCTTAACTAATCAACGATATGCAATCTCTACATTGTATAAATGTATGGAATTTTGAGATTGCTCAGTTGATGAGATATAGCGTATAAATCAAAATCATTCTATTCGCAAATTAGGATCTTCGGACACTAAAGTTGAATTACTATATTTATACTTGACATTTGTAAACGAATTACTACTATTTGATTCTTTCCATCTTTTCAAAGCAATCCAATAACTCATTTGGCCCTAGATTTACTGAAGATATCCTCATTGAAGAATACACCGATGAACGTCCTCCAAAAGTCAATAGGGAATCTCTCTATTTAGACGAAAGCTATTATGAAACTTAAGGACTCAATCTCGACTAGATAATACTAACCGAAATCTTTCTTGCCTTTGGTTCTTTAACACGAATGATAGTATCAAGAAATTAAGAAGGTTTTTGTTGCTTTTCAATTTTCTCTATTTTTTCGTTTATTTAAAAACTTGATTTGCTAGATTAGATATCGCCATCACATTCTCCTTTGTTCATCTCATCCTTCGAGTCAGATGATGAGGAACTCTATTACGAGTCGTCCTGTTCTGAGATTTAAGAAACAGAATAAGACTTGCCAGGTTATTGATTGTCAGAAGCTTCAGATTGCCCAAACTGAGGCAACTGAGGCTCTATCTTGCCTGATATCGTCTCTTCCTAAGATTCTCGTTTCATTTTCTTCAGTTTCTCTTACACCTATATTCTGCTTATCTCTGTTAACCTCTATGACTAATGCCTCTTGAATTGACTGCTCTAACCAAACACCTAATGAAATTGAGACTTGTTTGCAACCAACGCAGATTGCCTTTTTTGGGTAAGTTACTTATTGAAATTAGGATTCTCATTCTTTATCAATAAAATAAAATAAAACTAAGTGCCATCGCCAGTCTTTATTGAATTAAACTCAAAAGGCATTATAGCCACAGCCATAGATATGTAGAATGCTGTAATTATGGAGAACGAGTATTATTTAGATGTTGCAACAATGTCTATGACCTATTTACTAACTAAAGTCTGTTGTTTCAAGTGCTTCAGAGTTTGTTCAACGCTCTCGAGAATCCCTTCATTCACACTTTGAGCCATGACTTTAATGATGATTTCAATATGATCAGTCAATAGAGGTGACTTTTAACAAGAAATCTCTATGCCCCCATTTATAGTCACCTGAATGGATTTGACTATTATACCCACATATTAATACTTAACAAATTCAGTACAATCTGTCTAACTCTATTGGGATCAGTTCTGAGAAACATTGGAACATTTTATTTGACATGCACCTGTATATTTAGTCCTCTAAAGAGTGCTTATGCTTTGATGATGTTTAAACAATCCGAAATGAATTCTCTTGTGTGGATGTCCATCAAATTTCTGTCTAATTTATTCTTTTTATGCATAGTGACGTAATCCTAAAAGTCATTTGCTGTGCTAATCAAGAGTTTGCACCCTGCCAACGCTGGATCTATGTATTTTGTTTGGAGATCTAAATTGACTTCTTTCTATGTTAAGATTAGGAGAATATGAAATACTTGGACCAATTCTAACATGGACAAAGTGCAGTTCAAAGGTTCTTTCATTTTCTGGGAAATGGTTTGAATAACGTCATCACTATTTTTTTGGTATAATTAAAGTTGGATAATGAAGGGCTCTTCGGTTAGATCGTTTATGTACAATATGATTTGAGGTTTATTAGAAATGATGACTGGATTCAAAATAACTTAAGTGTAAAGTTTATCTAATATACTTATTATGGAAAATTACCTTTTTTTATATAAATTTTTAATGAAAAATCCAAAGCAAAATTAGTCAAATTAAACTTTATATGCGAAAAAGCAAGGAGATGTTCTATCAAGGTTTTCACTTGCATCTTCCTACAAAAGAATTGTATCTCTTTCTTTTCCTCAGGCTACAGGTTGTCAAATTGGATGTTCTAAGTTCAAATGCATTAATATATTAGTACTCAAGGGTTTAAGTAAATTTGATGAAGTTACTGATGTCTTTGCTCCTATGGAAGCTCGGCAGTATGGTACAGGGTTCCTCTGAGAGCAACCCAAAATCATACAATTCCAGTTGAGTCAACTCTGGGTTCAGTTGGTCATTGATTAAGACGATGTGAGACATGAATGAATTTATTATTCTAATTGGTTGCTAAGCATTTTCAAATATGTAGATTCCACATTAAAAATTGATCAGCAATAATTCATACTGTTCCTCTAGTAGTTTTAAATTATTTAGATTTTCGAACTCGTCATTAGCCATATCTGGAATGTTATTTTTTTTATTTTATGGTTCAGTCATTTCTCTCTGGGTGTTTGTATGAGCAGCCCTCTATGTGAGCAACGGGCTTAAATTCCTCGTCAAAAGAGCATCATTTGAATTTCGAGTTTAATATAAATGATAAAGCAACAAAGATTAAATCACTACATGTCCGAAGATTATCCTAGTAGATCCTATAACTTCGATGGTATTAGCGAAGGCTGGGAATCTAGACTGTAATGTTCATATTATACCTGAATAGAGAGTAGAAGAGTGAAAACAGAATTACCAAAGTTCTGCACAGCTGAGACTCGATTGCAATCAAAAACAATATCATGATTCCATAAATTTCAAACGCCTAACTCCTTTGGTCGTACTCACTGGTGTAGATTAGGTCATAATCAGTTTCACACCATAGAATTATTAGGCTGAAATATTTGAGCATTGTGACTATATTAATTAAAAGGGTGGTTTCTCTCTTCAATTTGCTCATCGCAATATGAAATGCGATTATCAATAGCACTTGAATCTACAAGGTTGAGTTATATTCCATTACCATTATGCGGTATACAAAAACCAATTTTTGGCCTTCTATCTAGTAATTCAACGCCTGGGCTATGGTTATGACTATGTCGAAACATTAATACAAAGACACGATGGTCATTGTGGATTTCCACAAAATATAATTCTAATATGTCTCTGGGTTCAACTTAAAGTAATTTGATAGCATGTGCATTATTACTATATAAAATTATTTATTAATTTAACAATCACAATTTCACCCACTTTGCTAGTATAAACAATAAGGCATCTATCATCAATGGTTTCGATAGGAAATCGTGAAATGGCAGTTTCTTAATAGCATTCCTATTGTCGTCATCCTGAAACCCTATCAACCCTATAATACGCGCTTCCTTCTTAAATTGAGAGTTTATATTTTTAATCAAGTTGCACTGTTCCCCCAATTCCTCATCCACAAACTCCACACTAATAAATATCAATTAGTATCCCTTGCAACAAGACTTCTCAACCTCATAGGCTGTTTTCAACTTCTCATGTATTTATGTTCTCTACATGGTGTAATCGTAATTCATGCCAATGTTGCCAAGTTAATGAGATACAGCATACAAGTCGAAATCATTCTATTCACAAATCAAAATCCGTGGACACTTTAAAATATAACACGATAATGCTTACTTAACATTTTTAAGTATACTTCTGTTGTTTAATTCTTTCCATTTTCTCAAAACAATCAATTAAATCATTAGGCTGCATGATACTAGCTGAATACCTCATGGACGAGAACATACTTGATCTTCCCCCAAAGGTTAGGATTGAGTCTCTTCTGCTAGGCGTAATGTTATTATTGTAAGTATAGGCTATCGATTACTGCATAACCACCAAGGGAGAATCATTTTCATTCAACTTTCCAGTCTCATTTGTCTATTTGTATAGGAATTGATCTAATTGCACTCCAACGTCTAAACTGTTATGAGAACTTTCATTTTCTCCTTTGGATTCCTTCGAATCTTATTCTGAAACTATAGAAATATCAGATTTTGAATGTGAAATTATCTATTTGATCTTTTTACTTTAATCCTAAGACTTTATGGTCTTAAAAGTAGGCAAAAACTCTACGTCGATGTCCCCTTGGGATGTTCTAGGTACTATGAAACGAGATTGGTTTTATTATCCAAAAGACGTGGATAATTTAATTGCTGAATCTTTCCTTTAGGATTAAGTGGCTAAAACTTAAGATTGCGATTATATTTTTTATTATGACTATTGTTGTGACTATTACTTAATTTTCTACTTCTCCAATTATCCTTGAATTGTTATGCTTGCTTTATCAAATAGACTTTATCTGGATGATTAATGTCTTCGGAATCCTTGATCAATTGAGAAGGACTACTTAAAGCTTTGCTGTTGAAAGCTGAGAGCAGATTATCTTTTGAAATTCAGTTGTTATGAGAAATTTGGATTTTTGTTTTAAATTTGAATTTTGAAACAAAACTCTTCATGATCTAAGTTCTTCTCGTAATGATACTCAAAAGGGATTGTGGAAATACTGAGTGACAAACAAAAAGCTATCAATATAGATTGACTATATTTTCGACCTGCATTTGCCAAATCTATCATTGTAGACGCCAATAAATTTTGGGATTTAAAAAACCTCACAGTTTTATCTATTGTTTTTAACACTGATTAATTAATTTCTGATGCATTCACTTTAATCAAGAGTTCAATGTGATCCTACATCAAAGTGGATTTGCTGGCCGATACAGTGATAGTTCCATTTATTGTTGCCTGAATCGAACTTACCAATAAGTTTAACAGGATCTATCTTAATCTATTGGGATCTGTCCTAAAAAAAGCAGGTACATTGTGCCGAACATTTACTTAGATCTGCAATCCTCTAAATAATGCCTACGATTTTATAATATTTATTGAATCAGTAATGAATTCCCTAATTTATCATTATCTCTAATGGGTACCTTATGTGAACATCCATTTGGCATAGTTCCAACTTCCCTTTCTTTCGTATGGTAACATAGTCAAGAATATCATTGGCTGTACTGATCAATAATTTACAACCTGCAAGTGCTGGATTCAAAAACTTCTCTTGGATTTCAAATGGAACTGAGTGCTAGGTTGAAGTGAAATAAAATACAATTGTAATTTCCAACATTGAAATCGTGCAATTCAAAGGTTGCTTAATCTTCTATGATATATCTGAGACTAATTAATCACTATTTTGATTATATTAATTCAATTGTGTCATGAAGGGTTCATCTGTAAGATCTGACACAAATAGGATTAATTAAGGTCTGTGTCTTTGTAATATGGGGGAGAGCACAACACTTGTATATAGATTGTCTATATTCATAGGACTCATTTATATACCTTTTTTGAGGTATATTTTCAGTGAGAAATCTATCAGATTTTAACATTGATTGAATTTGAAATGCTGGAAGGGCAGTAGATGTTCAATCAGGGTTTTAATTTTCATGGATTTATGAAAAAATTGAACCTCTTTTAATCCAATGTTTCCATTCTCATAATTTATGTTCTAAGCACAATAATAATAAGAAAAATTCATACTCAAGTGTTTGCATAAATTTGATAAAACTTCCTATGTCCTTGCTCCTGTGGAATTTAGGCAACACTGTTAAATTGTCCTCAAAGGAAATTCCAAAATCAAACAACTCGTAATTCAAAAACTCATCACTTAATTGATCATCCTTCAACACCAGATGAGACATGTAAGGATTGATAGATTTCACTGCGCTCTGCAAATTATCCAAAATAAATATGCCTATTTGTATATTATTTAAGACATTCTCGTAAAATTAGTCTAAGTTCTATCTCTCAGTGTCCAATCTGTTTTCTTCTGATACTGCAACTTCGTTTTCTTTAAGTTGCTGCTTCAATCTCTAGGTGACATCATAATTTTATTGATTTATGTAGGTAGAAAGTCGCAATTATTAATTCAGTTGAGATTGTCTATTACTTTGCATTGGAACATAATGTTTTGACTACTGACCCAACAATACAAGTTGATTGTTTAATTTCTGCTTCTGTTGTGGCAGTTGTAACAAAAATATTTGAATAGCTACATGGATTAATACTATCCTAATTGAAGAAAGAATATCAATTTTATTTTAGAATAGCTAGATTCTATTCTGTTATGATATATTTATACCGAAAAAGAGAGTAGAATAACGAAAATAATAGAGATATTGTTTAACATATTTAAGATTCTTGCAATATCACCAAAGCCAGCAACAGGATGTATGTTTCAGCTGTATAACTAGTATAAGGTTTCTTTATTTCATTAAATAAATAATAGTCAGTTTCAGTCCAGCATATAAAAAGTGAAATAAAATATATAAATGTAGCAACATTTAGAAACCCATTCCTTATTTTTCTTAAACACTTAAAAATAAACCAAAATACTATCAGTAATCCAGCTTGGACCTACAATTTTAATATATGTCATACAACAATTCTAGCTATCATCATTATTCTTGTTCCATCTACACTTTGAGTACTTACATCTATGATATTGATTATCATATCAAAAAGTTGGTAAATTGAAATAATGTTTATTACTTTGGTGTGCTGATAAATGTTCGTATAAGGCTATGAGTAGATGTAAAAATAACCCTTAAGATTGTCTATCATAAGATTAAGAGATTTATATAAATTATTTTATTTGATGTGACATAATTAAATATCACAAGAAAAACATTTCAATACACATAACTTTATTCTAATTCGAAATAGATATCACAAATATTATGAAAATAATTTAACTAAATTAAGTAAACACTTAATAAGAATAACTATAATCCTAATTATTAGTACGCACCCTCTCTATATAATTAACAACTATTACCTCTTTCACGTTTCGAATTTATAGAGCATAAACTAAATTAGAATTTCTAATCCATGAGTAATTTCTTATATTCCAATTTACTTTTTTAAATTAAATTGAATAAATGAATTAGTTAACCCCTCTTTCCCATTCATATTAATTTAAATCAACATTGAATTGAGTGGTTTTGGGCTGACTAAAATCTGGTTTTACTAATCTTTAACAAGGGAAGGAATGTAATGAGAATAGAAATTTTAAATATCAACTTGTACTTTTTATAATTTAATTTATAATTCAGTGTACAAAAATAAATAGCAAAATTGATATTTAGATTTTGTTCAAAAATACGTCATAAAAAATAAATTAGATCTCGAAGAGCGATATTGTGATTAAGTTTATATGTGGATGTGTGGAGATTTATATTTGTCAATATTTTAATTATTTTGTCATGGATACTCAATTTTTTACAAGCAGCACAAGGTAAGATTTCAAATCCATAGAATTAGCATGAGTTCATCATCTTCCTCAAGTTCAAGAAAGGGATCGCAAGAATGTTTTAGTGATTTTGGAATCGAAAAAAAATCTAGGAAAAGTAAAAAAAGTGCTAAACGAAGTTGCTCCTTTGCTCTAGGCTCTGTGACTGAAGAATCAGAGGACATTGAAGATTATTTGGTATGACCACTTTTGATCTCATATTAGTTGAGTCGTTTCACACACATCTAAATGCCCAATGATAATAATGAATTTAGAGAACGAATTCCTCCAAGATTGAAAAGGACTGAAAAGTATCAAAAAAGAAGAGCTTCCTTGAGTCCTCATGGAACAAATGGTTTAGCTAAGGTTGAAGAAGTCATTGGAGAAGATGATGAATTAAAAAACAAATGCATCTTTAAACTCGGTCTAATGTTGGACAAAGATGAATTCAATGATAAGAGAAGAAGATTGTTACAGTCTAAAGATAGAATTAACATTGAAAAAGCAACAACAACAAATTTAACAATTTTAGAAGATGCCCAAGAAAATGTCAGAGAAATTCAATAACATGTCATGAGCCCGACTTATAAATTAAAAGTGGATGAAGTTGACTTCGAATAAGAAAAAAAACAATGGCAACCTTAAGAAATAATAGAAGTTATAGAAGAAGAAAAACCAGATAATGTAGTAAATATTAAAGAAAAAGAAATGTTCTAAAAAAGTATTAGCATAATAAATAATATTATAGTTAAAAAGATTTTACATGAAGAAAGGGATTTCTTAAAACGAATTTTAAAAGGGGAGTTAATTTAATAAGAAGATATTGTAAAAAAATAATAATTCTAATCAGAAGTAGGTGAAACTAATTGGAATTAATTAATTTAGGAAGCTGAAGAGTAAGTTAATAGTGATGAAGACTAGTAATGAATAGTTAATTTATTATATATTTCTAATTGAGTAATAATTACATATCAAGAATTTGCTTAACTCAATTCTTCAAAATATAGTGCAATTTTCTCTGAAATCTCATATTAAAACTCATGAATGTTATTGTGATTCATATGAGAGAATAATTCCTATCGTGCTGCTTTCGTTTAATTATATAATCTAAAATTAAGGTTAAGTTTTTACTTTCTCTAGAGGAAAATTGAATGATGAGAAGGTATTAATGTATCATCAACACCATGTATAAATAGAGCAGGACATTTAACTTTTGTTATGTTCTCTTCATTGTTAAATCTTTCATCCATAATTTGACTGACAAAGTAACCAACACAAAAGACCATTCCTCTAATAAGTTACTTGAGAGACCTGTAAGCAGAAATGGTTACTAAGCCTCTGCAATTCTTTTAAGAAGCCACATGTATAGCTGGCCCTGATCCTATTGATCTATTTTTATTAAAAAATGAATACCTTCCAAAAATGTATATTTGACTATCTTCTAGCTTGTTTTCCTCTTTGATTTACTCATATGCCAGAATGGAATCTTCTAAAATAATCTGGGCATTTGTTTCAGTATATTAATAAGTTCCATATTTTGGATATTCTATTAAGAATGCATGAAATTTCAAAGACTACATGAGCAGTCTTACAAATTGTGCTGCTCCATCACTACATAAATAAGTGGATCAATTACATATTCTCTCCGTTTCCATGAAAATAGATGACATAGTATTTTGAATTTGGATATGTTTCATTTCTAAGGAAAGCATAAGGGACAATTCTATTAAATTCTATATTATTGCATCTCTAATTTTGATTCCCTTCCCCAGCTATGAGGCTATAATATATAAAATATACCATTTCTTCGAACAACACTAAAGAATTTAAGTTCTTAATTACTGATACTCTAATATTAATTGCATGATCTTGCAGGAAAAATCATTCTATTCAGTATTCTCTCTATATAACTTTTTAGCTTTCGGGGTGATATATAACATTTCATTTATGTGGTTAAGCAAATTATCAAAGCAATGATAGACATAATAAATGTTATTATTAAGCACAGTTGTAAAGAAAAGTTTTCCATTAATTCTATTATCTTTTATACAGGTTTATATTTAAAAATTATATAACAAAAATAATTCATGAAAATTTCTTCTATTTTAAATCAGTGAAGCCTTCTAATATTGGACATGCAATATCGTCATCGATGTCATATTCATTGTGTGTCATTCTTGGCCTCAAATTAAGATTCGATTATTATTGAATTTTAACTGGAAGACTTGATTTATGAAAATGTTCTTACTTCTAATAGATTTCTTATGAATGATGTGATAGAATTAGAGGATCATCCAATCCATGAATCAACACTATAGGACATTTAATATCTTACGACCTTTCTAAATTTCTGAAGAAATTAGGCAAGCAACATAATAGATTTAGAATGCATCCACAACCATTGCAAAAATCACTGATGATATGTCTAATTGATTTATAAGCTGACATTGTTATCAATCCTCTTATATTTCTTTGACTTGCCAAATAAAATGAAGGCCCCGTGCCGATAGATCTTAATCCAAAGAAATAGTACCTTCCAAAGATATAGATTTATTCATCCTGTAATTTGAACTCCTTTTTAATTTCATCATAATAAATTAATGCATCTTGTTCAATTAGGGTTGAAGTCGGTTAAACATTCCTATATATGCCATAACCTGGATATTCTATAACAAAAATATTTGCATTTATCATTTTCATTAATTATTCCATAAATTAAGCAGCTGCCCACCTAAGTCTATCAAATATAACATATACATGTCTTCTGCATTGCCATGAAAATATATTATATATAAATTCGTTTCTGAATATTTGTTTTTGAGATAGACATAAGGAAGGCTTCTGACTTTTTCAAGATTTTATGAATATTCAGTTGGTTTTCCATTAACTACGTTTATTTTAGTTTTACCCAAATTACCATCTTAATTGTAAAGGTTTGCAAAATAAAGTTTGTCCTCAAAATATTTTTCTTCATACATAGGAGTTGGAGCTGGAAATATAATATTGTTTATCTTTCCAAAACAATGTAAGATGATCAAAATAAATAAGTACAGTCCAATAAATATACTGAACACAACAATAAGTGCAATTTGAGAAGAGTCTTGATCACTCATTTTTGTTAGATAAATAAAAATATTAATAAATTATTCGTAACTTACAAATTCAGGGGAAACGATAAACAAAGTTCATCTTTTATATTTACATATTTATGGCCTTTTTGGTTATTTGCGAATTGATCATCATATTGTAACTGAATGCATGTTAAAAATTATATTAATAAAAATTGCATAATCACGACCATTATATGAGTAATTGATAAACTTTTTAAAACTAACTTAATAAAGAAGTCAAAATTCAAAAGATCTGACAAGTCCCTTATTTTTTTATGTTGATGGTCTCAAACCCGATAAATTATAAAAATATTGTTTTGTTTAGTTCCACTCCTTGTCATATTATTGCTTTGAATACGATGATTTTTTTGTTGTAATATGCTTAAACAATATTAAATTATCTCTTCTAATTTATTCTTGTTCAGTTTTCTTTCGTGTATTTAAGCTGCTTACTCTCTTTGGCTTATCCAACTTGATATTAGTACTATTCATAATATTGGTGATCTTCTCCAACAACAGTCTATTGTCCTTCTCAATTTAAGTGTATCTATCTTCCAAAATCTACACTTTCTTCATGTTCGGGATCCGATCAACAGTTCTTGGAATAGTTATGAGTGGCCCTATTTACTAAAGTCGGCTGTATCCATCCAGCATCTCCTTTTCTTACATTACTCTAATATGAGGTTTAGGTCTGTGCATAAACTATTTAATTTGATAGTAGTTATTGTTTATATATATAATATTTGTAATAAATGTGAATTATTTAATATTATACTCATTTTTTTTTTAATAAAGCAACTTCTAATTCCTCAGTCAATAATTATTGTTCCTAAAATGAATCATATAGTTTCGACTTTATGACTGGGTTAAACTTTTAATAATGTTTTAAGATGAAGTTAATAAAGAATTGTTGGACTTGCTTAGGGAACTAATGAAAAATCTAACATTATTTATTTGTTTTCCTTACTTTCTAACAATCGAAAATCAACATTTAAACTGCTGTAACGTTGACACTCTAGATTATTCCAACAATATCCCTGAAAAAGAGTTTAAAAATGGCAGAAGAAGGGTATCTGATTTTAGCAAAGCTTGAAAACATCTGCAATTTCAAAAGGTTGCTAAATTAATCATACCTCTCAATAAATTGTTATTCAAAAAGTTTAAAAATCTCTTGTGTTCCATGTCCAAATTATTTATATAACATAAATAAGGTTGTAATATTTTATGGCTCTGTTGTTGGAATATTCTTTATAGCTTACTCCTCCAATAATTTCCAAAACTCAGGCGACCCATTACCGAATAATGCTATTCCTGTACCAACTCTACATTTAGAATACTATGAGTGTACCTAATCAAATCTTAAAATTCCATCTCAGTCACTAAACTCTGTTTTTCCAATATATCGAAGATGTCTTTCCTTTAAATCCTAGCCAATATCAAACCAAACGAGAAGTGCTTAAGATCGTTTGACTTAAAATGGTCTATGTGTTATCGAAAATTCAAAAGTAAGGATTACTCAACCTCCTTATTTGTGGCCTTTGTATACTACGAGACTTATCCATATATGAACATAGCCAATCCAATTTATGATGCATTTAAGTCAGGAGCTTATGACACAGCTGCTACAAAATTGAATTACTATTGATAAAATTATTTTGTGTAATTTCCTGACACTAATAGTGATAGTATGTCGAGGGTTTCAACTAAGGATGCTTACCTAGTTTATCATTTTATTAATATTACTATTCTAAATATAATTAGGTGGTTCTGTCAAATACTTTTTAAGCATAATTTTCATCATTTATTTGCTGAGAAAAACTTATGGATACTAATTATCTTATTTCTTGGTTTTCGAATTAAGGCAAATAAGGCTTCAATTGTTAAAATAAACTTGAAACCTCTTTCTAATTAAATTATTCATATACATGTTTTATCTAATTATTTTCCTTAATGCAATTATGTAAGTTAATTTAAAATTGCTCTATAATCATTTGCTTATGCTGTTTGAGAAAACTAATAAGTGGGAATCCTCATCCCATGAATGAATTTTTAAGTTGTGCCCATTGGGAAAAATAATCTAAGGTATTACCTTCTCATATTAAATTTATTAGAAAAATAAATGAATTAATTATAATTATCATAAGCATAGTCACCAAGAGAAAGTAATTTCGATTATGAAGAATAACCTCAAATATAGTCAATTCAATTACATTAAAGAAGGGCAGCGCTTTAAATTATCACTAATGTAATCTTACTAATATAACGAATCTAGATATAAATTTTAGTCGCTATATTTTAAATATTCTTAATACTATTTAATTCATATATCGCCTTTGATTTAAGCTATAAGATATCAATTCTATATGTAACAATTTTGCATTTTCTCTAAATCATAAAAATCGGTGTATATAATAACAAGTAAAGTTAAAGAATTAATTTTGCCTAGAAAGTTATATCACAATTAGTATTGCTGCATTTAGATATTTTGGGGAGTTCTCTCCATTTCGTATTACGTAATATATTTGAATTTAGCTTAAAAGGGTTGCTTAATATATTTCTTAGAAAATGAAGACTTTCCTATTTAGTACCCGATACTCATGCATTTGATATTCACCCTTACATGGTTTGTGTTAGCACTACACACTTATTTAAAAAATAAAAATGAAAAAAGCTTTATATTAGTGGTAAACTATTATAGTTAATTTAGTTGACAGTTCTATTAAGGTTTTTTTTAGTTCTCCAACTAATGATGATTAATCTTAAATAAATTCAATGGATAGATTGGGAATGGCTATATGTATTTACAATACTTTGGATATTCTTGTCTATTATTTGTATATTTTAAATCATTTTTTTGTTTGATTTTATTTGCAAAGCAGCCTAATTTTTGTCAGAACGAGATCCCCTCAACAGGGAATCAATTAATCAGTAGAGTACACATATTAAGCAGGTTTAGTTATAGGATCATTATGGATTAATTTACTAGTTTTGTGCATTTCTGGCCTTCCAACCTTTAGTATGGTGTGCTACACTATTAAGTTGTCAACTGGAAAAGACAGTTACAATTCTCTGTCAATTACCCTATCAGTTATTTACTCATTAGTTTTTATAGTCTTTACATTGTATTATCGAATGGCTTTAAGGTTAGAAATATATTTATTTAATAAGTCTATTTGTATCTTAAATCTAACAATCAAGAGGGGTAGAAAGCAATATTGGAATCAACACTGATAATTTATAAAGATATCGATTGAATTCTCCAAGTTCGAAACATAAAAATCACTTAATAAAAAGCAAAGATTAGATCCTAATATAGCTTCCCTAATATTTAGTATTTATTTATATTTATGGCAAGATTAGATTATCACAAACCTACTTTTTGCCAGCAATTAATAATGATAATTCGTCATAGTTAAAGCAATCATAATAACTATAAGCTCAATAATAGCATATCAAAAAGAATAAAACAGATTCTGAATAACCTAAATTAAGCAATCGTGTTTCTCTTACTGAGATTAATTCTGACAAAGATACACAATGCTTCAATTGCTATTAAAATGAAAGCTGTGCTGTTTATATGCCCTGTGGACACGGCGGATTATGTGTGAAGTGTGCCACAGAATGGTTTACTGAGAAATAAGAGTGTTTAATTTGTAGAAAAGTAATTAATATCTTCATTTTCAACTAGCCTGTTGAGTCTGTTGTAAAAGTTTCATAGTCTGAATAAAATAAAGTGTAGGTAATAGATGTATTGGCTTTTTGAAAATTCTTTTATTATTTCTATTGATTATTCAATAATTAATATTTTTTTCATATGAAATCAAAAATATTGAACACTGGCTCTATTCCTGAAAAAAAGCCAACCGTTTATTTAAATGATGGATAAGGAAGAGACACTTATATTTCTTATAACAATGGAGGGAATTTTGCTTAAGAGTTTCGCTTTTTAGCATCACCTAAATTGCCAACTTCTATGAGGTTAAAATACAATTATAGTGTGCAATAAGATTATTCAACGCCAAGAATCTACTATTAAGGAGATGGAACAGGTAGAGACACCTATATTTTGTAATTTTTAATGTTTGATAATAATTAGATAAAATGTGAAAGATAAATGCATCTCAGGTTAACTAAATTACAAGGCTATGCTAAGAAGTGAGACTAATTTTGGTTAACTTCAAAAGTATAGATATTAATTACCACCTCTTGCTAAATAAAAAATGGGTCTTATCCATTAGTAGCAAAAAGTCTAATCAAGTAGATTGTCAATGCCAAAAGGCAAGCTATTTTTTAATGAAGAGTGATTCTCTAAATATTCAAAATAAATAATATTTTTTATTCGTAAATTTTTGGTACATTATTACTTATACAACACAAGTAAAATCAATAATTGTATGTTGATATTTAATAATTATAAAATTTATTGGTAATATTATTTAAAAATAAACATAAAATATAAACATTCTTAGGAACTCATTCAAATATTTTTTCTAAGGTGAGAAATAGAACTTTAAAATGATCGATTTAATAATTCACAAACTTCCAATATAAAGTAATAAATCAAAGAAGCTCTTTTATCAATCACATTGGCTATGATCTTGTAAAATTTAAAACAGACTTTATGAACTTAGAACTTTAAATTCATTGGCTGGGCTATTAGGTTGGTCGATTTTAAATTATAAATACTTTCTAAAACTGGTTATTTTGTATTTTCAATTATAACCTTAGAACTATTTATTCCCATGTATATAATAGCTGACTGATCTAAGAGGTTTAGACTTTGAAGCAACTTGATTAAAAGCCAATTACATAATAATAGAATTCTATTGATCTTACAAAATTAGTCATATTATAAATTGATATTTACTCGATAGGAGAATAATATGATGATCAATTAATATGGTTAAAATGATTTGACATGATAATATTAAAAAAATAACATTTTTTCACATTGGAGCAGACATTTTCTCATTAAGTTCTCTCCTTTTATCAAAATTGCTGGTTACTTGACTTTATTATGGTTATTTGTTTTCTATTTTGCTCCTTTAAATTTAATTTTAGTCTCTATTATCATTATCATTATTTTTTCTTTTTTCTTTTTTTTTCTCTCTATTATCTTTATTATCTCTATTATCTCTATTGTCTCTGTTATCTCTATTATCTCTATTGTCTCTGTTATCTCTATTATCTCTATTGTCTCTGTTATCTCTATTATCTCTATTGTCTCTGTTATCTCTATTATCTCTATTGTCTCTGTTATCTCTATTATCTCTATTGTCTCTGTTATCTCTATTATCTCTATTGTCTCTGTTATCTCTATTATCTCTATTGTCTCTGTTATCTCTATTATCTCTATTGTCTCTGTTATCTCTATTATCTCTATTGTCTCTGTTATCTCTATTATCTCTATTGTCTCTGTTATCTCTATTATCTCTATTGTCTCTGTTATCTCTATTATCTCTATTGTCTCTGTTATCTCTATTATCTCTATTGTCTCTGTTATCTCTATTATCTCTATTGTCTCTGTTATCTCTATTATCTCTATTGTCTCTGTTATCTCTATTATCTCTATTGTCTCTGTTATCTCTATTATCTCTATTGTCTCTGTTATCTCTATTATCTCTATTGTCTCTGTTATCTCTATTATCTCTATTGTCTCTGTTATCTCTATTATCTCTATTGTCTCTGTTATCTCTATTATCTCTATTGTCTCTGTTATCTCTATTATCTCTATTGTCTCTGTTATCTCTATTATCTCTATTGTCTCTGTTATCTCTATTATCTCTATTGTCTCTGTTATCTCTATTATCTCTATTGTCTCTGTTATCTCTATTATCTCTATTGTCTCTGTTATCTCTATTATCTCTATTGTCTCTGTTATCTCTATTATCTCTATTGTCTCTGTTATCTCTATTATCTCTATTGTCTCTGTTATCTCTATTATCTCTATTGTCTCTGTTATCTCTATTATCTCTATTATCTCTATTGTCCCTATTATCTCTATTTTCTCTTCTATCTTTCTTTTCTTTATTTTCTCTATTATCCTTCCTTTCTTTATTATTTTTATAATCTCTATTATCCCTATTGTCTCTATTGTCTCTATTATCTCTGTTATCTTTATTGTCTCTATTATCCCTATTGTCTCTGTTATCTCTATTGTCCCTATTGTCCCTATTATCTCTGTTATCTCTATTGTCTCTATTATCCCTATTGTCTCTGTTATCTCTATTGTCCCTATTGTCCCTATTGTCCCTATTATCTCTGTTGTCTCTATTATCTCTGTTATCTCTGTTGTCTCTATTATCCCTATGATCTCTGTTATCTCTATTATCTCTATTATCTCTATTATCTCTATTATCTCTATTATCTCTATTATCCCTATTATCCCTATTATCCCTATTATCTCTATTATCCCTATTTTCTCTGTTATCCCTATTATCTCTTCTATCTCTGTTTTAGTTCATATTATCCATGTTACTTTATTACTTATTAATCGTGCTCCTTTCATCCCTAATAAAATTTTAATTAAAGTTTGGATAATTAAATTAAGAAAATTCATTTTAATTTTGGAAGCTTCTCTATGTTCCATCATTTTAATTTTAATGGTGCTATACATTTGATTGATGAAAGAATTATGATTAAGAATCTGTAAACTATTCTTCCATTCTTTTATTTCTTAATTCATTATTTCTAACATTTCTGTTATTATTGTTATGGTAATTACCAGTATTCCCAAAATCTTATTAAAATTATTATTAATGATGGTCACGCATTTATCTTTGTTATTGGGAAGGAGGATAAGGTTAGAATTTCTAACTGTTAAAATTAGGATTTTAATTCGACCTTGGAAGAGATATTTCTTCAAAGCCATCATCATCAAGTACTTTAGAATGCTTAAAATTATGAGCATAGTCAAAATATTCTTGTGGTCTGGGATCAAATCTCTAAAACTTATTTTGCTAATGCACTTCCTACTCTTATCTATAATTATATGTGAAATTTTTATTGGATTAATTCATTTAATCAAAAGTTTGGTTGAATTAATTCGGTTAATCAGTGTTTGTATTGAAATAATCTTAATCCTATTAAAGTGATGAATAGATATCTTTATGCTTGATAATTGATTCATGTAGAGAGGATTTAAATTCTACTTAACTTCTATAATATCTTTCGCCTTCTTTATTATCAACTTATTCTTCTTATGTTTATTCCTGATCTTCCTCTTCTGAGCTTTCTTCTTCTTACTAGAGATCGTTAGCTGATGAAAGGTCATACAGCTCTCTAATCATTGGATCTTGATGTTTAAGAGATTCAGATCTCTCATCGAATAAAGATTTTTAATATCCTGGCTTTTACATTTCCTCCTAAGTCGGATTAAAGGTAAGTTTGATTATGATGGATGAGATTTTTACACTTATGTTAACATCGACTAATCCCTCCTCCAAAGGTTAGTAATGGTAAAATTTTTCAATGTTGTCGATTAGAGAAATCTAGAATAAATTATGAATATATTCATACTTCATGAAGTTTAGGAAATTTTTCTTTCAAAATTTTTGCCATCATTATAGCATTAGCAGCTGTTTTCTCATAAGCAACTAAATGAATAGAAGTAAATTCTAATGTAAATTTGATTAATTACTTTCATCCTTCAAAAGTCTTATTGCTCTATCAATTAATTTATGGATTCCCTAATTCACAGGGATTACATTTTAGGCATAAGGAGGTTGGAATGTACTCTTATGGTATTTATTTTTTGTCGAATTGGTGTTATGATTTTTTGGCATTAAATTAATATTTATAATAATAATAAACAAATGAATTTAATCGAAGAGAATAATGCCTATTGATTACTATTGAAGTCGTAATGGATAGAAAATGAGATGAATGAGTTATATGTTGATTCCAACTCAAAGTACTTTAATTCAGATTAATTTATATATTTAATTAAATTGAGTAACCTACTCTTAATTTGAAAATGATGAATTAAGCAAATATATTATCAAGTTACTTATAAGGTCTTATAAATTATAAATTATAATATAATTTATTAATTTATGATGTCTAAATGCAAGTCTTGTAATGATGAGGGTTTCCTAACATGTCCTTTATGCCAGAAAACAACATATTGCTCTAAAAAATGCAGAGATTACGATTGGTAATGATATGAATACTAATTAAGAGGGCTGTTTCTCATAAATCTGAATGCAAAGCAGAACTACCCAAGAGAAATGTATCCGATTTCGAAATAGTGAACTAAGGATCACTAGGAAGAGGAAGTTTTGGATGTGTGAAATTGGCTCGTGATAGATAGACAGGTTTATTGTATGCCTTGAAAATAGTAAATTAAGTTATTATTTATAGATTGAAAAATCAGATATTTCTATAGAAAATCTAAGAAGAGAAATACGGATACAAAAAAAACTTCAGCATCCTCATGTGATTCAGTTATTTGAATTTTTTGAAGATGAACAATACGTTTATTTAGTTTTGGAGTATGCAGGTAATAAATCACATTTCAACATAGAAAATGGTTCATTGTTTGGTTATCTGAGAAAGAGAAAGATTTTATCTGAAAATGAAGCTTTTGTGTACTTCTTTTAAACATGTCTTGGTATCGATTACCTGCATAAAAAATAAATTATACATAGAGACTTAAAACCTGAGAACCTATTACTTGACAAGGATGGAAATATTAAAATTTGTGATTTTGGATGGTCTGCAGAGATGATGATAACTTAAACACGAAATACGTTTTGTGGCACTATAGATTATATGACGCCGGAGATGTTAGAGGATAAGCCTCATGATTAAACTCTTGATATGTGGTGTTTGGGAGTGTTACTTTATGAGTTAATTCATGGACAAGCTCCATTTAAAGGGAGAAATGATTTTGAAAAATGTTAAAATATTTTAAAGTAAGAGTAATTTGAAATTAAAGCAAGTGATTAAGTAATTTATTATATAACGTTTTAGGCCAAAGATTTGATTTTAGGACTTATGAAAAGAGAATCTAAAGATAGATTGAATATGGATTAAGTATTTGCACATCCTTGGATGTTGACTATGGCTAGGGAATATAAATTAGAAATTAAAGAATATATTTTTGAGGAGAAGAAGAATCTAGATCAATTAAACAATAGTCTCAGATTAGATACTAAATTTTCAAACACAAATACAAATACAACCAGGCTGTCTGGTTCAAATATTAAATAAGAATGCGTTTCATTAGCATTTTCTATGTATTCTGATGAATAGTAGCCTCCTATACAAACTAGAATCACGAGAAGAACACAGCATCCTGTAAGGAAGGAAAGTGGTTTCTTTGAAACCCTTTTTGAAAATCTTGGTTGCACGAAAAGAAGTTGATTAAATATCATTTTTAAAATATGTATTTTTGTACTATACTAAGTTAATTTAATCAAATTGCTATATAATATTTATAAGAAATTGTAATGATTGATTAGTAAACAAAAACACTTGATTAAATATATGGATGCAATTTCAAAAGGGTGCCATATCTTTATGGGGAGATGGAAGGAACAACTCCATTCCCCATTAATGAAGCAGATGAGGATTTGGATTCTGATAAATAATAATAATAAAACTAACATAAAATAATATCCCCAATATAATTAAAGTCATAATTAAAACCTCTAATTTAAACTAGAAAAAGAAGACAAACAGTTCACAAATCCCCTGTCAATAAGTCTCAGTTTGATAACCATATAGGGTTTAGGAATTCATTTTATAAGAGTAATAATAAGGTGAATCTGGTATCGAGATAGCGGGTTGAGGAATTGAAAAATTATGAGATCTCGATGTTTACAAAATACGCTCAAAGATTCTAATTGTCAAAGCAAGTCCTTTGGAATTGAGTTGAATGGCTGATTTATAGTTTGAAAAGAGATCTATTTTTGTAATTTAATAATTATTATTTATCATAAATTTAAAGACAACAGCCCATATTTATATATCGATATCCCCTATTATACTGCTAATATTTATCCTGCATTTTATTTTGATAAATTATTAGAATTATATATAGATGAATTATTGAAGAATCTTATAAAATAATATATAAAATAATCATGGATTAAGAAATATTTATTAAATAACCATTGGATGACGAAAAGATAGATCAATATGAATAGTAAAGAGATCTTTAAATTTTTATAGATAATCTTAATTAATGCAAAATGAAGAATCGCTGGAGCATTTGGTCAACTCGCTAATATAAAATTAACAGCTAGATGAGGATGATTAATTTAAATAATAAATTGGAAAGCGCAGAATTAATGACTAAAGGTAATTTTTTCGACAATATCAATTTATACTATCAGGTTTACATTCCAAGAAGATAAGCGTATCTTGGAATTAGTTTAATAGGTCGGTCCCAATTTTAACAAAATAGTCAAATAGTTTCCAGGGAAAACAATGAATATGATAAAAAATAGGTATTATAAAAAGCTGCGATACATTAAAGAAGATCTTCAAAATGATCAAGAATAAGTGAAAAAGCATTCTAAATCGAAAAAAGCCAATTGATTTTTTGATTTATTTATAGACTAACTATGCTACTTTTGTTTTGTTATGTAAATGCCATGCTTTTTAATATAATTTTATTCATATACAACATTTTATTATTTTTATTAATTAAAATATTAATATTAAACAATTTTACTTCTATGCAATCATAAAAGAGAGGACAACAACATAAACAAGGATATCAAGCAGATTTAAATAAATATTTTGGAAAGAGATTAAAAATTAAGTTAAATGCAAAACGAACAATTATTGGTACTGTGATTGGGTAAAATAAATTCATATAAACAATAGATTTGATATATTTATGAATCTCGTGCTTGATCATTGCAAAGAGTTGATTCCAGGACAAGGAGCAGAGAATAAAGATAATCTTTATCCAGGCTTTTCAAATGTCACAGATCAACTAGTTGATATTGGATAAGCAATTGTGAGAGGCAATTCAATAATTATGTGGGAGTGTTTGGATAAAGTTAAAGACTGACTGAATATATTAACAATACAATAAATAGAAATTAATCCATTGATTTATTTGCTAATCTCACACTAATCCTATAATTGTGGCTAATTGATTAATTGAAAATTAAAGTATCTCTATTTCATTCATTCTCATATCTCTTTGCCTAGAAGCATCTTAAATAAGATTTGATTGAGAAATAAAATGGATAGAGAAGAAATGGTATGATATAAAATATATTCATTACAAATTGAATAATTCAATAAAAATAATAAATTAATTAGAAATGTTTTTTGTAATAATTAAGAATACCTTTTATTTCTATATTTTGATACACTCTGTCTTTTCTTTGCTGAGTTTGTTGATATGTTTAGACAATGATATAGATCACTTTGAAATTTAATGTCCTAGAGTAATTATTTATCTTATGATAGTTGAGCAATGAAATCAAAGAATTCATGGCAGGAATATTCAAGCCATTTTTGCCAGAAGCTATTGAATTTTTAGTTGGTAAAATATTAATGCAAGATCTAAGGATTGTGAATGCTCTTATATTTTCAGGAATATTAGAAGTTGTTTTAGCAATATTAGGAGGATTGTATTTATGGCATTTGATTTTAGCTACTACATTATGGTTGAAACTCCAAAGCCTATATAAAAGAGTTTTAGATTAATTGCAAAATGTTTTTTCTTTTTAGGGTTAGTATTATGGTTTGCCATTTATTGCAGCGGAATTGGTTTAAGAAGATTATTTGAAATACTGCATATTGTTTATTAAAACCCATAAAACGTGGAAAATTATTCAAACGATTTATCAGAATTTATCTAAAAGAGACAAGAAGAAATTTTGGAGTATTATTTCTGATTGCATAAACATATTTCTAAATTTATATTAAAAACATTCTTTATTAATGGGATAAATTCTCAAGATTTCTTGTAAATTTTATGGTGAATATTTTAATAAAGATGATTTAATAATGCTTTTCTTGTAAGAATTTATGCTCTTAATTAGAAATATGAAGTGAAATGTAAATCTAAATGGATATGCAAGAAGAAGTTATAATTATATTAACCAATATTAAACGAATGATGAAAAAAAAATTCATTCTTAACAAAAATTTTAGAATAGATATTTCTCAAAATCCTAACATATTTTAATATCAAACTACCAATGTGTTAATTTAATTTTTCTCCATTTTTTAAAACAAATCTTCTAAGCTCATGGTCTTGGTAAAAATGTTCTAAAAAATTGTATTTTCTTTCACCTCTTCAGCATATATTATTCAACGTATATCTAGATTACGTCAGCGTTTATTAGAGTATATAAAAAAAAACCCATTGTAAAGAATTAAATAATTCTAATTTCTAAATGGCTTCTATTGCCTAATAGATACTTGTAGTTTTCCAAAAGAATTACATGGTGTATTTCTAAGAAAAACAATTCATTGGTGAATTTGCAGTGCCAATAGTTGTGTTTGTTATGCTGATGGTGGCACGTAAAAATTTGAGAATATTCTTAAAATTTAGAAAAGGAGAATAATCCTGTTTTCCTTGAAGTGGTGGCTGAGTTTGTACCTATGACCTTCCTAGCAACATCTAGATATATTGTGATATAAATGATAGCTGAAAAGAGCGAAAGACAGAAGGAGATTTAAAAGGTAAAGCATATTAATGAAATGTAGATTATGGGTTTAAAGGGATCAGCATATTAATTGGGATGGCTTCTATTTAATTTCTCAAGATTAATATCAGTTTGTTTTATATTTTTGTTGTTAACAGTACCCACCAATTGTTTTGCTCATCCAAAAGGTGGTCAGACATATCTGGATTCAGGATAAATTATTGGAAGTTTTATTTTGTTTGGTTTAAGTTAATGTTCTTAATCATATTTCATAACTGCTTTGTTTGATTAACCAAGAAGCGGGGCAGACATGTCAGTAATCGTAACCATAATTGGTTCATTTTGTGCATAATTGTTAAATGTTGGAACAGTGAATAGGTATTAATGTATGCAATTAATATAGTAATGGAGGACTTCTAATACTTCTTGGGTTTTGTTTTCCTACTTTCGGTTTTGATATTTACGTCTTTCCTTAATTGGGAGGTATAGTTAATTAAGACTGGGGAATCAGTACGGAAGGTTATTTTGTATTATAAGCATCCTCTGCTTTGATCTATGCATTCCTGTATTATTACCTTGAATAAGTATTGCCTAATGAATATGGTACTAATAAACATCCTCTATTTTTTATTGGATTTAAATATCAAACTGAAACTGATGTGTTATCATCATCATACGAGTTAGGAGGAATGGGAAAACCATTCATCAGCAATAGATAATCAGAATTTTAGGAGGATGCTAGCTCTGCTATTTATCATGAAGTTTTTGAAAACATCAAATAAGTGAAAGTATGTTTAAATCTATATACTTTAGAAAGCAATCTAAATTAAGAATGTTAGAAAAAGTTACGGAGAACTTAAAGCTGTAGATGGAGTTACATTATAAATTTATGATTCACAAATTCTTTGTTTGTTGGGCCACAATGGAGCAGGTAAAACAACTTTGATTTCTTTACTAACTGGATTGATCAAAAGGGATAGTGGACTCATCTCCTATTATAATACTGATACTGATTTCGAGGATATTAGATCTTATTTGGGTATTTGTCCCCAAAGAGATGTCCTTTATGATTCAATGACATGCGATCAACACTTGTGGTATTATGGAAAGATTAAAGGAATTGAAGATAAGCAATTGTACCTAGACATAGATTTGATAATTAATAAATGCGATCTTTTGAATGATAGAACTAAACTTGCCAAGAATTTATCAGGAGGAACCAGAAGAAAACTAAGCTTAGCTATATCTTTAATCGGTTAATCAAAAGTTATCTTTTTGGATGAACCTACTTCTGGCATGGATCCAATTTCAAGAAAAAAGATCTGGGATATTCTACTATAAGTTAAGAGTGAAGGAAGATGCTTAGTGTTGACAACGCATCATTTGGATGAAGCCGAGGTTCTTTCAGAAAGGATTGCAATAATGGCAAAAGGGAGACTATTAACTGTAGGTTCAGTTGATTTTGTTAAAGTCAATTTTGGAATCGGCTATCATCTCAATATTTATAATAAAGGAAGTCCTGATTGGGAGAAAAAATCTAAAAATATATTGGCTCTAACCAAAAAATGCGTTCCTTCATCTAGAGAGAATCCTCAAACTCCTTAAGAATGTTTAAGTTTCTCAATCAACTTTGACAAAAAGGAGGAACTCTTACCCCTATTCCAACAATTAGAGAAAGATCCATAAATTGAATTGAACTTGGTTATGAATACTCTAGAAGAGGCATTCATTAACATCGGAATGGACGAAGAGACTTTCTTGTAAAAAAAAGTCTAAGGTGTTTAGGCTACTTAAGATGCTACTTAAGTAAATTTGAATGAAGAATTAAATAAAATAGTGCCACCTTCTTGTTTAAGTAGACCTCCTATCTTTAATTTTGGTTTACAGTTGTGGTCATGTCTTTTGAAAAAGCACTATAATGTAACTACAAAGAGACTGATAATTGGAATCATTATGCCAGCTGTCTTCATTATTTTAGGGCCACTTTTATCTACAGTATATTATAAGTCATTTGTAAATAAAAATGCTGAATTATACGAAAATGAATTTTATGAGAATGCATTAGCTGTGTTTGATTCATATGGTTATATCATTTTGGGAATAGCAATCGCCAGCTCATAGGTAGGTAGTCAACCTGTTGAAGAAAGAGAGAAAAAGCAGAAATATGCATTAAATGTGATGGGATGCAGAATATTACCATTTTGGTTAGGCTATTACATTTATGATCTGTTGATAAGTGTAATTTTACTAGTCATCTTTATAATTACAGTAGTTGCATGTGATTACACAGAGTTAAACAATTCAGTCTTTTATACATTAGTGTTTTTTAATTTCTTTGCTTACTTACCATTTTCATATATGTTGTCTTGGATGTTTAACTCATTCAATTCAGCCGTGAAATCTTTACTGATTATTCAAGTGATTGGCTTTTATTTGATTGCCATTATCATTTATTTAGTTTCATTTAAGAATGAGGCTGGACTATGGATCCTCACATTCGTTTGTCCTTCTTTATCGTTTTTCTCAGGATGTGTGACCTTTTTAAATGGTTTAAAACTAATAGGTGCATATGGTAAGGAGTAACATGTAAGTGCTTTTAGTGATGACATCAAACCATACATCTTCATCATCATTCTCTTTTTCTAAGGTCTAGCTTACTTTGGAATTACTCTATTGCTTGATAATAGACAACTTTTGGCTGCTAATAATAGTGGTTAATTGGGGACAATTAATGACTAAGATGTATTGGCAGAAGAGTAGAGAGTTTTAGATTAAAGATGTTAAGATAGAATATTGGCCAGAAAGATTTCTAAAACATATGCAAACGGATTTTAAGCAGTCAAAGGTACATCCTTTGGTGTGGAACCAGGAACAATATTTGGATTACTAGGACCTAATGGAGCTGGAAAATCAACTACCTTCAATATGATAACATCAAGGTTGAAGCCATCCTCTGGAAATATTTACTTAGAATAGGTGGAAATTAAAAAAGGATTGGGAGATGTGTATTAAAATGTTGGAATTTGTCCACAATTTGATAGTTTATATGATATTGTATCAGTCAGAAGACATCTCCAATTATGGGCATACATGAAGGGATTGAAAGGGTAAGAATTAGAGGAGTCAATTTTGTATTTCTTAAAGGTGATGTAACTAGAAAACTATGAAAATTCATTGGCTGGACAATTAAGTGGAGGGAACAAACGAAAGTTATGTGTGGCGTTGGCTCTTATGGGTGGAACAAATATGTAATTCTTCGATGAACCCTCTTCTGGCGTCGATCCAATCGCTCGTAGGTTCTTGTGGAATGCTATCCAATAAGGTGTGAAATTAAGATAGAGTTCAGTTATTTTAACTACACATACTATGGATGAGGCTGAAAGTCTATGCAACAAAATTGCCATTCAAGTCAATGGAGCTTTTGCTTGTATAGGATCTGTCTAACATCTAAAATAGAAATTCGGCGAAGGATACAGAATTGTAATTGATCCGATTAATCAAGTATTTTATTATTCTATTCTTAGGAAAGTGTCTCATAAATATAACAATAATTATCCCAAAACTTTGGAAAAATAGATTTTAATTTGGATGAACATACTGGAAAGATCATTTGCAAGTTTCCTATCTAAGGATTCTAATTTTACCAAACCTTCTACACCTTTTAATAGGTCTTACTAAATGAGTTGAAACTAATCAAAGATTTTTAGATAAGTCAACCTAACCTAGAATAGATATTTGTTCAATTTGCAGCTTAACAAGTTGCTGAACAGGAGAAAGTGCAAATTTAAAAGAATTGTTGTTCAATACCTATTCTCTGTGGAAATGATGAGGATAATTGATAATTTAAATTCTTTATAAAATTTATATAATTACAAATTCACTTAAATTATTAACATATACAGGAATTAATTCAATTTTATCTAATTTATTAATACTTGTTATTTTGACGTTGTTTGCCCTCGCCTTCCAGATTAAATACATTGCTTAAATTGATGCTTTCATTAACTTCGCCAGGATTATAATTGTCATTATGATCATTTTTTTTTTCTGGCTCCTCTTCAATTACGAAAAATTCCTTCTTTGTACCCGATGTATCCATTCTATTTTACAAATTTTCTTCATCATGAGCTTTTTCAGACTTGGGAACATCTTTAAAATTTTTGGAATTGTTTTAATATTTAGGTTACGAATTCTGCTTTCTTCGGCATAATCTATATATAATTAGCCCAATTATTAAAATTACGAAGAATACTCCGAAAATCATAATCCATTCAGTGGTAGAATCAAGTTGAACAAGTAATCTTGAAACCATTTTAGTATGAGTTTTTAATTTAAATAAACAATAAATATATATCTATAATGACTAATGATCTCACAACTTTTACAATTATCTCCATTTGCTGGTTATCCTTTCCAATATCTTTCTCCAATCCTCCTTTTATTGTTTTTCTCCCAATATTTACTAGACTTCAACTTCTGTAATTTTAACAATATTTTTATGAATAATTTATTAATCTAATAACAATTCAATGGCTATTAGTGATGCATTGCTATTTAATTATTTAAAATATAATACTGAGTATCTTCAGCAGCCTTCTTTTTTAAATCATCAAAACTATCCCCAATAATTTTAATGATCTTATTAGTTAGGTTTTCCTCTAATTTATTTCTTTCAACATCATTGACCTCTGCATCGATTTGACTTTAATCTTTCAAAAAAGCATCCTTGCAATTCGTGAAAAAGATCCTATAATATTCTTATTCATTTTTTGTATAATTCAATATATTCCATTTGGTTCCCTTAATCAACATATCCTCTCCAGAATCACAAGTTTCTTCAATCAATTACACCAATAGATAACTATAAGCCAACACAAGTCTTGATAATAGCAGAATGCATTCCTCAATTGATTAATCTGTTCTAAATATTTTTTTCAATTGATCCAATTTTTGATATAATTCTAAATTCACAAAATGACGAAATGCAATATCCTACTTCATTTATTGCAAAAAGACCAATTGTTTACACAATTGATCTCCTGTCATTTTTTATGATTACTTTTACATCCAACTAATGTTTTAATCGTTGTACAATTTCTGTAAGGTTGGATTATTAGAAACCAAGCCTTTTTCCATACTTTCAAACATCTAAAAGACTTGATCCCATTAAATCCTTTCAGATTCTTCCACAATCAATGCTTTGGTCAAAAATTCTCTTGTGAAATCTGTAATGCCATTATGCTTAAAGACCAAAGGTTTCATTAAAATGTTTTTTAATAAATCCTATTCGTCTCTTCCTTTCCAAGGGACATCATGGAAGACCATTTCGTAAAAGATAACTCCAATGGACCAGATGTCACATTTTGTAGAATAGGTTTTCCTCTACAGAATTTAGGGAGCCATGTATAGAGGAGATCCAACACACGATCGAAGTAATTAGGATGTATAATTATCAACGTATTTTGCAAATCCGAAATCTAAGTGTGCATCTAATTAAATTGATACCTGCTATTTTCACAATACCTTCATGATTGAGGATATTGGCAGGTTTTAAATCCCTGTGAATTACTCCTTACTTAACTAGTTCTTTGAATCCATTTATGATTTATAACATAATTCCTTAAGTCTATTGAAATAGTGGATAAATATTGTGATACTTCTTATTCAGATATTCTTTTTTTTTGGATGAACTCTTTCAAATCCCCATCTTTGCATAGCTCTGTAATTATGTATAAAGATCTTTGAGTTGTAATGAGATCAATAAATCGCACAATATTAGGATGATTGAATTTCTTAAGTATCTCAATTTCACTGACTATTTGATTCCGTAAATAGGTATCTCTTTCAAAAAGGGCCAAATCCATTTTCTTGATGGCAACAATTTCATTTGTCTTGATATCCGTTCCTTAAAACACTTTACCATAGGCTCCTTCTCCCAAGCAGTGTCTCTCATTGTACTAGTATTAACCGATCTATTTAACACTCCTATTCAATTGACTCATAAAAGGGATATAATAACAATAATTATTATATAAAATATATAATGGAAATCGAATATGTGCATTAGCTATCTGTGTACGAATAGGGAATCAGATTGAATGTGAGGCTGGTGTTTGCGTCTATGCACATTCGCTCATAAATATCAGCATCCTTATCCGTTTTAATAAAATAATATTATAAATCTTGAATCATATGGTAATATATCGTGTTTATTTATGACGGATTACTATTAATTTAAATTGAGAATTGTTAGAAAAGATAAGCATAAATATTTTTACAAAATATTATGAACAATATCGATTAATTCTTCATTTCTCATATATAAAAGTTTGTTCCATCTTGGAGCCATCTTTAATGTGACGACTTGAGAATTACAAAGACTATAGGAATTACAAATAAGACATATATTATTGAAGCAGATGCTACTCCAAGCAAAATAATCTTTCGTCATTTTGGTGAGGTCGGAGTTGGATTATTTTTGAATAGAGAATAAGAATTACACATCGCAAGATAAGTAGCTAAGTGTAAAATGGGGCCACATTTTTATGGTCACACAGCACATGTAACTTCTATTTTAATAATAAAAGGTTCGTTTGGAAGAATATATAGAAAATGAGGTCATGAGTCAGGAATCAATGAAGGACCCAGAGACTTACACTTTGGTTGCTTAGACCTTATGTAAGTTCCATTAGATTGATGTATCTGGTCAAATGAATGACAGAACACCGTTGTTTGAAAAGCACTTGCAAGAAAATTCAGACTTCTTATTGTAAGTAAGGGAGAAAGTTTGCTCGAACCTCTTCTCTGAAGATGAAAGATCCATTCTATCTAACATGGCCAATTGGTTCTCGGATGAGGAAGTTAAGTTTTTATAGTCAGTTTTACCAAAGGACGACATTGTATTTTCCCATAACGATCTATTGGCGAACAACATCTTATTGATTCCACCTGTAATTATCATCTTTTATCATCAATTAGAACTTCGATAAGGTTGTGTTCATCGATTTTGAGTATTCTTCCTATAACTTCAGAGGATTTGATATAGCTAACTATTTCAATGAATCACAATTTAGTTATCTAAACCCAAATCCACCTTACTTTTATATAGAAGAAGGAATGATTGATGAGGAGATCTTGAAAGACTTTGTCAAAGTCTACATCGAGAAGTCAGGATTGGACTTAGACTATCAAACTCTACTACACCAAGTTTACATTGGATAGCTATTCTCACACTTCTTTTGGGCGTAATGAATTCATTCTATTAATTATAGAGCATGGGGAATCATTATGGCAAAATCAAATGATATTGTATTTGATTATCTTGCTTTTGTAGAAGTTAGATATCACAAATATTACTAACTAAAGAAGCATCTTTTTGGAAAAAAATGATCAAATAATAAAAGTTTTATAAATGTATTATTTCAATAGTCTATTTAAACTTGTTCAATATATACAATTGTTCTGGAAAAATTATTTAATTTAATTTTCAAAAAACGAAATATTTTAATAAACTAATAGATGATTCTTAACATTATTTTCCATAGATCTACAGAATAGGAAATATATTGTTTGGCATAAGTTAGCAAGTTTAGATAGTGTTGCAATGTTTGAGATAAGAAATGATATATACTTATTTTTAAGATTTACTATTGTAATAAAGAATAATTTTATAACTGAGAATAGCAACTCTAACTACTTAGGTGATTTAATTACTACTACCTTATTCAAAGAAATAGGTCTAGAATTGATTTCTATCTATAGTTTAATATATTATAATATAAATATCAAGTGCTAAGTAAATAAATCATATTAAAACAAAATCGAGATCCTTGAAACACAAAGCAAGTCTCTTTTATTTTGAATTTGTTAGGATTCGATTCAGAATTCCAGATGTTTTTGTTATTCAAAATAACCTATCCCATATTTTAGTAATATTAATACGAAAGAATAGAGCTCTGAGGTTGTGCAAAAATGATTACTAAATTGAGCATTGTTTTGCCTATTCAAATTTAACAATTTTCACATAGTAATAATACCAAATCTCCATTTAATTAAATTATTTGAGATGATGCCAAAGTTTATCATTATTCTATCTTTCTATTGAATAATTTCAATGTATCCAAATTAAAGGATGCTAATTCATTTTCTAGCTCTAGTATGAGATTCTCACCATATATTTGGTATCAACTGTTTTTGATGTTATCAGATAAACCCATTAAATTGTTTGTTAATGGTATTGAATATGTAAAATTACAATCAGGAAAAGCAATAAGTCTTAAGAAACCTAAATTTGGATTAACACTTTATGAATTTTCTTTAATGGCAAATGTAGGAATAGTAGTATCAATTACTATTGAAACAAAATTTTAATTATTATCTTTTTCATCAAATAGTGTTAAGAACTTACCTATTTCTTTTATTTTTCTTCTATTTCTTTGAATATTATTTAACAATTGACCTCCCCTTATAAACCATCAAAAGAGGGAACAAACTAAACTTCAAATTCAGAATACTTTTTATATATACTTCGTTTCCCATCATTGAAGATGATCTCAATGATTCAATTGTGTTAGTAATTTGATTATGAGGTCCTGAATCTACTCATTTGTCAAGATCTAAATTTTGAAAACTCAAAATACGGTTAATGTTTTTCCCTAATTTTCATACCTGGAGCACATAAGGTTTAGAGTTTAATCCACAATCATATTCTTCAAGTGAATATTTTGCCATTATAAAATGGTTATAATAACAAATAATTATGTGATAATTTTATGTTTTAATATTCGAACTGAGTAGTATTTTGTAATTAAGTTTTAAATTAAAAAATGGACTAAATATCAGAGGAAGCTATCAAAGCTATGCCAAAGAAACCCTAGAATGCTTACATGCTATTCAGGGCAGATACTTATGATGACCTTAGGAAAAAGAACCAAGATAAAAGTATGACTGAATTGACTTCAATGATATCATCTTTATGGGGAGAAATGGATGAGAAGAAGAAGGATGTATTTATTAATTAAGAACCTTTTTATTAGAAATACAACAAGGATTATGACAAGGCTATGGATTAGTATAAGACTGATTATGCTGGATGGTTGAAGAAGTTCAAGTTGGATGATGATAAAGTAAAGAAGTTCTTTAAGGACAACAAACAAGCTAAAAAGAAGAATAAGAAGGGTTCCAAGAAAGTTAACAAGACTTCGAAACAAGAAGATGAAAGTGATGAAGAAGATGAACAAAAAATTTAGTCATTAAAAAATAAGAACTAAAAGAAATAATAGGAATAGAATGTTTAGAATTTGTCAAAGAATACTAAGGAATAATAGAAATAGAAGCCAGTTCCTTAATAGAAGGAAAAGGAGAAAAAAGACAACAAGAAAAAATGATTAATTTATAATAAATTATAATTAAATAATACCAATTTATGCTTTAAATATAACAACTTTGTGAAGACTCTGGTTTGTCATGTGGAAGAGGAATTTTCATTGGAATTTATGCAGGCTTAATTTTTGGCATTTCAATCTATTGTTTAATAAAACTTTATGGATTTATGGGCAGAATATCCTATGAAATGATTCCCTTGACAACATGCGCAATTTAATCTTCTTTGCATTTTATTAATGACATCTTTTTGGTAACTAATTCCATGTAAATCGTTATAATTTACTTTTGTTTACAGACTTTCATATTGATATCGCAAAGCTTTTTCCATTTATACTACAAAATGACGTACTCTAAAGAAGAATTTTAAGAATATCGATTAAAATAAAAGTACAGTTTGATAACATTTTACATCATATTTACTTCGATAATTATCTTTTATTTGATTTAAATCGACGATAATAATTGTTCAGCCTATTTTGATGTAGGATTAGCTCTATAGTTTATAATTATTTTATTTAGTGTTGTTATATCAATATTATATGGTTAGAAATTAAAATAAGAGATGAATAAGCATGAATAAACCAATGTAACAAAAATAGCAAATTATCAAACAACAGCTGTGTAGATAGTATTGACTACTTCTGCAATTTTGGAATTTATTATGTCAATTTTATCACTTACAACTTTTAAGGATTTGTTCTGTAATTTACCATTAAATAATTTAAATAATTTTGATGACGAAGGATTCACATCAGGAGAGAATGTGTACTTAACTTTTTTCTCAATGATAGAAATGACTCCTTGCATTTTAGTACCCATTATTTTTTTTTATTTGCCTTAAATTCCATAATAATAAAGTCAACAACACGAGTTTAACCTAAATGATGCCTTAATATAGCAATCTGCAAGATAATCAATGGATTTTAGTAATTTAATAAATATGTCAATTGAATTGAAATAATGAATAATATAAAGCACTTTAAATTTAATACTATATTAAGGGTTTTTTGTGTATAACAAAGAAATTGGCGCAATATAATTATATAATTAATTAAAAATGCCTCCCAAAAATAATTAGAGTGGATTCATGTCTGTGGAATAGAGATCAGAAATAGGAGATTTCTCAAGACACACCCCAGCAAGATCTCTGATATAACCTCGTAATAGATCAATTTTGGCTACAGCCTCAAGGAGAACAGGAACTTAATCTTAGCATTCACCAACCAGAATGACTGTTGAAACACATGAAGCGGTTTATTGGGGAACAAACATTGACGAAAGAGCTATTGAGAAATAATTTGATAGATTTTTGAAAGAATACAGATATGGAGGAATGGAATACTATATGAGTCAAATGAATTAATTAAATGAAACAGACTAATTCATCTTAAATATAGATGGCAGACATTTGCTAGAATTCAATAATCATTTGTATTAGCAATTAATTCATTATCCAGCTGAAATTATTCCAATATTTGATACTGTGGTACAAAAGGTGTTTTATGATGACTTTTTATCTTTGAAAGCAAGAAATGAATAGGAGCGGGAAGAATTCAGATTATATGCTTAAAGACTATTGATAGGTATTATAAATCTGGAGAGGAATGTTCAAGTGAGAGAATTGAATCCAAAGGATATAAATAAATTAATCAGTGTGACAGGAATAGTCATCAGATGCAGTGAATTATATCCAGATATGAAATAAGCTACATTCAAATGCACAAAATGCGGTCACATAGTAGGAGTGAATATTGAGAGAGGAAGAGTGGAGGAACCTATCAGTTGTCAGAGATGTAGAGACAAGAATTCCTATGAACTCATCCATAATCTCTGTTAATTCACAGATAAACAATATGTTAAGTTGTAGGAGTAACCTGAAAATGTACCTGAAGGTTATACACCATAAACTGTAAACTTGGTACCTTATGATTATAATGTGGATGATGTGAAACCAGGAGATAGAATCATAGTTGTTGGAGTTTACAGAGCTGCTCCTATTAGGTAGACAAAAAATAGAAGAGTCTTAAAATCTATTTATAATACATTTATTGATGTTATTTCATATCAAAAAGAAACAAAAATAGAATAAGAAAAAACTAAAAATATTACTGAGGAATAGAAATAAAAGTTAATGTATCTTTCTTAATAACCAAATATTTACGATAGACTAGTTAAATCCATTGCACCATCTATTTGGGAAATGGATGATGTGAAAAAGGGAGTGCTTTGTTAACTTTTTGGAGGAACAAATAAGGAATTTTCTTAAGCTGGTAAAGGAAGATTTAGAGCTGATATTAATGTGTTATTAGTAGGAGATCCCTCGACAAGTAAATCTTAGATATTATAATGTGTTCATTAATTGTCAAGTAGAGGAATCTATACTTCAGGTAAAGGATCTTCAGCAGTTGGTCTTACTGTTTATGTATCGAGAGATCCAGAAACAAGGGAGATCATTTTAGAATCTGGAGCATTGGTACTTAGTGATATGGGTATTTGTTGCATTGATGAGTTTGATAAAATGGATGAGAATGCTAAAACTATATTACATGAAGCTATGGAATAATAAACTATATCTGTGGCCAAAGCAGGTATTGTTAGTTAGTTGAATGCCAGAACTGCTGTTTTGGCTGCTGCCAATCCACTCAAATCTAGATATGATGTCAAATAATCAGTTGTTCAAAATATCAATATGCCTCCAACTATTTTATCTAGATTTGATCTCATCTATCTAGTACTTGATGAATTCAATGAAAAAAGAGATGAAATGTTAGCTTATCATATTTTGAATATGTATTCTCTCAAAGACTAATAAGATTATTTAAATCAAATAGAAGAAGAAGGAAACACTGATCTGATTGACAGAGAAACTTTGTATAGTTATATTTGTTATGCAAAATAAAACATTTTTCCAAGATTGACTGAAGAAGCACAAAATGAATTGATTGCAGCATATGTCAAGATGAGAAGTGCTGGAAACTCTTCTAATACAATTACAGCTACTCCAAGATAATTAGAATCTTTAATTAGATTATCAGAAGCCTTGGCAAAAATGTAATTCAACCAAAGAGTTGAAAATTATCATGTTTAAGAAGCGGTTAAGTTGATGGAAACTGCCATGAAAAAAGCTGCTCTTGACCCTATTACTGGTATATATTATTTTCTATTTCTAGGTAAAATTGATATGGATTTATTGGCCACTGGTAGATCTAATGCTTCAAGGGAATTAGTATCTAAGTTAATAGTTGAAATCACAAATTTAATTAAAGCAAATTTATCTGATTATAGAGGATAGGGTGTTAGATTTTTTGATTTTGTCGAATAGGTATTCATAAAATATATATACTTCTTAGATTAATACTATATTAGCTGCCTAAACAAATGAATCAACAATTATTGATAAGAGACAATATTAAAAAGAAATCTTAGAGGCTCTTCATTTACTTGAAGAGTAAGGTTTCGTCTAGTTACCAGGTGACAGAAATAAACCAAAAATAAAAGCTGGTATTAAAGCTCTTTAATGATTTTTATTATGTAATTTTATATAATATTATATTTTTTATTTAACAGATGGACTCCCCTTTGAAAGATATGACTGGTACGATCGTAAACAAGTACTATTGATATTAAATAAGGCAATATAAACTCATCAAGAAATTAGGAGCAGGTGCTTTTGGAGAAATTTATTCTTCGTAATCAAATGGATTAGAATATGCAATAAAAATAGAGAAATCTGATTCAAAGCACCCTTAATTAGAATTCGAATCAAAACTATATCACTATTTGAATAATCATAATGGATAGGGAATTCCTAAATATTATGGTTATTATTCGCATGATGGTTATAACTTTCTAGTTATGGAATTACTTGGCTAATCCCTAGAAGATATCTTTTCTGAAAACAACCGCATTTTTACTTTGCAAACTGTTTGTGTCTTGGGAATTCAAATGTTGGAATGCATAGAATTTTTACATTGCAAATAATTCATTCACAGAGACATTAAACCAGATAACTTCTTAATGGGAAAGGCCTAAAAGGATAGAGTATATCTGGTTGACTATGGATTAGCCAAGAGGTATATTTCAAAAGATCTCCACATTCCTTATAAAGATAACAAAGCATTGACAGGTACAGCCAGATATGCCTCTATCAATACACATCTTGGAATAGAATAATCTAGAAGAGATGATCTAGAGTCTCTCGCCTATGTTCTGATGTATTTTTTAAGAGGATCTCTGCCATGGTAAAATCTAAGGGCAAATAATTAAAAAGAAAAATACGATAGAATCATGGAAAAAAAGTTAGCCACATCCTCTGAAACTTTATGTAAAAATTATCCATAACAATTATTACAATTCGTTGATTATACTAAGAATTTAAAATTCGATGAGAAACCAGATTATTAATTCATTAAAAATCTCTTCATTTCAATTATGCAAGAAAACGAATTAAGAATGGAATATATTTATGATTGGGATGATGAAGATACACAAAGGGATAAAATCTAAATTAGAAATGATGAGAAGGATAATTTATTAAAAACAAACAAATAAAGTAGCAATACTTAATAAAGAGTTAATAAATACCAAGAAAATAAAAATTTAAATAGCAATAGCATTTATATGAGAAATTGCAGCAATATTAATAACAAATACAGTATTGGAAGAACGAAAACCAATTCTATTGGGTCAATAAATAAAGTAGTCGTTACTAAGACAAAATAGATTACTAACAATACAATAAATAGTTTAACTAATCAAAATACTTTGCCAAATAATAATAACAATATTAACAATTATAGTAAATTACATCAGAATTTAGCAAAATAAATAATAAAGAAGCATTCTAGTTTACATTACTAATGATTAAATTAATTTGAATTACAACTATCTTATATATAAAAGTTTGTTAATTATTACATTTCTTCTGAAATTCTCCCAAAAAGATTAGTTATTTGTCTGTTGTTAACAATAAATTAAATATAAATTTATTTCTGATTAATCAAATTAACATATGGAATTAATACTATTTAAATCATAAAGTATAATAATTAAGATCTATAAATTTCGAAAAACGATACCATATAAAAATAAATCAAACGACACACATATAATTAACTTTAATACATAAATTTATTTTTAATGTTTGGGGTATCCTAGTAATGATTTAATCTCTCTTATAGTAAATTGTTAAATACTTACAAACCTTGCAATTATTATAAATAAATAAACTTTTTAAGAACAACCTAATAAACTATGCAGAATTAGCTAGAACAACTAGATGTTCCAAGAGGATAATCTTTTACATTTGATTCTAATCGACCATTTATATATTACTATTCTGTTGCCAAACCCTTGCCTGATAATATAGTTGATGAATTAGTTATTTGCTGTTAAATAAGAACTTATCTAATAAAATAGTTGCCTAAGGTTTGGTTTTTAATGGCTAGTACAACAGCTCACATTTTAATAGAAAAACAGCAAAAGTTTGTCACTCCAAATTTTATTTTAGACATATTTATTTATAGTTGGCTATCAGATGGGATGACAAACTTGAAAAAGGAATTGATGAATAGATTAAGCAAATTGATAGTTGAAAACGATAAATTAGAAAGACTCATTGATATTTTTACATAAGAAGTGGTCTCAATTAAAGAAGAGTTTTCAAAATTTCATAAGTCAGAATACCTTCTCAATTATAATGATAGTTGTGTACAGCCATTAATAGTATTTAGAGAAAAAGGAAAAAATGAGAACTAATCCCTAATCAAGAGAATTGATGAATTAAATATTGATGACGATAGTAGAGATTCAACTTTATCATCTTCCTAAATCTCCTAAACAATTACCAACAAAGATATTGACAGAAGCAAATCCGATGTTAGAGAAGTTACTGCAGCACTCCAAAATAATAAGATGAAAAAGTTTACAAAACAAATGGAAAAAATGACACAAAATGTTTTTACAGAATTAATCAAGTATAATTCCCAAGATCAATAATGGCAAATAGCTAGACAATTTGTTGTTATTATTTTAGAAACTAGCGTTTAGTCTGATCATTATTTAAAAACTATGGAAAAAGTTAGATTTATATAACCTGCTTTGCTGTTTTATAAAAAGGCTTTACAGGTTTGGATTCTGGCCAAATTTTCAGCTTAATAATCTCATTAATCATCTAAAAATTCTTAAGAAAATAAAGTAATGAATTTAAATTAGCATAGATGATATTCAGTTAATTTTTATGCAAAGCAAAAAGCTTTATGGGGAAGTCTTGGAATGAAAAATTAGTTATCCCCTTGCATACAGTATTTCAAATTGCAGAATAGACCTACCCAGAGGTTTCTGTTGTAAAAAACGTTGACGAAGTATACAAATTTCTTATGTTAGCAAATGAAAAAATTTTCTATTTTATTAAAAGAAAAACTTGTAGCATTATGGGACCAAAATCTTTCTCAATGCACGAATTAGCTTATTTAATAACATTGATTAATAATTAACATTTATCAAAATCTAAAATTAGAATTTTTTCGACATTAGTTTCATTACTATCAATTCATTTATGTCATATTAGACTATAGATATGCAAGAATTTGAATATTAGACTTATATGCTCTATCTTTTCATCCATCGAAAATTTAGCTACTAATTAATTCTAATTAGTTTGATCTAACTATATTCTTTTAAATTCAATTTAAGTATTTAATGGACTAAGTTTCATAAAGTATATAATTTCGATTCTTTAAATAAATCTTATAATTTAAACCAACATCAAAATTTATGATGAATTTGATTTTGGATTTATTATTATAATTAATATTAGCCTTAAGTTTTATTTCATAAATATATAAATGTATTTTTTGAATTAAAAGCTAAATTGTGATGTTATAACATTATAGTATTTGATTTAATAATTTATTTGATTCATTTACAACTAATTATTTTTTCTATTTAATTATATTATATAATATTTGTTTATGTTGAGAAAGTAATTTTAATATATTGGAGTAAAAGTTTAGAAATTTAAATAAATATTTGCTTGAATGAAATATTCTGGTTACTCAATGAAGGATATTGATATTGCCCGAAATCCAGTATCTAATGATCTAATAAACTAGTCAATACATGGAAAAAAAATTGCGTTACAATAAGAGAATATTAAAAGTTCATCATAGTTGATAAATTTTTTCATCATTTAGAAATTAGATTGGACGTTAATAAATAACAATGAATAATATCTAAATAAATTTAAGTAGATATTTTCAACAATAATTTAGGTTGATCAACTATTAGGAGATTCATCTACATTCAACCACTTTACTCTTTTTCCATTTTCCCATAATCCTTCCTTTTTTTCACTATTGGGTAGAGTGATCATTCCTTTCCCATGTTATTTGCCGTTTATCCAATATCCTTCATACTTTCTTCCATTTTCCCATTAGAAAATACCGAATCCGTGTTTTTTGTCATCTTTGTAATCTCCATCGTATCTTTTCCCATCTGCCCATTGAGTGATTCCTTTTCCATTCATCTTACTATTATTCCATTAACCTTTGTATGATTTTCCATCTTTCCAGTAATATTCTCCATAACCAGTTATATCATTTTCAACAAAATCTCCTTTGTAGTAGCTGCCATCAGCAAAAGTTAGAGTTCCTTACCCATGTTTCTTTCCATTTTCGTATTTTCCCTAAAATACAGTATTGATCATCTACTTACTTCATATTTTGCTCCATCTGGCCAAGCCTCCACTCCTTACCCATGTTATAAATCATTTTTCCAATCGCCTTCGTACCTTGCACCACCTAAATTAAACAAAACTAAAAACCACTATGGATGTAAACTCCACGACCATTTGCCATATCATCCAACCATTAACCTTCATAAATATCACCATCCACATGCACTTTAATTTTATAATTTTAATCTACCTAGTTTACCAAATCCATTAGCTTTGTCTTCTACCCACTCTCCTTCATAAAAACTTCTATCGGGCCAAACGTATTTCCCTTAACCATCTCTCACACCATTTTTCCATTCACCTTCATATACTCCTCCATTTTTCATTTCAATAGCGCTCAACACTGTTCTTGTGAGCTTTCCTTTTGTCGATTAAACCAAAGAAATATATTAATCTTCTGGCTTGTTATCATCTACATTGCTATTATAATATTTTACCATTTTCTCTTTTCATTAGTTTTGGAGAAGAACTGTCTTCTATCGAATTATTTCTTGCTCCTGCCATTTAAGCGATGTCTTCATCCTTTAAATTTGCCCCTATTTTTTCTTTTCTCTATTTATTATTTCCTTCTTTTACATCAGCTTCCTAATTTTAGCATGAATCCATTTTAGCATTAGGCTTTGACTAGCTTTACTATTTTTAATTAGTGTTGAGTTCAACTTCATCCATCCCTTTGGCTTAACATTGACATGAGCAACCATTTCCCATTTGAATTGAGTAGAAAATTAATTATATAATATTAATAAATTAAATTGAGTTAATCTTATTTTGATTAAGCTTTTCCTAATCTCAACTATAATGAGTTTAATTGAATCACGCCTCAACAGTATTACATTTTCCCATATGGTTTTTTTATTGAATCTATTTTATAATTAAATTTAATAATAAAATGAAGTGTTCATGTAACAATGATTTGATTATACAAATTTAGGATGATAAACTATACATTTAAACTTGTATTCAAATTGTATCAATTATTCATAGGTAATAATTAACAAAATTTTATCCCAAAATATCAAGGATTGTCTGAACCTATTAATGAAAGTAATGAGGAAAATAATTAAATTGTTCGGTTTATGTAATAATTACTAATAAGAATCTTGATTAAAATTCTTTTAAATAGATTTTTGAGTTCAATGCAAATAGTTAAAGTGTATAACATTATATAAATTATAGCATTTTTAAATGTCATTTGATAATGATAATAATTTTCGAATCATGAGTTCTCAATAGCCTATGATTAACCAATGCATTTGTTAACATAATTAAAAAAAAGAGAAAAAATAAAAACAGAAAGCGAGATAACCACAACCTAAACCTACCTTTGAAAAAACTCAAGAAAATTCAGATTCTAAAGCATCTCAAAAGTAATCGAAAGCTCATTCTTAAATGAATGAGGATATTCGAATTTTTGAAGATAAAATACGATCATATACATCTGATATTGATGAATCGAAAAAAAAATCATTAAATCTTCCATAAGAGTGGATAAAAAGATTGGGAACTTAAAAAAAGAAGAAGTGAAAATGATAAAAATACACAAACTTAAAAACAAATCATTTTAAAATTTAAAATTACTTAATTTTTGAATTATGTATCAATTACAATATATACAAATATTACATATAAGATATATAAAATATAAGTGATAAGTATAGTTATCAATTAAAGTTATCTAATAAAGCCAATCTCGCTTGAATTTGATTAATAAGCAAGTCGTTTAATTTTTCTTCCTTTTCAACATTTAATTTTACATTAGTTTCTTCCTCTATCTTCAAAGCTTCACTATTTAACAGTTTAATAAGATCTAATGTCTTTTGCACCCTATCCTAGTTGGACAGGAGACTATCATCAACTATATTTCTCTAAATATTGTAAATTTATTACCCACTCGTTTGGTTGCACTTCTTACACCTTTCTATGGATGTGAATACCCTTAGTTTATTCTTTTTTTTTACATTTAACTTATGGAATAGGTGTCAATTTTTAAATGTATTGATTCTTTAATTTAAACTTATATTCTGTCTTTTTTTTTTCCTCAGGCTGTTCTTCTGTTTTTAATATTTTTTCTAATTTAGTAATCAAATATTTATCAACAGATTGTTATTAACTACTTTCAGAACTGGTTTTGTAAGATTATTCATGCAAAGAAATAGGTCTTGATTTTTAGATAGATAAGAATGCATCTGAAGGATCTTCATGAAATGTTTTTTTTGCTGGTCTTAAGTAAATCTCTTTTACAATCTCTGAGTACTTTTATTAAGCATATTTTCTAGCTTATATTTGTTATCTTTTTGAAATTAGTCTTTATTACTCCTCTTGTTGATCATGGATCAATTTAATATATGTATTTGACTTCTTAAACTCCAGTTATGGAACAGACTTTTTCTTATTTTGTCTTTCCATTTCCTAAACAATTTTATTGCTTTCATATTATTATTAATGCAATAAAAGAAGGCTAAAGTTGATAGGTTGAAATAAGTCCTTTTTTGATGACATTATTTATCTATGGAGTTGTTCTTATACTTATTTTAATTCATTATCCTTATTTTATATTGCAATTTGCTCTCTTTTAATTCTGTCTTTTATTAAGAGAATTTTCTTGTTTTCTTCCAATAGTTGTTCTTTTCTATTATTCTCTAACTCTTCCAAAATAGATGATTTGTTTAATCGTTGTTTCATTAAATATAAATAATTATATTATAAATTATGATAATACCGATTTTCATTTTTTTAGTAAAACACTTTGTATCATTCTTTTTTCTAGCATATATTTATAGATTAATTCTTTCAAAATGGATTTGTCAACGCATTTAAATAAATTTAAGTCCTTCACTTCAAAACCTTAAGCAGCAATATAGGCTCCGCGTGCTCCAGACTTTCCTTTTTTATATACAGACCTAAACTTTGTAATGAATTCTGCTTTCAATTATTTATAATAATTTTGGACTATTATTAATTAAATTTTTCTATTTATTACGAATAAATTTTTACCCATCTAAATATGGTGATTTCTTAATTTCCTCATCCACTTAAAAGTTAATAATTGTCTTATTCATTTACTTCTTAATTTCCTTAACCTCTAAACAAATTAAATGATCATTATACTTTCAATATCTTCCTTTTGGATCTGATTGTACATGACGCCCCAATATTTATTCCATAACATAATTATTCTTTAAACATACGCTCCAACCTTTTTTTTGTAATTTCTATAAGAATCTATTACAGTTCTTATCAGTCTTCTAAATCTATAAGTTTTTTGGATGATTTCACCAATCTGTCCGTAGCTCTTCATAAATGAAAAACATATAAATTCAGCTCTAGTTTTGACTGTTTTTTATTAGATTTATGCAAAAACAAAAAGACTTTATAAGGTTTGAAATTTAGTCCTCTATTAAATAGTTTCTCCATGTTTTGTAAGGTATTACTTCAAATTTAGTCTTGTTCTATGTTTTTTCCTGATTATGGTTGCTTCATTCATTAAATGATTAGCCATTCCCTAAATTTAATGATAAATGTATTTACAATGTATTTAACTCTAATGAGTCTGCAAATGAGTATAGAAAATAGATTAGTAAACCAAACTTTTTATTGTTCCTTTATTTATGAGTCTATTTAATCTCTAACATTCAATATATCTTTAATAATCTTTTTTTTCTAAGAATGCTCATATCGTTCTCTAATTAGATCTTGTTTATCTTAATCGATAATCTGCTTATTCACTAAAGTTTCTTAAAACCGTTTAGCTGATTAAACTCTTTTGATCAATAACTACTTTTTTTAATGTTCTGGTTCGTATTGTCTTAGATTCATATTCATAAGAATTAAATCTTTTGATTATCTCCTTGATAGTGCACTACTTATTCTACCTGACATAAATGCAGTCATTGGTCTCTCTTTCTCCTCCTAATCTTGCTTTTATAGTTTCTGAATTTTCATCCCATATTAAATCTTAGCATGAATTATTGATTATTGTTAACTAAATATAGCCATATACAAAAATGGAGTCGTAAAAATGTTATCTTCTCCTGGCTCAGTATATCTTAAAACTTATTTTCTCTGAAATGCTTCTTCAAAATTGAATCTATTTGGTGTCAAGGTGTGCCTCGATATATAAAATTTCATTTTAGCCTGATTTGTGAAAGTAAAATCTAGGATGTTAATGGGATTCATTACTAATGATTAGAGGTTTTTTATGGCCAGCTAATGGGACTTCAAAATAATGAAATGTGCATAGTTATAGATGAATAATGTTAACTAATTTAGCATCTAATTGAGCCCGCAATTCATTAATGACATAGCCTTATTATTTTTTTACAACTTCAGTTTAGAAATTGTATTCAAAATCCTTTTTTGAAGGTATTATCTACTTAAGTTTCCTCGACTCTAATTAATTCAATAGCTAATAATTTGTATGTATATTGTTTTGTTACACGATAGAATTTTAAAAGTCCACTGTTTTCATTTTATTAATTATGGAATAAACTAAAAAAATTCTGATTGGAGGTGGTTGTTTTTGGAAGCATGAATTGAATATGCAAAGGTTAATTGGTGTAATCCATACCGAAGTTGGTTATAGTGGGGGTATTATAGATCACCCATGTTATAAATTAATATGTACAGGATAAACAAACCATGCCGAAGTAGTATTGGTACATTATGATCAATCTATCCTTAAATTGGAAGATTTACTTTATTCATTTTTCAATTAGCATGATCCAACTCAATTAAATAGACAAGGATTGGATGTGGGAACTCAATATCGCTCATGCGTCTTCTATTATGATGATGATGATTTATAAGTAATTCAAAAGGTGTTAGAAGAAGTTAAATCGTTTAATAACGATGAAACCATTCATACTCAAGTAGCCAAAGCTTAAAATTACTGGAAAGCAGAAGAAATCCATTAAAGATACTTATAAAAAGCAGGTTAATCTGCAGATAAAGGTTGTGAAGATATAATTATGTGTTACAATTGATTAATAAATATAAATAATAATAATTTATGAGGCCAAGTTTCCTCTTGATTACCTTACTTAATTTAGTTTATGGGATCAACTATTCTATTAGAGGATAAAGCAATCTTTTAGATTTAGACCCTAATAATGATGATTTGTAAATCAATGAAGGATTTCGGGAAGCAGCAGATCTGATATTTGGAACCCTTTTCCAATATTTACCATATATAGTATTAGCTCTCACCTTCATCTATTTTGCAAATAAATTCTTCCCTACAAGACAGCCAAAAAAAATATTGAAAAAATTGCCAATCCAAAAACGATGATTATTATTTAATTGATATTAAAATTATCACACTATTTTAGGCTCTATTTAGTCTCAATTAAAGAACTCTCTTTTCAGTTACCCTCTTAGAAAGTATTCAAATTAGATTCAGCGTAATTAAGAATATGTAGGAGGGCAAACCTTAATAAATTATGAAAGTTAATATTTATTTTTATCATTCTCATTTGTCCCTTTTTGATTTCCAATCCAGTAAGGCTTTTAAATTCTTATCGCTGTTTGCTACGAGCTTAATATAATTATCTAAATATATATGTTATTTTGTAACCCATAAATGCATTTGCTTTGGCTATACCATAGGTAACTCTAGCCCTATCAATCAATTTTCGACTCTTTTATTCAGGCTTTTCTGATTTAGCGCAATCAAAATGTTATTAAAAGTATTCTAAAGATTTAGCTGTATTTCCCTTGCTTTAATATAATTTAGCCAAATGCAATGCAGCATCAGATTGTGAATTATATAATTTTTAATCTTTAGCCAAGGCATAGTAGCTTTCCAAATGCTTTTAGGCTTCATCCACATCACCCTTCTTTAAATAGCATTAAGCCAAAGATGAATGTGCCTCCATTTCCTTCTATTTTGAGTCCTTACAAAGTAATATTTAAACATACTTCTTTGTGTAACTATTTTACAATTTCCAAGAATTTATGATGATATTATATACTCTTTTAGATATTCTGCATTTTGAAATAGAGCCCACCAATTTTGTTGCATATTACTCCTTCTGATTCTAAATCTCCTGCCTTTTAGGCTGCTTCTCTGCACTTATCATAATATTTTAATGATTATGCAATTTAATCGTTGTCTCCCTTCTCATATTCCTAAGCCATTCTGTTGTAGATTTTAATCAATTCGGTTGACATCTACTCGACAACTGAATCCAAATTCTGCAATTATTCGCATTGTTTCATGCTTTCCTCTAAGATCTAGATTGCCTAATCTATCAACCCAACTTAATAATGGCATTTGGCATAACCTAACTTGCCTTTCCCTTCAGCTTTAGCTTCCTATTATACATACTAATTTTACAGTATATTATCTAGATATTTAAATTACTCTTTTGTAAAAATAGGCTGCCACTATATAATCTTAGTATTCAGTAAAAAAGAATTCAGCCAAATTTAAATACTCATTCAATGCCTGAGTTTTGTCTGGGAATTAGTATTTAGCGTTTTCTTCTGCATTCTATAATCTCTTTTTTAAATCCAATAAGAATTCTTCATCTTAATTAATATATTTTTGATGAACTAATAAATATTGTGCAAAAAATACTTCTATGATTTGAAAAATGCTCTTCTAATGAAATTCCTGAAGGCTGATAAAATAATTTTGGGACAGTTTCATTAGTCACATAAAAAAAATCAGCATATGATTACACATAACCATTTTCTTTTGGAATAATTGATAATAAATACATAATATTTCAGCAGCAATTGATTCTTTGTTAACTTTCCCTTAAAATTCTATTCTTTCCTCCGATTAAGGATTTTATTATTGCTAATCTAGATTAATGAAGTACTTTTTAAATTTTCTTTTAGGGATGCTTTTCAGTGGTGATCTGTTTCTAAACTTAAGCATCTGCCAATCCTTTTGCTTTGATGGGCATTTTGATGGGTTCAAATTTTTTTTCCTTTTGTTGCATTAAATATAAAATTTAATGGATACTAAAGTAAGTGATTCTAAATCTCCTTCCAAATCAATAAAGCCAAATATATAGGATTACATATCCATAGGATCTTTGGGAAGAGGAGCATATGGGGAGGTTATTTTGGCATAAAAAAAAACAGATAATCAATAGGTAGCAATAAAAGTGATTGATAAAAAATTCTTAACAAGAGTACTCATAATATAAGATTTCTTAGGAATAAAAATAATACTAAGTTTATATTGAAAGGGAAATGCTTTTATATTTGAAGCATCCAGGGGTTGTTTAGTTGTATTCTACTTTTTAAAAACCTGAAAAATTATATTTTGTTATGGAATATTTAGAAGGAGGTGATTTTGCCGACTTTCTAAAATTGCATAAAGGTAAAATTTCACTTATTTCCTTGAAGATTTAAGCTTCCAGACCTTATAATTTTATCTAGCCTAAATAGTTGTAATATTAGAGTACATTCATTCTAAAGGAATTGCCCATAGAGATTTGAAACCTGAAAATTTAATGTTATCCAAAAATGGGCATCTAAAATTGATTGACTTTGGTACTTCAATGGTTGTTCATGAAAATAAAGTACCTGCTGAATTTTTGTAGAAATACAAGCAAATTAAATCCTCTTTCTAGATATAAGAAGGATCTTTCATTAATCGAGCATCTTTTGTTGGAACTGCTGAATATGTCTCACCAGAAATGCTTGAAGAAGAACCTTGTGAATACGCGGTGGATTTATGGGCTTTAGGCATCATATGTTATAAAATGTTTACCGGTGTAACACCTTTTAATGATAGTACTTAATATTTAGTATTTCAAAATGTAAAAAATGCATAATTAAAAATACCTGAAAGTGTACCTAAAGTGGCTGCTAATTTAATCTAATAAATTCTAGTTAGAAATCCTTAGGAGAGGCTAGGCAGTTAATCTATGGCTGATCTTAAATCACATCCTTTCTTCAAAGGAATTGAATGGGAAAAATTATTTTAAATGCAAGCACCATAACCAAAGATTGTATCAGTTAAATCTGTAGAAAAATCAATAGATCCAGATTTATAATTAGGAGGGAAAAGGAAATCAAAACTTAAATTTTACGGAGTGGTTTAATTTAAAATAGGGTGGTTTATTTATAGACCATTAGATTTAGTGCTAATTGAAGGCAAAGAGCATATGAAGTTGGCATTATATGATCCAGAAACTGAGAAATGCTAATTGAAAATTAGGTTGGTGGAAGGAGTCTAAGTATATAGTCCAAGCAAAGGATAAATGGAAATTAAAGATTAGAATAAAACGTTCAAAATCAAAGAAGTTGAACACCCAATAGACAAGTGGTTGGAAGTAATTGAGAAATGTAGAAAAAATTTGATAAAAAAGAAATTAAAAAAACAAGAAAAAAAATAATGATATATACTTATATTTCATATTTTAATTTTTTGAAAATTTGATGTCTGAAGAATAAAATAAAACGCCTAGAGATATCAAAATAGACGATGCCAGTTTTACTAACAGAAAAGAAACAGTAGCAGATACCAGATATTCTTAAAAAAGTTTCATTCACCCGTAATAAATATATGTAGAAATTCAAATTTACATTATTAGTAAGTCTAACAATGTAATCATACTGTTCAACCTATATTCATTTAAGTAATTACACGTGAAGAAATTGAAACTCCATTCTTAAATGAAATCGAAATGTTGAAGAATAAAATTATCAAAACCCAATAAGAAAATGATAAACTATACGAAAAAATTCATTAATTAACTGAATAATTACAAGACAGATAAAACTTTATAGATACTTATAAATAAAAATTTATTGATCTCTAAAATTCAAAAGATATATTACTATCAGAACTTGAAAAATTGAATTCATAAAAATACCCAGTTATAAATTATGTTACTCCAATTTAACAAAAATATATGTTTTAGTAAAATTAGCCAAGTGATAGGTCTAATAATAATTTAAATTTAGAAATCGAGATCGATAAGCTCAGAATTGCCTTGAGTAATAAAGATGAAGAGATAAGAAGGCTTTAAGAAAAATATTAATAGTTAGAGAATTAGGGTTTGGCTGTATTGGAAGAAAAAATAAGATCATTAATAAATGAAAAGGAATTTTGGAAAGCAAAATTTGAAGAAACATAAAAGGTTCGTTAGTACAGTAATTTTAAATTTGCTTGAATTGCTCAAATCTGATTGATATTTATATTTTAGCATTTTTTCTTATATTGTTATGCTTTCTGCAATTTCATTCTACAGTCAATGCAGATAATAATAATTGTTCTTAATTTTATATTTATTTTTGCATTTCATATTTTTAAATAAACCAGTTCTTTAAATTATTAGAGCTTGTTTTCGTATTAGATCTGTCTACCAGTTATATAAAAAGTATAAAAGTAATTGTAAAATCAAATTAGAAAAATTATAAAAAGTGTTTTTTATTTAGACAAAATTGTTCATATTTTTCAAATTCATTGAATCAAGCTATTATAAATTTATTCATATGCCATCTGTTATGATTTTGATCTTTGATTAGAAGAGAGCACTAGGCAAAGTGCCTCAGTTGCAGATCTATGATTTTTTTCCTCAATTAATAATTAAATTTTCTTGAAAGAGTTCAAAGCTGACTAAGAATAACCTATATAAATAACCTCGTCAGATTGATACGATGCATCGTTAATGAGTCGCGTAATCATTTCTGATAAAAACCATTCAACATCTTTATCATCATTGTTTTCTTTATTATCTAAAGCTTTTCTAAGATGCAGTGGAGCTATTCGAGCCTATTTTTTGTCGTTTTACCCATGAGCATATGGACAATCAGTACCATTTTTACAAAATCCTTATTAATCATATTTACATAACACGGCTTGATATATTAATTGGATTTACTTTTGTAGTTTGTGATAACTATATTGCTATCGAGAGTTGGAATGTGAATTGGGATTGGATCTAGGATAAATCTATAAATAACCATCTGGATTTCTTAACTCATCAATGCCATGAGCAAACTAGCATTTGGAGCCAATAGAACAATTTCCATATTCATAATGTCTACAAATAGATGTCTTATATAGACGCCCATTTCCATGTTGAGGGATGGTAATAATTGAGTGGTGCATTAAATAAATTTATTATGGATTTAATTTAGTTATCATCGATGATATTAAATACACTCTTATATGCTACATAATATGTGATGAGCAAATATATCTATAGAATATAGAAACAGAGTAATAGATTAATATAAGTAAGAATTATCGACAAATGATAAATAATTGGCTAAGGCATTCCGATATTAGAGAAGGAAAATAAAAATTATTATTATGGGGTTCCCAACTTTATTGTGCTTTGCTCAGAATTATTATAATTTGTGTTTGAGTTACACATAGTCAGAAAAATTGAATATTTTTGAGTGCTTAAAAAAATTTGACACTGAAAAAATAGGTATGGGAATATTGACATCCTTTTATATGACTTTATTATTATACATCGGCCCAGTATATTAAGAATTTTGGGTAGCAAACATAAATTATTTTTAGAATGGGAATTTGAGGGAGAAATTTAGTAAAATTAGGTTCAACAAATTTAGATGGGATTACTTTACGAAGATCGTTATTGTATTAGTTCTTTATATTTTAAAAGACTCCATTAATTGATGAAATTATATTTAGAGAACTAGTGAATAATGCTATAAATGTTAGATATTAAAATAACATTCAGTTTATCATTTATTCAACATTGTTATATAGTTTAAGTAAATGAGAATATTATCTATTAGCAAAGGCATTGTCTTATCATTTAAAATACGGGTAGCTTTCACGTTATGAATTCCTAAAAACATTTGTATTGGGACTATACTTGTCCTTTGTCTTGGTGTAAACAAAAACAATAGTGACAGTAATAATCAATCATGGACTTATGAATTTTATGGGAAGACCGAACTTCAAGGATTTAGTTAAAGGGAATTATAGCAATGAATAAAGATAAAGTATAAAAGAATTCACTATTTTAAGAGATGATACGCTTTTATGTCCTAGGTTTCGTAGCTTTTCTAATTTTTTGTGTTTTAGTTTTGTGATTTTATTTATTAATGGATTAATATAAAATAGTGAAGCGATTGGGAGATGGAACTTATGGCTGCGTCTACAAGGCAACCAATATCAACACTGGATAGATAGTTGCCATAAAAAAGTTCAAAAAAAAATATACATCTTGGGATGAATGTGTAAACCTTAGAGAAGTAAAAGCATTATAAAAATTAAAACATCCCAATATTATAAAATTAATCGAAGTATTCAAAGAAAAGGATGAGTTGAATTTGGTTTTCGAATTTTTAGATAAGGATATTTATCAACAATATTTAGAAAATCAAAATAATGGAAGACATTTGTCTGAAGATAAGATTAGGTCTGTAATTAAATAAGTTGCTGAAGGTTTGGCATATATGCACAAAGTAGGATATTTTCACAGGTAATTAATACAAGTATTGTAGAGATCTAAAACCAGAAAATCTATTAGTATCAGGGGAAACTGTTAAAATATGTGATTTTGGACTAGCAAGAGAAATTAGATCGAAACCTCCATATACTGATTATGTTGCTACGAGGTAATTAGTATTTATCATTTTTCAGATGGTATAGAGCACCAGAAATCTTACTGAAATCTCCATATTATAACTCACCAGTTGATATATTTGCACTAGGATGTATAATGGCGGAACTATACACTCTAAAACCATTATTTAATGGAAGTTCAGAATTAGATCAGCTTTTTAAGCTATGTTAAACTTTAGGTACGCCAAATGTTAAAGAGGTATTTTCTTGAAAATGACTAATATAGTGGCCTGAATCATAAAAGTTAGCCAACACTGCTAATATCACATTTCCAACATATAGTCCTGCCCTTTTAGAAAAAGTAATTCCAAATGCGTCATCTGAAGCAATCGATCTTATTAGAGATATGTTAAAGTATGATCCTTAAAAAAGACCTTCTGCTAAATAGATTTTGGAATACCCTTATTTTTCTAACCATTGTTTCCCTATGATCTAATAAATAGATAATAATTAGGAATTTCCAAAACTAGATAGAATGGAAAGACATGAAAAATAAGATGATATATTTGAATTACCTAGGGTCAATAATAAGGAAAATAGAAATAAAATGAATGAATCTAACTCAAACTTTCTAGACATTTTGGAATAAAGGATAGCTGATTATGAGAGGCCAACAAAAAAGGAAGTCTCAATACATAAGTCTAGTGTGAAGGAATCAAAAGAATATTAAGCATAAAAAGATAATAGAGAATCAAATCTGTCAATGATTCAAAATAATTAACCTAAAGATTATATAATGCCTAAGGAATTCCCTTAGATAGATTCTCTAGATCCTAGAATTGATTCTAGAAATAAAAAAGGATAAGCTGGATTGAAATTCTTAAGACACAATGATCCTATAGGAGATCAACTTAGGAATCAATAATAATCAATTATTTAGTAATCAAGATCATATGAACCAACGAAAAGAAATATTTATGATTTTAATCTCCTATAAATGCCACTCGCTAAACCCACATTTTAACCTAAATTGGAAATGCCGAAATAGAATAAAAATTAGATATTTGGTTTAAATTATCCAAAATCTTTGCCTATCGCTCCAAATATGGGATATAAGTATTAACAATAATAGCAATAATAATAATATAAATTTGATGACATCTTATATGGTAAACCTCCACTTAAATAGTATTATTGATACTTATTCAAATCTACATCTATATATATATACAATATATTATTATTCAAACATGTATAAAATATCTCCCTATTGCAGTTAAAAATCTCTATTTGTAATCATGAGGGTTAATTATAGTAGGGACCTTAAATAAATTATTATGCTTTTACTTTTCCACCTTTGAGGACAAATTTTAAAAGTCTCTCGGTTTCTTTATCCCATGTGTAAAATCTTAAATAATCGATTATGCCCATCTTTATTTTTTTTTGCTTGTTGTTGATGATTAATAAAAGTGAATAATCAACGATTGACTTCCTTAATAAAAATTTACAATCACTCTATCACTTTAATAAATATTCATACTTAAAATGCTTTATCATTATAAATGTAGCAATCATTTTGCAGAATAATTGGCTCAGCATTTCTATCTATAATAAAATTAGTATCAAGCAACACCTTATTCACTTTCTTCTCCCATCTATTTGTTTCACTTCCTTTTAAATCATAAACCAGTAAATCTTTTTAAATGCCTATACCATAATAGAGGTTTTCCATAATTAAATAAAACTCGGGATTGCCTTTGTCTCTTATCTCATACATTCCAAATATTTTACAAAGCAATGAAGGTTTTTGAGATTCATAAAAATGTCTATGCATTTACCTAAAATAATCTAATGCAAATTATTCGAACATTCTAAACTCCTTTTCTTCATCAAATTTCTTTACAACAAATAATTCATTATCAGATTTGAAGAATTTAGATGAAGACTTCCCACCGCTAGCATTCCATGAACCTGTTACACTGAGGGATTTAATAAATAAATTTAATGTGATTCCAAAGGATGCTCTTAAAGCTTCAAATTATATTGGGAAATAAATCAAAATTTCTTAAGTTTTCGATTTTTTTATTGAAAACTACTAATTTCCTGAACCACTGATAATTGATTATTATGAAGATATTGATTTTTCCTCATCAAAAAATTAATCTCTGCTCATTGATGGTTTCATACCCTTTACTTTATCATACTATAATGTAATTGTTATGTAATTTTTTTCTTTTTTTTAAGGAATAGATTATTGTTAAGATGCATTCAAATTAGAATCAGTAGTAGTTGGTAATGATTCTCTTGGGAGACTATGATCCTCTTAATCCCATTTTCCTGATTATTAGCCAGTTTTTATTAACATCAGTTTGCTTAGTACAACCTTCTATTATTCTGAATCAGCCTTTTAAAAATCTAGTTTAATTTTATAGTCATACTTTCATAATAATTGATCGCCTTAAGATAGTTTGGATGATTTAAAGCAAAGGCTAAAGAAGATAATGGTTGACTTTCAAAAATAGCTACAAATGGGATAATTTTTCTATCACTTTATGCAACCTTATTCTATTCTTCTTAAAATAGACATATAGGCCATTCTTTTAATAAATTACTTAAAGGATTCTGTTGTTTATCTGCAATAAATGAATGATTGCTGTCTAATTCCCTAACAGAATGTTGATAATTAAGAGTCTTGTTAGAAGAATTTTTCTTAGATTTACAATCAATTGATGATTTCATCTCACTAAATTAATCGCTTTAATGCTCTATGTCATCTCCAACTATACTATCAGAATGAATGAGGTCGTCTTATCCAGACAGGTGTCCTTTATTTGTAGGAGATGGATGATCAAGCTCTTTTTAGCTTCTAATTATAGAATTTTTATTAAGAAACTTTTTCATTTCAGATTTTATTTAGTCCCCAATATCTTGTAATTAAATACTCAAAGTATAAGTAAATTATTGTAAATCAGATATTTATTCTATTCCTGAGAACTTTTACTACCAAAATTTTTCATCAGAATATTGTTCAATACCATCTACTTCAACATTTTTCGACAAAGTCTTCTTAAATTATGTTAACTAAAACGTAATGTTTAAATATCTTTAGTAAAGTTCTTTTTTTTAAGTCTAAATGTATTCTTCTTCCCAATTTTTTAAATTATCAAGTAATTCTTAACTTAAAGTACGTTATATTATTGTATTGAATACTTCCACTTCCCCAACTTAAATCTTCACCATTGACTCATCATACGTAAATATTCTCTGAAATTGGTGATTACAATTAATTTATTAGCCTATTTGTTTATCATTTGTGTTTGGTGGAGTCATCAATATCGTTTACATAAATCTAAAAAAGGAAAAGTCTAAATTTAGGCTAGACAATTTAACAATATTCGAACTTAAATCGCATTTGCTACATTAAATATAAGTTTCTATTCTTATCTTCTTTTTTTCTCCCTTTTAATTTGAATGGGATTATTAAACAATTTTAGTAATATCTTTTGCAGTGTATACATTATCTCTTTATTCATCTTCATTTGACAACTAAGAAAATTATTAGGAAACTTAATTCGATAATTAAGGAGGTTCATTAGTCGATATAACTCTTCCACTTCTATTTTTTTAATCAACACTTATTTTAATATATTTATCTCCACAATAATAAAATGAAACATGAGCTATTTTAGGTAGGTGACAGAATTCGCATCTATTGTCCTTATTAGCTATTTTCAGGATAATAAATTAGCCTAAACAAACATCTTCCCCATGATAATACACAGACTTTTTCTCCTATGGCTTATTACACATCCGAGCCATTGAAAACTCCTCTAATTTATCTCTTTAAGATGGATGCTTTGATTTATATTCTTCTAAACTAGAAAAGTCTTTAATGTCGTTAAAATTGTTAACATCAGCAATAACATAATTGATCTTAATATATTTTAATTCTATATTGAATAATTCTTTTAAAGGAATCTTTTCAAATAAAAATGTTGTGAAATTACCTTAATTCGATATGGTTTTTAATAAGTTGTTTTTAAACATTGAACACTCAGTAGTGATAAAGTGAGATTCCAAGTCTTAATGTTTACCAAGTCTAGCACATCCGATAAAACATTGTTTTAGTTTTGATAACAATTCTTCTGAAGGGCCACTTATTGCAATTGTAGCAAATTTTTAACATGACGAATTTTTCAAGAAACATAAGGTTGAATCCTTTTATATTTCCCCTTTTTCAGAATTAACTTTTGGAAACTGTTTAAAAAAAACCTTCTCACATGTACCAACTATTTATTCCTTTCTTTCAATGCATTATTTTAATATAGACAGGCTTATAAATTTAGCATTTGTACACAATTTAACTCTTTAAAGTACTTTCTTTTTAACATTTGTCAAAACAGTTATTTTTTTCTTGAGACACTCATCCAATGCAATTTTGTTAGCTCCCTTTTCAACTAAAATCAAATTTGGTTCATAATTTTTATAAATTGAATTAATCGAATCAACTAATAGCTTTTTTTCATTTTAAATATAATCTTCTAATTGATTTTATGAACCATCCATGTCAAAATCCCCAATAATTATAATGATGGATGGTTTATTAATTTCAGATTACATTTATT